AATATCCCTGACTGAGAACTAAAAAAAGTCACTGTGATCTAAAAAAAGTCACTGACTGAGAACAAAAAAAAAGTCACTGACAGAACTAAAAAAACGTCGCTGAGATTTAAAAAAACGTCGCAGGCTGAGAATTAAAAAAAATATCGCTGACTGAGAACTAAAAAATATCGCTTACTGAGAACTAATAAAACGTCGTTGACTGAGAACTAAAAAAAACGTCGCTGAGATCTAAAAAACGTCGCTGAGATCTAAAAAAACGTCGCTGACTAAGAACTAAAAGAATATCGCTGACTGAGATCTAAAAAACAGCGCTGAAATCTAAAAAAAGTCGCTGACTGAGAACAAAAAAAACGTCACTGACTGAGAACTAAGAAAAAACATCGCTGACTGAGAACTAAAAAAAATATCGCTGGCAAATCTAAAAAAACGTCGCTGAGATCTAAAATAACGTCGCTGATTGAGAACAAAAAAATATCACTGACTGAGAACTAAAAAAAAGTCGCCGACTGAGAACTAAAAAAATATCGCTGGCAGATTAAAAAAAAATCGCTGAGATCTATAAAAAAACGTCGCTGACTGAGAACAAAAGAAATGTAGCTGACTGAGATCTAAAAAAACGTCGCTGACTGAGAACTAAAAAACGTCGCTGACAGAACTAAAAAAAATCGTTGACTGAGAACTAAAAAAACGTCGCTGACTGAGAACATAAAAAATGTCGCTGACTGGGAACATAAAAATATCGCTTACTGAGAACTAAAAAATGTCGCTGACTGAGAACTAAAAAAAATGTGATAAATACGCGTCGCTCGCACCGCCCGAATCGCGCGCTTTTGTCTCCCACGTAAGACGAAGCGTAAGCCATTTTTTTTAATCGGTATATAACAGGACTATTAATAAAAAGGGTTTCAACTTTTACACACTCATATATATGGCAATCCTTATTTTTTAAACTGTATCCGTATTAAATAAATTTTGGTTCTTATTAGAACTTTGTTAGAACTATATCACGCGCATCTCTATAATAATAAATAGATAAAGCATAAAAGAATAGAAGCGACCTGCGAGGTGCTTCAGGAATGTATTATTAATAAATTTTAGTTATCAACATGTTAGTTTTGATCGTTTTAATGTGATGGAGTGAAAATGATAATGGTAATCTCGACAATGGACACACATTATTTGCATTGCTCAAGTGTTAATAATTTAACTAATAAACTTTTGCGACGTCCTGTGGCTGGTTTGATTTATTTTTTGTCGGTACGACTATAAACAATATGCGAAGTTGTTGTAAACGATAGAAAACTTTTTAGTGAATAATTCTTAATTTTGGTAAGTTTAATTTTGCTAAACAGAATATGCTATTTTTTGTTTTGAAATTTATTTAGTTCTGTTTTAATTCTAAACAAAAGTGTTCACAATAATTTGCCATAATATGCGGGAATATAACTAAATATATACAGGGTGAGTCTTAAATAAGTGCAAATATTTTTAGGGGTAGTATATATACTTCAACCCAAAGAAACACATCTATGAGGTTTTTTCGCGAAAAAAAATTGGAATTTTTTGAAAATTTTTTAGTTTTTAATTAAAAAAACATAATTTCTTGCCAATACAGCTGTAAAGATACTAGATTAAATTTACAAGAAAGAAAATCCAGAAAATATCCGTTGGTTCTCAAAATTTAACCAAAATATCACGTTTTCAAAGTAAAATAACTCGGTTATTTCGGATTTGAAAATGGTAAAGAAAAATATGTTTCTTTTTTCGAGATCTACCAGCCCAGTGGCGTAGCGTGGGTTAGAGGCGCCCGGGGCGGAGAGCCTCTACGAAAGAGGTTTTCCGCCCCTACGGGATCCGTCCGCCGCTTTTATAACGATGTTTTGCCGCCCCACAGGTACTTGGAGGGTCGCAGCCCGGGGCGGCCCGCCCCCACTGTACCAGCCATGAAAATATTTTCCCTGTGTTAAGACATACCCTGTATAAATAACTTTATTACAGACAGCATCTGTACCAAGAATAATTATTTTTTAATATTTTCCATTATATGCAAATAAATATTGTATATCCAGAAAAACCACTTTCTGCGTAGATTCCTTAGTTACTTGTCTGTTTGTGTGTAATAATAAAGATAAAGCGATAATAACTAAAAGAAACCGAAGAAGCGATACATATTTATAAATTTAAAACCTTTTGTTGCAATGTAATAGTTATTTTATCGCATATTCTCACTAAAAAATGTTTTAAACAATATACCTAATACGTGCTAATACCTATACATTTTAAGGCAATTTTAGCAATTAACTAGAAATATTAATAAGGTCACGACCTTTCAATTTACGTTGCTTTTTTACCAAGAATGCTTAGCTCTCAACTTTTCTTCATACTTATGTGAAAATAAATAAATGAATAAAAAGAAAAATAAACGAATGTAAAATGATTCTATTCGTAATAAAATTGCCAAAATCGTATTTTTAATCGAAAATATCAAAAGATGACATATGTCATAAAGTAGAAATATACCGAGGGTGCCATTTAAAAATCAAAACTTAGTAGTAATTTCCGGTGAAACATGAAGTGACAAAAAACAATTGAATACGTCAATTAATCATAATTTATGTCGCATAAGGCGGGTTCTCACTTGTCAGTTTCGCTGACGCAGTCTGACTGATTCAGTGATACTGAACAAACAATGAACGTCAGAACACATTTTCATGTTAAATGATCAGTACATTCGTACTTTCAGTTAAAGTGAAAACCAGTTCTACTTTTTTTCATTTTGACTGATCATTATCGAATAATGAATAGAAACTGAAGCGTGAGAACTACATTTTCGTGATTTGTGCAGTTTACAAGTTAAGTTAATTAATTCTTTTAATATAGTTTCACTAGCACCCCGTTTATTTCTTCGCAATATCCAGAACCTGACCACCTACGACGTTTTTTTTTCTTTTCTGATTCACCAGAATATTCTGTAATTCATTTGCTAATTGTAAACAAACTTCGCGAACACCTGGTTTTAATTTTGTTTTAACCATTTTCATGTCTATACGAAATCACCACATTAGAATGTTTGGACCAACTGAATACTGAATGTAGCAAAACATGAAACGTGTGAATACAATCGTTGTTTTTTATTTTTCATTGATAATGAATCAGTCAGACTGCGTCAGCGAAACTGACAAGTGAGAACCCGCCTATACCTACTAACATACCAAATTTTTTTTTCTGAAAAAATTAACAAGTTATAGGGGTGAGCCATTTTTGAGACGCACTCGGTATATAGAGTTATGAAAAATAGAATTCCAACTTCGGCAGTCTTGTTCTGTATAAGTGATCTTTGAAAATATTAGTATTTAGTTTCAAGCAGTTGCATTATTTTTCTATAAGAATTTAAGATTTTTTTTCTTTTTCACAATCAATTATATCGTGCAAAATCAGTTTATGATCAAATACAGTTTTGTCGGCTTCAAAATGAGGTTCAACCAGTGTTTGAGATGCATTCCTTTGTCTTGCTCTAATGAGAAAATTCTACGATTCTGCTATCATTTTCCGTGTATTATTACACATTCAATTGGGAAAATCAAAATCACCAAAAGATTGATATACCGTATGGTCGAATAAAAACGGCGTCAGCGATAGCTATGAAATGACAATCGATGATACTTCCCATATAAATTTACATATAAAATGACAGCGATCTTCATTTCATAGCCATCGCTGACGCTGTTTTTATTCGATCATACGGTATTTTCCCACTACTCTTAATAAATTTAACTAATGAGGCAAACTTATAAGGTTTTTTTGGATAATAAGGATATCGAGATCCTCTTCAGCTTCTTGCGAATGAATATTTACCTCATATAATTTTAGGGTACATCAGCCATCAATAACAAATAAAGGGTAGTAGAAAAAGTGCGATTTTGAGTAGTCAGTCTAAAACTGTCAATTTTGCTGACTCTTGGCCCAAAACAGTATGTTTAGAGAAAATTTATAAAAACAAGAATTATAGAATGTAAGGTTATTTACAAAAAGTTGATAGCTTTTGAATTATAAGTAAAATACCACGAACAAATCAAATTTATATTTTTTTATTTTATTTTGTTTAAGATTTTTCCACGAAAATGAATTCGCAAATTCTAGTTTCGAATAGAGCACCCAAAACATATATAGAATGGAAGAAATTAAAACTATCCTAAAGCTTTCGTGCAAAAGATTCTTGAGCATAATTTCAGTAAACTATAATAGGATACGTCTATGATATAGTAATAGTAGTGTTTAGAATGTTTAGTCAGATATTCTTCCCTATGTGGTGTGGTAATTGGTAACATTTTAATGTGGAAATTGATAGTACCGATTAATTATTGATCTGGTCATTTGTTACTCTTTGTTTAGATTACTGTTTTTAAATATTTTTTATATAAAAATAATATCTTGATTTTATGGCCTAATCACATTGGTAGATTATTAAATTTACAGGAAAGAAAACCCAGAAAAATCCAGTCGTGGTTTTCAAAATCTAAGCAAAAAATCTTTTATTATTTTTAAAGGAAAATATCTAATTGGTAAAGAGAGAATATGTTTGTTCTATCGAGATGTAATTAATATAGCCCTGAAAATATTTGCACTTATTTAACACTCACCCTGTATCGATAAGAGTTGCGATACAATGTTAAAGCGTCAAATTCAACAAGAAATATTCCTATTTATATCTTTAGTTTCTGGATCATAACACTTAAAAAATAAAATGATAACTGATCCGTTCTCCTATAAAAGTGAATTTTTCGAGACTAAATTTTTATAGTAACCATTCAATAACAGCTCTAAATAATAAGGTAATAAATTTATTAACCAACAAACGTAAATACACCTACAGTTGATTTATTGCGAACTATAAAAACATATTTATATTATTAAATTACATTATGAGATTTTTGAGCAGAATTTCCTTGATTTATAATTCCAAATCGCTGATAACAGTATCAAATATTTATTTTATTCAACTATAAGTACACTAAAGAAACGCATATCGCCACAACAATAGACAAGTTCAAGTATTTATTCTTTCACTATAAAATAGATATGTAGAGCTAAATCTCGGCTAGTAAACTGTATGATCTGTTAACAACTGACAATATTGTAGGTGTTAATTATAGATGCCGGAATAAATATAGATTAAACAAATGCACGAGAATACGCGTTTAAGGAAAGTGAGGTATTTATTTAATAATAAGGTAGGTGGGAATCATTTTGATATCCAGTTTCCATAATAAATAAAAGAACCAGAATGTATGTACCATTTGCGATCAAAAAAAAAGTAGTACAAGAATTAGTAGTCGAGCCAGATAGAACTCCTCGTCTATAAGGATATTTGAATTATATTAATTTTTTTTTTTTTTGGATTTAGCCAACAACACTGTTTTTTGTTTATCCCTAATGCATCTGCAATGTGCCTTATGGGAACCCCATCCCTTAATCGCGTAAATATAATCGATTTTTGCTCTGAAGTTAAAGGCATTTTTTAAAAATTACAAATTACGCGACACTGACACTAGAATATACAGGGTTGTTCACCACATATGACACGGAGAATGGTAGCTAAACGATTAGATTTTTACAAATTGTAAGTTTTGGGTTCGTTGAAGGACTATTAGAGTTACAATTTAAAAATATGTTTACAAGATACAGAGTGTCCCAAATAAATAAAAAATATCAAAGTTGTATTTTTTTTAAATGGAACACCCTGTATATTATTGCATTTTTAGTTTCTACGATTAAAATAAAGGTAAATTTGATTAAGGTTATTACACTTAAACCTTACCGTTTTTGAAATATTTTCAATTTTAAAAAATTGCAGTCAAAATTTTAAGGCTTCATTTCTCCAAGGGTATCAAAGTTTTTAATACTAAATATTTACTGAAGTTTATTTATTGATCAATTATTGTGATGCAATAATAAAAATTATACTACCTTATACAGAGTGTCTAAAATTTTATTTTAAATGATTTCTAGCTTTAAACGGCAATAACTTGTTTAATTTAAATGGAACACCCTGTATATTTTATGAGAATCAGATGCACAACTTAATTGTCTATCAAATTGTATTATACCACTTTTTACCTATCCCTTCAAGTTTTCGTAGAAAACGCATTTTCTCATAATTTAGACCTCATTTATCAATACAGTAAAACGATAATATTACTAGCCCATTTGTATGCAAAAAGAAAACTATTTAAATCTTTATAAAAGAGTACTATACCATTAATTAAATATACCACCAGTATTTCCGCCCAAATACTAATTAATTACATACTTAATTCTGTTCGTTAATAAATTATTCTAAATAAATGTGGATTTGAATCAGAAATTAATATAATAATAAGTTATGAAAATGAACGTCTCTATTGTTATAAATAAGCATTTGTCAAAAAATGAAATATCATTTTTAAGGTGTTAGTTTTTTACCACACTGTCTAATACACATACATAATTCAGTTTTTTAGTATTTGGAGCAATTATTATTAACCAACGCAAACAGTCAATTAATGTAGTTTGAATACTGGAATCATATTAATTGGTCCTCTTTAACAAATATTTAAACAGTTTTTTTTATTTTTTAATGAAATCTACGAACTATATCGACAATATTAGTATCTGTACTCTTTAAAAATTTGGTACATGTTTAAAAATAATCTAAAATGTCAGTATTCCATGGGTATATTGATAAATGAGTTCTAAATTACAAGAAAATGCATGTTCTACGGAAACTAGAAGAGATAGGTAAAAAATGGTATAATACAATTTGATAGGCAATTAAATTGTGCATCTGATTCTCATAAAATATACAGAGTGTTCCATTTAAATTAAACAAGTTATTGCCGTTTAAAGCTAATAATTATTTAAAGTAACTATTTAGACACTCTGTATAAAGTAGTAAAATTTTTATTATTGCAACACATCAACTGATCAATAAATAAACTTCAGTAAATATTTAGTATTAAAAACTTTGATACCCTCGGAGAAATGAAGCCTTAAAATTTATACTGCAATTTCACAAAATTGAAAATATTTCAAAAACGGTAAGGTTTAAGTGTAATAAACCTTAATCAAATTTACCTTTATTTTAATCGTAGAAACTAAAAATGTAATAATATACAGGGTGTTCCATTTAAAAAAAATACAACTTTGATATTTTTTATTTATTTGGGACACTCTGTATCTTGTAAAAATATTTTTAAATTGTAACTCTAATAGTCCTTCAGCGAACCCAAAACTTACAATTTATAAAAATCTAATCGTTTAGCTACAATATTCCGTGTCGTATGTGGTGAACAACCCTGTATACAGACCGGCAGATTAAATCATATTTTGTTGTACTACTTTTTTTTTGATCGCAATGGAACGTCCTATTTACATTTGTAATATCCAATTTATACAGTGGCATAAAAAATCGTATGTTCAAAAAAAACAAAATGTGAGACCTTATTGCCCACGAGAGATGGCACATGTTTTTTGTATAACGCCCTGTATAGATAAACACCCTGTATAGACAATGCTTTTACCCTCAAAATGTTATTCGAATCATTAAAAGCACTTGGAAGAAAATTATAGGTATACCGTGCGGTGCATCGGAACGCGGGACAGAAAATCCTAGGTAAATTTTGAAAAAGCCAAATATTATCTCCCCAGACCAGATGATTTTATGAAAAAATTGTATTAGACTTTTTTGAAGAGGGGTTAATATACTATCGTCTAGAATTTCGTTTTATTTGGAATAGGCATATAAAAATTATTTATTTATCAATCAATTATTATTATTATCAGCAAAAATATGATTTTTTCATTGTCAAATTCGATGTCACGTTTTTTTTGTTTACAACAATTTCTGTGGTATGAAAAGGAGGTTATTTTTTTCTGAATTTGAATAATTAAACAGAGTTTACACTGTGTCACTTTGGATGTACAACCAAAATGAATCACTCAGATTGAATTCATCCAAATTGAACATCCTTGTTTACATATTTTCATCCAGTTCCAGCTGTGGTCTTTTCCTACTGAATCCCCAATAAACAGGAGTCAAGGTTTTTCTTTTCTTCAACATGAAGTATATTCAAGTCATTGTTATTTTCTTCCTGTTCAATTATTTTTGTCTTCACACTTCCATGTGCTTAATACCTTAGTGCCTTTAGTTTCAAACCTCCGGTTTATTCTTTAAACTGTTGATTTATTCGGGATAGGCTTTCCGGAGACTGAGCTGCAACTGCGAACATATCTAACACAGTGGCAGGGCCGTTCCTGGCGAGCGTGCATCAGTGCGTGCACGCACGTAGGCGCAACATTTTGGGGGCGCAAAATCAAAGTGTCAATCAGTACTTTGTAACAAAAAACCGATACGCTTTCTTGTTAATAAACAAATACTTAACATCATAGGATCAAGTTTGCTTAGCGTCTTTTTTGCGTTGGCCGCACCGAATAAACAGGTCTAGGGCAATCTGTCGGCAACACATTGATCTCATCTATTTATTTTTCATTTTACGGAAAGCACTGTTCATTAAAATGTTGTATCCTATGTTATAGGACTTGTTTCTCTCTACAGTTTCCTGTCTCACAATGTACCGTTTGTGTTGGGGAAGGGATCATAGTTTCATAGTTGTCGATTTTCGACAGAAATCAGTACATGCATATTATTTCGTATATTTTTCATTTTATTGATTTTATGGAAAGCACTGTTCATTAAAATGTTGTATCCTATGTTATAGGGCTTGTTTCTCTCTACAATTTTCTGCCTCACAATATACCGTTTGTGTGGGGGAAGCTTTGAATAAGAACACAGAATAAGAAGACTAAGGAAGGAGCATAATATTATCCATGTATTCATGCATGGTGGGCGGAAAAGCCACCATAAAAGCTCTCTAGGGTGGGGATCCTTGACAGTTCTGTTTGACGATTCATTTGACACATTTGAATTTGATTTGAAATTTTGTGGATTTGTCAGTCTTTACGGAGCTTATTTTATGTTATTTATTATTTATTCTACTACTGATAGTTGTATAAAGGTAGTAAATCTAGATGGAAATTGTGGCAGAACTTAAATTAACAGTGACACTATCGCGATTTATCGAAAAAGACTCTAAAATAGTTGGTTGTGTAGCGTGCGGTAGATCTCGGCAAAAATTGAGTGAAATAATGGAACAATTACTTGTCAAAGATTAGATGTCAAAGAATTTAGATACGTTAATTTGACTTACATGCTTCAGTAGCGTATCGGATGTTTGTATTAATAAATACTTATTATAACTTATCTATTTTTATTAGAATTATATATTTTTATAACAATTTTAATAACTACCAACATTTATTCACAACGTAAAATAAAACAACAAATTATTGAGTCTACCCCACGTCTACCCTACATCATAGTTTTACATTTTTTAAATAAAATTAGAACGACACTGATAAACCGGAATTTAAGTCGGCCATATTTGAGGCCCATCGCGGTGTACCTAAGATTTTTGATATGCTCCTTCCTTAGTCTTCTTATTCAAAGGGGGGAAGGGATCATAGTTTCATAGTTGTCGATTTTCGAAAGAAATCAGTACATGCATATTATTTCGTATATTTTTCATTTTATTGATTTTATGGAAAGCACTGTTCATTAAAATGTTGTATCCTATGTTATAGGGCTTGTTTCTCTCTACAATTTCCTGTCTCACAATGTACCGTTTGTGTCCGGGAAGGGTTCATAGTTTCATAGTTGTCGATTTTCGAAAGAAATCAGTACATGCATATTATTTCCGATTTTTAGTTTATTGTTTTTATGTATTTCATATAAAATGGGTCAGTTTTTTTCTTTAGGATACTATTTTTGTTACTAAATTTTTTTGTGGTTTTGTTTGTTTTCTTTATTTAATAAATGTTTTTATACTTTAATTAGAATAGTTTTTTTACATTTCCAATTACATATTGCTCGTTTGTCGCAGAATATAAATTCTTTAAATTTTTGAGATTGGTTGTCGCCCACTGGACCGCTGCGCGGCGCTGGGAAGAGAATTTTTTCCGGCTGCGAAGGAACTGCGCCCACTATAGCGCGCTTTTGAAACGCGGCAACGCTATTTAGTTATAGTCGAAGTGTTTTTTACTTACTGTAGTTTAGTTTTTAAAGCAATGAGTTCAAGTACGAACGAAAGCGTATTTTTTGTGCTCTTCTAACAGAGGAAGAGGAAGAGGGGGTGAGGAAAAGTTTGGACTCATACGATTAAGAAAAAAAGAAAGAAGTTTGGAGAATTTTACCATCTTTTTCCAGATTTAATAAAAAACAAGATAATTTTTTTCAGCATTACAAAATATAAAGGAAACATTTTACGCACTCCTCAATTGAGGGTTTTAGAAGCAAAACACCGGGTATCTCTACTCATCATATTTTTTCATAAGAGACAAATTACTAATTCTTTTGATAATTCTTATTTATTCTGATGTGTATATTAGTTATGTGGTGAAAAAACCCTGATCTTTTTTATATATTTAGGTAATTAGAATTTAAAAATTGGAGATTGTCACTTTTGTTAAAAAGTGGAGATTGCCGGTTTTGCCTCTACACCCCTCAATTATATTAAATCTTTGATAGAAAGGCATTTCGTCCATCTGTCTCTAGTGAGGGAAGACTAAAAAAAATATCATATTTCTTTATGAAAAGCGATTTGCCTAATTTACCTTTAAAAATACAATTCTACCAGTGATACGTATCACTAGTTCCTAGTCAAAAAGCCAACTGAAAAGACTCGAATGCAAAATTATTTCCCTTGTGAGTACGCACACTGCAACGCGCCAAACCGCGGGAGACCGAAAAAAGTTGCTAGAGAAGTCTTCCGACTTCTTGACGGAAATCCCGCGGCGCGCTTCTGCGCTGCGCGCTCTAATGTGCGTTGGTCCATTTAAATACATGGCAAGCAGACAAAAGAAATTTCCACATGGCGCCGCGCCGCGTCGCGCCGCGGTCTAGTGGGCGACAAGATTAAATATGTAATTGGAACGCGCGGGCCTGCACAGTGGGAATACTATTTCCAGCAAAATGCCGTTTAACCATCGTAACTTTTTCAGAAGTTGAGATAGGTTTACGTATTCTTATTCTCCTGCAGTAATTAAAGTTAATTAAGTTAAATCTGAAATTTTGAATTTTAGAACGTTAATTTGTATTTACATCGTATATAATTTTATAACACCTCGGCACTCGGCACAAGAATGATGAACAAGCCAGGGAAATCTGAAAATGAGAAATTTTATACCAAAAACTCCCTTTATTTACAAATAGAGATCGTGTTTGGCAGTCATTCTTGGTCTTCTTTCAGAATCCGTCCAAATGCAAGGAATCAAGAGGATTATAGTGTTCTGCATCATGACCGGCATTCTACCGCCGCTGCTCATCATCACCCCCTTGTACTTGCGAAACAGCGTGTTCGCCGAGGTGACTTATCCCGTTGCTGAGTCCGACGTATTGGCGCTGCAGGAAGGCGTCTCCTCCATATTTTGCGAATCGCTATCGGTCAAGATGGACATTCCGTTCAACGCGTTTCAACTGCAGGGCAATCCCAAACCCAGTTCCAAACGGAAACATATTCGGCTGAAGAAATCGATGATTTTGCCCGACGACACTTTGGAGTATTGGGGCTTCTATCTACTTAAAGGGGCTACAGTCAAACTTAAGGTACGTTTTTAATAGAATCTACCTTATTGAACTCATAAACTCTTACTATATAGTACTAGCGTGTACCAGCGACTTCGTTCGCGTCGAATTAATCATTTGTAATGGTGATGATAAAGCAAAGCAAGAATTTTCATTAATATACAAACTGGATAAAATTTTCTCACATTTATGTCAGCATGAGAAAAAACAATATGGCGATATTATTATATAACTTGGTAATATTTGAGGGGTAGTTTCATCTCGTTGGAATTTGACTTTCGAAAAATCCGTTTGCCAAAAATACGCTTTTTACGTCAAGCAGTTTAAGCAGAATCGTGGTTAAGAAATTACCCAACTTTTTGGAATACCCTGTATGATTTTTTTAAAAAATTTCAAAATATGTAAAAAAACCAAATAAATTATGCTTGTCCAAGCGTTTTACCGAAAGACTAACCGTTTTTTAAATAACAAATATTGTGATATTTAAGGGGCGTTTTCACCCTCTTGGAGTTTGAGATTCGAGAAACCCCTCCTTATCGAACCTCTACACCCCACAGTCAATCCGTTTGCCAAAAATCAGCTTTAAACGCCAAGCAGTTTAAGCACAATCGTGATTACTTAATGGTCATATTTTATGAAACGCCCTGTATAAATTTATAAAAAATCTTAAAATATATAAAACAACGAAATAAAATATACGTGTTTAAGAGTTTTTCCGAAAAACTCCCCGGTTTTTAAATAACAAATATTTTAATATTTGAGGGATAGTTTCACCCAAAGGTTTCACCCCCTTAGAATTCGAGTTTCGAAAAATCCCTTCTTATCGAACCTCTACACCCTAAAGTCAATCTGTTTTCCAAAAATCAGCTTTTTACGTCAAGAGCTTTAAGCAGGATCGCGATTAATCAATGACCAGATTTTTCGAAACACCCTGTATACATTTTTAAAAAATCTTAAAATATGTAAAAAAACAAAATAAAATATACGTGTTTAAGCGTTTTTTCGGAAACTTGACCTGTTGACTTGAACTTGACTGAAACTTGACCTTGACTTGTTTTTTAAATAAAAAATATTGTAATATTTGAGGGGTGGTTTCACCCTCTTGGAACTGGAATTTCGAAAAATCCCTTCTTATCGAACCTCTACACCCTAGAATCAACCTGTATGCCAAAATTGAGCTTCTTACGTTGAGTGGTTTGAGCAGGATCGTGATTAATCAGTATGTCAGTCACTTAAGGATTTTATACAGGGTGTTTCAAAACAAATGCGAAAAACTTCAGGGGGTGATTCCTTGTTCAAAATAAAGGGTAGTTTGCTTCATAAACGTTGGGTCAAAAATCAACCATTAGGGAGATATCGCGGTTCAAAAATGGCGGAAAAATAAAGTTTTTATTTTTTATCTTGAAAACGAAAAGATATAGACTAATAAAAGTTTATGGAAGCATTACTGTTATGAAAACATACTTTCTGGTAATTTTTTCACTTTTTTAAAATGAAAATTAATTAATTAATTTTTTCGCATATGTTTGATAAGATTTTTCTTTAAATTTCGTTAACAAGAATGAGAAAGGTAGTTTATTTCAACCCCTACCACTCATTTTGAAAAAGTGAGAAAATTACCAGAAAGTGTGTTTTCATAACAGTAATGCTTTCATAAAATTCCATTAGTCCATCGCTTGTCGTTTTCAAGATAAAAAATAAAAACATTACTTTTCCGCCATCTTTGTACCGCGATATCTCCCTAATGGTTGACTTTTGACCCAACGTTTATAAAGCAAACTACCCTTTATTTTGAACAAGGAATCACCCCCTGAAATTTTTCGCATTTGTTTTGAAACACCCTGTATATTAGTATAGATATAGATTTCTATAAAAAATAAATTAGGTGAAAGTAACCAAATATGGAATGCCATTTAGTTTTTGTGTTATACAGGGTGAGTTTTAAATAAGTGCAAAGATTTTTAGGTGTAGTATATTTCGACCCCGGAAACACGTCTATGAGGTATTTTACGCGAAAAAAAAATTTGGAATTTTTTGAAAAACATTTTGGTCACCCGGTATACTTTTTGAGTAAAAAAAACATATGAAAAAATACCTATATGAGAATACTTAGTTTTTATCTTTATATATAGGTATGTTCAAGACACGAAGGCTCCAGGATACTGGTGGTTCGCGGAGAAAAAAATCTAAAAACCTGCGGTTTGTTGGAGCACAATTACGAAAAATACGGAGCGAAATTCGACATGGAACACAACCGCGTCAACGTGACCTACGAGAGACCGGCAGAAGAATTAGGACTAGTCGACACTGCTGCGGACAATAACACTGCGGCGAATAATGCGGGCCAAGAAGTGTTCGGAGACAGCGAAGAGGTCGATATCTACATCAGAAAAAGGATCGAAAAAGGCAAAACGCGCCTACAGAAAATCAATTCTACCAGAAGCAAGGAAAATACGACATCCGTAGTTCGCGAAAAACACTTCGCGCTGCACAAACCGAATAAACCCGAGTACGAAGAAACATCTGAACGAGCGAATTATGGTACAATATAATAATAATAATCAATGATATGGGCAAACACTCGATATTTTGAAATGTGGGTAAATGCCCAAGGTCTTGCACCCGGTATATTGTATACAGGGTGTTCGAGAAACTTCGGCATCAGCATCTTCTGTGTATAAAAATAAGTAAAAAAAGTTCGTATAAATGTATGTTCTAAAATGCTTCGTGTCAGAGATAGAGGGTGTAAAAGTTTTATTTTTATTTCAATTTTTTCCAATTAATTTCTGACCTGTCGGTATTTCAATGCACTAGAACTTCATCTGTCATGTTAAGAAATGAAAGTAAATAATAAAGCGCCTCTCGTGTTTGTTATTCGCACTCTAAAAATTTCAATTAGTGCCTGTATATATTTTTAATATATTTTTTACATTTTTTTAATTGTAAAGTAATATATTACATTTAAATGGAATATATTACATAACAATTATGTCAATTACAGGATTACAAGCTTGTTTTCTAACATTTTTTAAATAAAACGATTTATAAAATTTCAAAATATGTATATTTGTCGTAGGTATAAAAAAAGTAAAATATAAAATGGACAAACGCTTACTTACAATGCAATAAAACTTCCGCTTTTAGTTTTGCAATCCAAACGCAATATTTCTATTTCACAAATAAAAATATCCGACAACACTAAAATAACTGAAACTTCCGCGGCTGACAACGAAAACTGAAAAATATAACGGCACTTTTTGTTTTGGACCTGCATATCAACATTACGCTGTACTATTATGTGTTTGTTGTTGAAATAATATAAAATATCTAATTATAACTTGTAAATTTTAATATTTTAACATGATTTTAACTACTTTTGACAATAACTAACTTTTTGTTATCAAGATGACATGGCAATTGACATATATGTCATAATATTTGAATCTTAAATATCTATGTAATACCGTATGATCGAAAAAAAACGGCGTCCAGTTGGCTGGGAAATGACGATCGATGACATTTCCCATATAAATTTACATATAAAATGACAGCGATCTTCATTTCATAGCCATCGCTGACGCCGTTTTTATTCGATCATACGGTATAATTTAAATAATTACTATAATGCAAATTTATACTAAGAAAACATTTATACATTCACAAAATACAACAAAGTCTAATAATATAGTTTGAAAACAATGAATATTGAATTAAAATTGAAAAAGTTAAACGCGACCCCTTGTGTCAAAATTAGATGATTAAATTTTCGCAATTTTTACACCATTTGATGACCGGTGGCGCCTCTAATGTTTGCTCGGGCGGTTGGTATTTTACTCCCGCGTATAGCCATTAAAGAAAAAGTTCTAAAGGGGGATGTTTTGTGTTTCAATGGGCGCGTTCAGGGACGGTCAGCGGCTGAGTGGCTGAGTAAGCGGTTTCCCTAAACGGTCTCTTTTTACACGCAAAAATAGTCAGCCGCTGAGCAAAATACTCAGCGGTCGGTCAGCCACTGTGTTCCCTGAACGCGCACAATGAAAATTGTTGTCTTGATTTTTTGACATGAGAAATTTGACTTGAAGTCAATATGACGTTACTTGAAGAGTTATAACTTCGTCAGTACCGTAAAACGGGGCTACTTCGAACAGTTTTTGAGGTTTTTTGTAAGTTTTTTGACTTAAGTGTGTTCAAATTCAACCAATATTTTTTGTGTGGGTTACTACATCTTTCCCCTATGTCTAACCAAAAAAAATCTTAAACTTTCTTTTTCTAACGTATATATTGTTTTGTTTGAAAAGTGTCCGAAGTTATCCCCATATAGGTGGGGTAACTTCGGACATGCTTTTAAAAATGTCTAAATTTGATGTTATAGGCCAATGTAGAAAAAGTACCATTTCAAGACTGTTACAGAATTTTACACTATCGCCATTCGTGTTGGCATTAAAATGTGAGGAAGAGTACCAAATTTGATGAAAAATGGTTTACAAATAATATCCTTAAAAAGAAACAAAACATATTATTTTCATTTGCCCTTTCGAGTGCTACAACTTCTTCAGGAAGCATTTTAAGGCATATGTTCATTAGGAACTTATTTTTTATTTTTAACTGTAGTATCACCCACCGAAGTTAGATATACTAATTCCTTGACACCCTGTATTTCATTTTTTTTTGAATTTTTTTAATTATTTTATTACTATACAGGGTGTTTCAAAGAACATGTGCCATCTCTCGTGGGGAAAAATAAGATTTATTTTTCATATCAACATAGGTCCGATTCTGATTTGTTTTTTAGCTACAGGGTGTTAAAGTCTTAAATCTTTTACGTGAGGAATCTCCCCACGAGAGATGGTATATATTTTTTGAAACACCCTGTATAAATAATTTTTTTTATTAAAAAAAGGTAGAAATAAAAGAAACATCGAGGAACTGGACGTGCACGTCCAACATGGTGGAAATGCCTTTAACCAAACCGAGTTGGACAATAATGAAAGTACTAGCGTTAGCAGTTTCGAAACAGGCTTGCTCACATGCTACGACGGACAAATCCTGTTAACTCAGGGGTTTTCACCAAGTCGTACCTGTGAAAAAATCCACGATTTGGAAAAGATTGATCATATGGTGAGTCGGTTTAGAGTTATTTTGAATCAAACTGTTTCTTTTACTCTTATGTAGTTAGTAACTAACATCTTATGTACCTGTCAAATAACATTTAATGACTATATACTTATTTCTTTCTATCTTGGTAAAGGTACAGAGGTAATACGTATACTTATGTCAAATATACCTATTTAGATTTATAACAAAAACCTTGCTTTAAGTAGTAATAATTTTTGTAAAGTCGTTTATCCTTTGTAGTCGTCAAGGTGCAAGTAATTAAATGACTTACTATAAACAGCAATATAATAAAACATAAAACCGACATTTTCAATAAATAATCTGTTCAATAAAGTGATAATCCTAATTAAAACATCTTTATTAATCGGTACTATAATCTAAAGGATATTGCATTATTCCGTCTTGTCTCGTGTATTCTCCGAAGATACAGGGTGGTCCGAACTGTATTCCTGAAACTTCGGCAGCATATTCTGCAGATAAAAATAAGTAAAATAAAACACTAAATCACCACAATATCGCTAACCATGTTAGTATCATCAGCAGATGATTATAAACTAAAATACAATCTACAATTGGAGCGTTTATATACTAATCAGTGGGCACAGAGTGGGCGTGGCAAGATCTAGCCAACCGAGTCAGAACCCACCGAGCGTAAATGTTAGATTTCCGCCACTAGAGTAGTAGGAACAATTAAAGAACTTGAAGGAATTGGACCGTTGCCTCTGTTCATACTATCTTTGCATTTATTAATTCTGATGCTTTCATATTCATCTAATTACCTGTAATTTGAGACTTGTTTAAGTAATTTTAAGTTATATAAGATCTATACAATGTTCTTTATCAACAATATGTTCGGCAACGCAAGATTTATCAGGTCTACCATATATCTTATCTGAGCTAAATGTTCTTTAAATCTAGTTAATATTGATCTTCTAGTTTGCCCAACATATTTCTGATTACAATCTTTACAAGAAATTTCATAAATACCCGACCTTTCCACTAAAGGTGTTTTATCCTTTGGATTACCTAATAATTGTTGTAATTTATTATTAGCACTATACACAAGTTTATAATTGACATTCTTAAAAATTCCTTTTAGACCACGGGATAACTGTCTATCAAACGGTATTGAAAAATATTTTGACGTATCTTTCTCCACTTGAAAAGTCGAATTTTCAGAAATCATTAATTTCTGAAAAACCCTACAGCGACTCACCCTTATAACTTTTTTATTTTTTCAGATAAAAAAACCAGAATTGGTATGTTAGTATATATCATAAATTAGGATTGATTGACGTATTCAATTGTTTTCGGTCACTGTCATCCTGTTTCACCGGAAATGAGTACAACTTTTGATTTTTAAATGACACCTTCGGATTTTTTTTACTTTATTGGATAGAAAATAACACTCTGAATAGAATGACATATCATATGTCAACTTTTGACATTTTCGCATACGGTTTACTTGAAATTATAACTTGCGGTTCGGAAAAAAAATTTGACTCGAAATACCAAGTATGGGGTATCAAATTATTCGTAAAAAAATGCTTTTTCCAAATATGCTAATGAGCCACCCTCGTTCCATTTGAAAAATTGAGATATGATTAAAAATACGATTTGAGCATTTTCTAACTGGCCAGGACAAGACACCAAAAACATTAGACGATCAAATCTATTTTTCCAAGGCTCCTTGATTAAGAATTAGTGTTTTTAACATAGCCATGACACTCTATATTGAATTTTAAAATACAATTTTTTATTAAGCGGAAATGTCAAAAGTTGACATATGATATGTCGTTCTATTCAGAATGCCATTTTCTATCGAATAAAGTAAAAAAATACCGAGGGTGCCATTTAAAAATCAAAAGTTGTAGTTATTTCCGATGAAACAGAAATTTTGAGACGCACTCGGTATGCTGTTTTAATTGTCTTCTTGGATTTAGCAAATATTTTATATAACTTTCCAATATTTTTAAAACGAACTGGTTATTTTCCAAAAAATTTGGCAATAAAAAAATCCATATAAATAAAATTGAGACATATAGGTACGTGATTTAGAAATTTATTTTTTTTTTCATAGTCAAATACGCACCTTTATGATTTTTTGTGTATAATATTACTTTTTTGATGTACTTTTTTTTGTATATCTCACCTAATTAACAACCTATGCTAATGTATATAGAACCAAAAGCAATATAATATAATAATAATAAATACTTTTTGGATATGGTGGGATACCAACAATGTGCTGTCACTTATAACAAAATACGAAATAAATATACTTTAGTGCAGGTGAAAATCAAGTTGTCTTTGACCCTCTTATGCAGAAATGTATTGGTGAAATACCTACTTTCATTAAAATAGCCTATATACAGCACGTTCAGAGTGCTCGACATATTCCTCTAGCATTACTTGATTCTTATCTTTTGGTACTCGCATTGGTTTTTACGTAGGAGACAAGGTTAACATTAGCTCTAGTTTATTTCAGGTTCTCATCCCATATATTCTTTGAAAAACAATGTATTTCTTGAGAAGAATTCTGCCAGTCGTATTGTATTAGCAGGATAAATTTCCCTAACTGACAAAAAAAGCTTAACGTTTCAGGATATATCTCGCCCGGCGCCATAAGTAAAAAAACGGTGTCAGCAATGGCTACGAGATGAAAATCGCTGTCATTTTATATCTAAAACTAGCGTGTACCAGCGACTTCGTTGGCGTCGAATTAAGGCTGATTCATGGTACACCGTGACGGGCCGGGGCCGTGCGACGGTGAAGGCACGGCCAAACATTGTCAAATGTTATTTATACTTATGCATTCATGCTAAGCCGAGCACGGGCCGAGCTTCGCCGGAACGCGTCCGTGCCCCGTCCGAGAAATGTCCGTGTACATTTTTCCTCGGATCCGCTACGGTCCGGCCCCGTTGCGGCAAACATAAATGAGTCGCCCGGGCTAAATACTTCGTTCGTCTACGGGCCTATAGCGACTGTTTTCTAGCAGTGTTGCCGCACCCAACTTTTAGCGCGTACCACATTATAAACTAAAAATGTACCACTACAATTTTACAAATTTTTTAAAGCACAACAAAATACATCTGCAAATGACTTTAACCGGTTTGGTCGCTGTGAATTTCTTCATAAATTTCTACATAAAAAAACTTCCTGGAGAAAGACACAAATCGAGACGAAAAACATGAAATAGAAATTCAGAAAACCCAATTATAAGTATGTATAGGTTGAAGAAATCTAAGTAATTCTAATACTACACACAATACTTGGAAAACTTAAATTTTATTAAAAAAACGCAAATATAGAAGCATGTTAGAAACAGTAAATTTTCAAGTTTTTTCTTCGGGTTATTTAATATAGGCAACGCTATAGACATTACAACGTTTATAATACGTCGTTAATTAATGCGGATTCTCTCCGAATGGTATCGGTAAGCGCGTTTAATGCAATATCAACAACAATAATTATTAAATATCTATTCATTTTCGGTGCGCGTGGGAAATAATTATTGTACCAAATCATCCTGGATTTGAAAATGTAGTACCACTGTACCAAATAGAATTAAAAGTATCAAATTTGGTACAAATGTACCACTGCGGCAACACTGTTTTCTAGAATATAATCGGCACGGACATGATCCCCGTTGTCAACTCGGTGTAGTGTGTAGCATATATTGAAGGCCCGGACGTGGCTCGGTGTCTACTTTACGGAACGTGCCCGGCTCGGGTACGGCCCGGTGTACCATGAATCAGCCTTTAATCATTTGTAATGGTGATGATGAAGCAAAGCAAGAATTTCCATTAACATACAAACTGGATAAAATTTTCTCACATTTATGTCAGCATGAGAAAAAACAATATGGCGATATTACATATTATATAACTTGGTAATATTTGAGGGGTAGTTTCATCTCGTTGGAATTTGACTTTCGAAAAATCTGTTTGCCAAAAATAAGCTTTTTACGTCAAGCAGTTTAAGCAGAATCGTGGTTAAGAAATTACCCAACTTTTTGGAACACCCTCTATGATTTTTTTAAAAGACTAACCGTTTTTTAAATAACAAATATTGTAATATTTGAGGGGCGTTTTCACCCCCTTGGAATTTGAGATTCGAGAAACCCCTCCTTATCGAACCTCTACACCCCACAGTCAATCCGTTTGCCAAAAATCAGCTTTAAACGTCAAGCAATTTAGGCAGAATCGTGATTACTCAATGGTCATATTTTATGAAACACCCTGTATAAATTTATAAAAAATCTTAAAGTATGTAAAACAACAAAATAAAATATACGTGATTAAGAGTTTTTGCGTAAAACTCACCGGTTTTTATATAAAAAATATTTTAATATTTGAGGGATAGTTTCACCCCCTTAGAATTCGAGTTTCGAAAAATCCCTTCTTATCGAACCTCTACACCCTAAAGTCAATCTGTTTTCCAAAAATCAGCTTTTTACGTCAAGAGCTTTAAGCAGGATCGTGATTAATCAATGACCAGATTTTTCGAAACACCCTGTATACATTTTTAAAAAAATCTTAAAATATGTAAAAAAACGAAATAAAATATACGTGTTTAAGCGTTTTTTCGGAAACTTGATCGTTTTTTAAATAAAAAATATTGTAATATTTGAGTGGTGGTTTCACCCTCTTATTGGAAGTGGAATTTCGAAAAATCCCTTCTTATCGAACCTCTACACCCTAGAATCAACCTATATGCCAAAATTGAGCTTCTTACGTTGAGTGGTTTGAGCAGGATCGTGATTAATCAGTATGTCAGTCACTTAAGGATTTTATATATACAGGGTGTTTCAGATTTTAATCGGGAGAATTTAATAGACGATAGAACTTGCAAAAATAAAACAAACAGTTCATATCAACTTGTAAGATTTAAAGCTTCCTTTTCGAGATACAGGGTACCATTAGAATACCAATTACAATATTAATTACCATTTAGAATTTATTTTTTTTTCGCAAGAGGTAAGCAAGATAGACAAAAAAGTCAGGAGACAAAAAAATAATATATTTAATTATTAAATCCAAAAATAATATCAAACTTCTAAAAAAGCAGTGGCGTGCCTATTTTTTGCTTTAAAATAATTTAACAGTGATGCCCCACCGCCGCCCCTGGCCTTTAAACTTAAATCTAATTACATCAAATTAAGTCCCATAGTAAGTATTATAAACGGGTCAAGTTATATCCAAATCGATTAAATAGTTTTTCAAATATCTTAACTTTTTGTTTCTTTTTTAAGTAACTTTAACACCCTGTATCTCGAAAAGGAAGTTTTAAATCTTACAAGTTGATATGAACTTTTTGTTTTATTTTTGCAAGTTCTATCGTCTATTAAATTTTCCCGATTAAAATCTGAGACAACCTGTAGTAGTATATGGGGAATGTCATCGATGTTCATTTCGAAGCCAACTGGACGCCGTTTTTTTTTCGATTATACGGTAGCTCCACCGTACGAGTTAAACGGAAACGCGAGAAAAACTACGAATGAATATTTTTATTTAGAAGAAGAAAATTTCAATTATTTTTCATCAATAGTTTTGCTATAAAAAGGAACATTTTCAGGTTACTACCCACGAGGTGGCTTCCGACGGCTACTACTACTACATCTTCTATTCCGACAACGATTTCGTCAAGAACGAGATCCACGCGATTTTCGACATCTACAAACCCACTTACCAATACGCGGAATCGGCCAAGATCAAGGAGTGCGTCAACAGCACCGAGTGCAAATTCGACCTGAGCATCATGTCGGACGAGGTGGTGATCGTGGAGATACCGACCCACGACGGTATCGAGCACAAAGACGATGACATCGGCTTCATTACGAGCACCTGCCATCCCAGAATGACCGTCTACATGATATTCCCCATTCTAGTACTGTTGCTTATATTAGGCTGTGCATTTTTGTAAATATTTATCTCTAGATAATTTTTTTAATATAATTGTTTTGTTTGTATGTTTTGCTCCTTTTATTTTTTCTTACAGATGTACCTATTGTGTTTCCTGCCTTTCTTACTGTTCATACAGGTTCAGGGCTTTGATTAAAGCCGGTATCTGAGACGGGTTTATAGAAAAGTTCAATGACTAAAGAATCCAAGGACAAATAACACTCAAGAGCAAACTCTGCCGATGTCACCAAACAGTGCCGTAGCACATATTTTTCTTAACCTAGCTGTTTGAAGCAATATTTATATTTTTTGATAATTGTTTTGACTACGCCTATGGTGTATCATCCTAATTAATTACGAAAAAAACGTATTAAAATGTTAACAAAAGATACAAAACTAGTATCGACGTTTAGCACATATCAAGTACATATAGATGTTAATTGAAATTGAAGAATAATTATCGAATTCAATAAGAAAACGCTAAAAAGTTGGAGTGGACTGTTTATTTACCTATGAAACCTAACTCCTGGCTCTTCCTTATCGCTGCTGTTTCTACACTTGAAAGTTGAACAACTAATCACCATTGTAATCAAGTTTATACAAAGTTTACTACACACAAACTATTAAAAATCGCTAAAATTGTCGCTGGTGACCAAATGATGACTCATTGTTTGCCACCAAAAGAAAGGTCTCTAAGGTCACAAATTCTGCTGCAGCCCGTATAGGGGCGTTACATGTCCTTATATTCTTTAGTCATTGGAAAAGTTACTTCTCCATTTCCAATATCGGTCGTACCAAAGTTCATGGCACGAATTTAGTTTGTTAGTTCGTAGTTTGGCAATCCAGCATCAATTTTACCATGGATATGGACAATGAACAAGTATAGTTAAAGTTAAGTAATCTTGAATTAAAATGACTGTCACTAACGGTCACAGACGAAGGTCCATAGAATCCTTTGAATAACAAGACTAAGGAAGGAGCATATCAAAAATCTTAGGTACACCGCGACGGGCCTCAAATATGGCCGACTTAAATTCCGGTTAATCAGTGTCGTTCTAATTTTATTTAAAAAATGTAAAACTATGATATAGGGTAGACGTGGGGTAGACTCAATAATTTGTTGTTTTATTTTACGTTGTGAATAAATGTTGGTAGTTATTAAAATTGTTATAAAAATATATAATTCTAATAAAAATAGATAAGTTATAATAAGTATTTATTACCACAAACATCCGATACGCTACTGAAGCAGGTAAGTCAAATTAACGTATCTAAATTCTTTGACATCTAATCTTTGACAAGTAATAAATAAAAGCTAAAATGCAAGAAAAATATATAATTTAGTTAATTTAAGTGAATTTCATAAATGATCGGTTTACTACACGTATGTATATTATATAGTCACTTACTAGCGAAAAGTTGTTCCATTATTTCACTCAATTTTTGCCGAGATCTATCGCACGCTACACAACCAACTATTTTAGAGTCTTTTTCGATAAATCGCGATAGTGTCACTGTTAATTTAAGTGCTGCCACAATTTCCATCTAGATTTACTACCTTTATACAACTATCAGTAGTGGAATAAATAATAAATAACATAAAATAAGCTCCGTAAAGACCGACAAATCCACAAAATTTCAAATCAAATTCAAATGTGTCAAATGAATCGTCAAACAGAACTGTCAAGGATCCCCACCCTAGAGTGCTTTTATGGCGCTTTTTCCGCCCACCATGCATGAATACATGGATAGCATTATGCTCCTTCCTTAGTCTTCTTATTCAAAGATAGAATCGAAAAAAAACGGTATCAAAAACGACCGGGAAATGACAATCAATGATAATTTTAAATCTATTCTTCTTTATCTTTGAATAAGAAGACTAAGGAAGGAGCATATCAAAAATCTTAGGTACACCGCGATGGGCCTCAAATATGGCCGACTTAAATTCCGGTTTATCAGTGTCGTTCTAATTTTATTTAAAAAATGTAAAACTATGATGTAGGGTAGACGTGGGGTAGACTCAATAATTTGTTGTTTTATTTTACGTTGTGAATAAATGTTGATAGTTATTAAAATGGTTATAAAACTATATAATTCTAATAAAAATAGATAAGTTATAATAAGTATTTATTACCACAAACATCCGATACGCTACTGAAGCAGGTAAGTCAAATTAACGGATCTAAATTCTTTGACATCTAATCGTGATCTAATCTTTGACAAGTAATAAATAAAAGCTAAAATGCAAGAAAAATATATAATTAAGTTAATTTAAGTGAATTTCATAAATGATCGGTTTACTACACGTATGTATATTATATAGTCACTTACTAGCGAAAAGTTGTTCCATTATTTCACTCAATTTTTGCCGAGATCTATCGCACGCTACACAACCAACTATTTTAGAGTCTTTTTCGATAAATTGCGATAGTGTCACTGTTAATTTAAGTGCTGCCACAATTTCCATCTAGATTTACTACCTTTATACAACTATCAGTAGTGGAATAAATAATAAATAACATAAAATAAGCTCCGTAAAGACTGACAAATCCACAAAATTTCAAGTCAAATTCAAATGTGTCAAATGAATCGTCAAACAGAACTGTCAAGGATCCCCACCCTAGAGTGCTTTTTCCGCCCACCATACATGAATACATGGATAGCATTATGCTCCTTCCTTAGTCTTCTTATTCAAAGTTCTTTATGGTTTAACGACGCCTACTGCCTTAATAAGGTGGGCCTTAAGAAGGTTGTATTTTTTTATATTAAGTAAAAATGATCTTTAAATGGTGTAGTTTAAAATTTTTATGTAAAGTTTGATGTCAATTTTTACTAAATGACGTCTAGAGATTAACATTGCCAAAATTGCCATCTCTTGTCATTCCGCAGCAGTCTTTGACAGCGTTTTTTTTTCGACCATTTGAAATATTTGACAAGTTATCTCGTAAGTTACCTGAGGAATGACCGAACAATGCCATTTAACATAATTTTTCAAGTAAAAAATCGTTAGGTTGTGAGTCATTTCTAAGGTGACTTGACGCCTTTTTTTTCCCACCATTTTTAACTGAAATCTATTTCCAAAAAATAACTTCTACTGAATAGATTACTGGTTGTCTGGAAACCTGATTTTTTCATGCCGGTTTAATTGTGTTGATTTGTAGGTGTTAAGAATAAATAGCTGAAATAAAATGCAAAAGTTTATTCATCACTAATCGTTTAATTAATTAATCGATCAGCTGCCTAAAACCTAACTACAGTTCAAAAAGTTTAAAATAATCTCATTTAAAAATATTTAACTAAACATTAAATTAAATGACCAACAATTCGAAAAAAAATAAACAAGACAACAAATTATTGGACTCAGTTTTATTATTAATGTATAATACAAAATATTTAACATCCAATAAGGGAATATTTCCTTTTACACTTTTTGTAATTAAAATAACCATTCCAATATCCAACCAAATTTTTCCTGAAAAAGGTGTGTCGCGGCGGGAAACGCCACAGACCCGGCGACGGGCCAGCAATGAAACATTTACTTCTAGAGGAAGAAGCGTCCATTTTAAAATCGTTAAATTTAAATAAAAATTATTCGCTACGGTTACACATAAAATTAATCAGTATTGAACATGTACAAATTACACTTAGGAAAGTTTTTATGTTTGATTTAGCGAACCCGGGAGCGTTTAGAGCGCACGTCGCTGACGCGCCCAAAGATTGACTGTCTGACACAGGATGCGCGCGCCAAAACGGAACCTTAGGCAACAACAACGGCGCATCGGGCGCGCACCAGTTCGCGGCCACCGCGCGAGCCAAGAAGCGGGGTCTTGGGGGCGGCTTAAATCAGGTCGGCCACGTTCATGGGCATCTCGTCGATTTTCGTGTTGTAGAACTGCTCGATGTCGTGCAGCGTGCGCTTGTCTTCCTCCGTCACGAAGTTTATGGCCACTCCCTTACGACCGAAACGGCCGCCTCTTCCGATCCTAGACAAGGGGAAAAAATACGTGTCTTAACAATAATTCCAACATCAAACCAAATTTATCTGCATTATTAATTACATCAGACAGATTAAAAAATATAATCATGGATCTTCAGAGATCTTGGTGGTTCAATATCATCATGAAATGGTTCGTTCAGAACTTAGAAGAATATTAGTAGAATAAATTTGTGGTTACAATTATGCTTTTCGCGTTTTTTTTCGCCACTTCGTCCACGTAAAATTATATTTATATTAAAAATGGCATTAATATGAAGTGTAATATAGTCTGTCAAACGAATAACTTTGAATTTTACAGTTCCAGCGGGCTTTTCTAGTGTTAATTTTATTAGGTTAGCAAATTGCTTTGAATAAGAAGACTAAGGAAGGAGCACATCAAAAATCTTAGGTACACCGCGATGGGCCTCAAATATGGCCGACTTAAATTCCGGTTTATCAGTGTCGTTCTAATTTTATTTAAAAAATGTAAAACTATGATGTAGAGTAGACGTGGGGTAGACTCAATAATTTGTTGTTTTATTTTACGTTGTGAATAAATGTTGGTAGTTATTAAAATTGTTATAAAAATATATAATTCTAATAAAATAGACAAGTTATAATAAGTATTTATTAACACAAACATCCGATACGCTACTGAAGCAGGTAAGTCAAATTAACGTATCTAAATTCTTTTGACATCTAATCTTTGACAAGTAATAAATAAAAGCTAAAATGCAAGAAAAATATATAATTTAGTTAATTTAAGTGAATTTCGTAAATGATCGGTTTACTACACGTATGTATATTATATAGTCACTTACTAGCGAAAAGTTGTTCCATTATTTCACTCAATTTTTGCCGAGATCTACCGCACGTTACACAACCAACTATTTTAGAGTCTTTTTCGATATCTCGCGATAGTGTCACTGTTAATTTAAGTTCTGCCACAATTTCCATCTAGATTTACTACCTTTATACAACTATCAGTAGTAGAATAAATAATAAATAACATAAAATAAGCTCCGTAAAGACTGACAAATCCACAAAATTTCAAATCAAATTCAAATGTGTCAAATGAATCGTCAAACAGAACTGTCAAGTATCCCCACCCTAGAGAGCTTTTATGGTGCCTTTTCCGCCCACCATGCATGAATACATGGATAGCATTATGCTCCTTCCTTAGTCTTCTTATTCAAAGGGCTATGCTGACGCAATGCTGTCTCTAATAGAACAGCCTCGAAGCGAGATTTATGACGTAACGCTAGTTAAATACTACGGGTTAATAAATATGTTGTAGAATACATGGAAAACATAATAATTCCTCGTATTTTTGGGTTGTATTTTAAAAATGATATAGTTTACATGAAATATACATAATATACAGTTAATAAATACAATATATATACCTATTCTTGGAAAATTTATTATTCTTGAACCTTGTAATTAAATATTCTGTTTTTTTTTAATTTTCTTGGGATTTAGGTTCGGGAAAACTCTGATTAAGTTTTCATTTGGGTTTTCATATTTTTATTTCATTTTTAAAGGAAATAACCAAACGTTTCGGCCAACATTACAGCCTTCATCTGTGTAGCTAGTGTCAAAATCAAAAAAACAGTGCCGAACATAATCCAAAAATTACATAGAACAAATTCACAAACACACACAGCATAATGTTTACTATAATTAATAAAACTAATATCAACTTGTCAGAGGATGGCTACATATTTTTTTTTTAAATGATTATTCGTAAGACCAAAACGATCCACGTATGTATATTGACTGACCAGTCAATATACTTATATATATATTATAGTAAACATTATGCTGTGTGTGTTTGTGAATTTGTTCTATGTAATTTTTGGATTATGTTCGGCACTGTTTTTTTGATTTTGACACTAGCTACACTGATGAAGGCTGTAATGTTGGCCGAAACGTTTGGTTATTTCCTTTAAAAATGAAATAAAAATATGAAAACCCAAATGAAAACTTAATCAGAGTTTTCCCGAACCTAAATCCCAAGAAAATTAAAAAAAAAACAGGATATATACCTATTTATAGTAATAAATAACTTTCGCAAATAAACCAAATTAACTATGAACCATACAAATGCAGCAAATGTTTTACAATATACAAATAATGAATAAGTACATAAGATAATGGGTAAAATGTAAAATATATTTTAAATTTTGGGGTTTGAAAATCGATCTAATTTAACAAACAACATTCAATATCTACTACTTACTATGGCTGAAATTGTATTCCATAGTCAATGTAGATAGTTTTAGTGTTAAGAATAATAATTTAAAAAAATACGTGGTCATCTTTTGACAAGTTTATATTAGTTTATTAATTGCAGTAAACATTATGTGGTGTGAATATTTTATATGTAATTTTTTGGATTATATTCGACACTATTTTTTTCATATGACACAACACTGATGAAGGCTATGATGTTAGCCGAAAAGTTTTTTTAACCAAAAAAAATGAAAAAACAAATCAAAACTTAATCAGCGTTTTTCCCGAACCTAAATCCCAAGAAAATACAAAATTTTAGAATAATTTTACATATGACAGCGATCTTTATTTCATAGCCATCGCTGCAGCCTTTTTTCTATGATATTGTATTATTTGCAAATATAATTTTTCGAACATTGATACTTGCAAAATATACATATACATTTTGTGAATGCAAATAATAATACATCACTATTAGTAGATATTGAATGTTTTTTGTTAAATTAGATCGATTTTCAAACCCCAAAATTTAAAATATATTTTACATTTTACCCATTATCTTATGTACCTATTCATTATTTGTATATTGTAAAACATTTGCTGCATTTGTATGGTTCATAATTTATTTGCCAAAGTTATTTATTACTATAAATAGGCATATATATTGTATTTATTAACTGTATATTATGTATATTTCATGTAAACTATATCATTTTTAAAATACAAACCAAAAATACGAGGAATTATTATGTTTTCCATGTATTCTACAACATATTTATTAATCCGTAGTATCTAACTAGCGTGACGTCATAAATCTCGCCCTAGGCTGTTCTATTAGAGACGGCATTGGTCTGATATTTAGAAATGTCAAAAGCTGATGACATTTTACTTTTGACAATTGTGTTGATTTTTGTAAGAAGAGGAAGAACTGTCACTTGTTTTATTATTTTCCTTTTCTATTTCACGAAAGTAAAAAGAGTTACCTATCTGATTCGTTCAGGCACTCAATTTATAGAATATCAGTAACTTTTTTAACAGAGGAATTTTATATTTACCATGTTGGTAAAAAATAACGGTCAAAATTCAAAGTTATTCATTTTATAGACTATAGGTCTGTTCGTTTTCCTGTTATTATCGATTCTGAATCGTCCTAGAACTCTCCAGCGCATGCGCAAATGAAATAATGTCTTCATATTTCCTTCTGCGCATACGCATCACAATTCTAGGACGGTTCAGAATCGGTAATAAGAGAATCCAATATTAAAATATAACCATTTTTTTAAAAGGGTATGTTCTACAGTATTATAAATATTTTGCGAGTCACTCTTTATAAAAATTTTTGGTAGAAAATCCCGTTTTTACATATTCAAATTTCCATATCGTTCCAAACTAAATTAACCAAAAAATTCAATTAATTCATTATATAGTAATATAATTTCCTTTTAATTTTTTAATAGATGACTAGTGTTATTTTTTATTAGTCTCATATTTTTTACTACTTTAAAATATGTTTAAATCTTAAAGAACCACAAATTTCATTTAGTTCAGTGCTCACTGTTCGGTTTTTATATGATTCAAAATAAAAAATATATAAATTGTAAAATTAGTAATTTTTTAATGGCCATAATGCGTTCTTTCAAAATCATCGAACAACTAAATCATTTCCATAGATCCAGTGACGTACCGTGTCTTTGAATTTTGAGACCAAAAACTGACAAATAATTTGTCAAAAAAATCATATTACAGCTATGTGTTTTATTTTGCATAAAAATGTTAACTAATAAGTTAGAATAATTATATTTCTTCCCTAACCAAGTGGTTTTATCGCTAAATTTATCTAAAGGTAAGTACAACACAAATCTTAAATACGTGGACTATTATAACAACAAATACATCTTAAAAGACTATTTTTGTAGCATTCTGAACGAGGATTCAAGTTAAACTTTTTAGAAAATAATTTAAAGGAAAAATGAACCTGATCGCAGATGCTTGTTCCGAGTAAAATCCTAGAGCTCTCTGATTTGCTTTTATAAACTCTGGCACATGATGCAGAATTGCATGAATCTTTGGAGTTATCTTAATACCTAAGTTGAGTATTTCCAATCTAAATTGTTCGATGTCATGTTCAAAATGTTTGTTTAGTGCTTGACCAAAACAACTCGAAACTAGTTGATTGAATGCAGAAAACACTGCAATATATTTATTCCTAAAAAAAAAAGATGTTTAGGTTTTTGCTTCTAAAAACTTTGAATAGGTTCTTTACCGGGCGATATCGTCTTCAAAATATCCACTTTCTTTAAAAATTGTCTGGCGATATTTCCGTTACATTTTCCATAATGATCTAGTTTCAATCCCGCTTTTTTTTTATCCATTCTGTTGCAACATTGATATTCTCCAATTCAAGACAATCAAATAGTTTTTGAACCACACCTAACAAAAGGTGAAGCTCGGGAGGGGGAATATACCTTAAGACAGGTGTTTCTACGTCGCCAATGATTAAAGGTATGTTTATACAATTTTCTAAAAAATAATTGCCCTTTTTTATATGGTTCATTGAACAAAAGTTTAAAAAATACAAAAAAAATATTTCAAACAAAAGCGCTTACTAAAATCTTTGGCTTTTGTTATATTTCCTCCAGATTGTTGCCATAAATTTGTATTTTCTGTAATACTTTTTATAGTTCTGAATGATCCTTTAATTTCCATTTCCTTTACATTTACATCACACCATGGGCAAGTGTGAGTGGATGAATTTGACTGAAGACCAAGGAGAATCATAATAAGCTTAAAGTCAGCGGCAAAAGTATAGGAACAAATTCCACATATGGACTGCAGATCTAACGCCTCAAAGAGGCTTTTAATGTTAGCATAAGATTCAGACAACTTTGGTCCTAAGCCAATTATAAATAGTTTATTAATTCCAGCACTTTTATATTTCTTGACATATTCGGGATCATTTTCAGGGAGCACATTCAGACAAACTTTAAGTGATCCACCACCACTCTCAATGCCAATTTTTAGATGAAAATCTTCAGGTAATTCTCTAATTTCCAAAATATATGATAGAAGACCAGAAAAATCTGAGCAGTATACAAAAACTAATATTAACTGAATTAACATTTTTCCTTTAAATTATTTTCTAAAATGTTTAACTTGAATTCTAGTTCAGAATGCTACCAAAATAGTCTTTTACGATGTATTTGTTGTTATATTAGACAACGTATTTAAGATTTGTGTTGTACTTAGCTTTAGTTAAATTTAGCGAGAAAACCACTTAGTTAGGGAAGAATTATAATTATTCTAACTTATTAGTTAACATTTTTATGCAAAATAAAGATTTTTATGACAAATTATTGTTTCAGTTTTTGGTCTCAAAATTCAAAGTCACGTACGTCACTGGATCTATGGAAATGATTTAGTTGTTCGATGATTTTGAAAGAACGCATTATGGCCATTAAAAAATTACTAATTTTACAATTTATATATTTTTTATTTTGAATCATATAAAAACCGAACAGTGTGCTACTGAGGTGATTATAAATGTTGTGCTTCTTTAACATTTTAAAGCTGGAAAAATAGGACATTAATCAAAATGGAATAATCATTTACAAAAAAAATGAAATTTTACCCTAGAAACGCGTTTTGATTTTTGGGACTAATCAAATATAATATTTTCACGTAGAAAGTTTAAATGGGGAGCAAAAACTTTTATGTAGAATGCATTTTTGTCAAAAAGTTAACATACTGTATAAGTATTTAAATTATAAGTCTTATCATAAACACTCCAAACTAATCTATTAAAAGGTTTTAATATCAGTAAAATTTATATTATGCCCAATTGTGAAATAGAATAAATGAAACTTTTTCTATTTTTTCATACTCCTTTAAATATTAATTTCTGTAAGGCTGTAAAACCGACTTAAAGAACTAAAATACTTAGAAAATCACTTTTTAAAAAGGTTTTAGTATTAGTCGAAAATCATGAAATAAAACTAATGAGACTTACCGATGAATGTAGTTTTCTCTGTTGGAAGGTAGGTCATAGTTAATAACTAAGGAAACTTGTTGTACGTCGATGCCTCTGGCCAGCAGATCCGTGGTGATTAAAACTCTGGAGGACCCCGTTCGGAACTGTCTCATAATGACGTCGCGCTCTCTCTGCTCCATGTCCCCGTGCATGGCGCTAACTGTAAAGTCCCGCTTGTGCATGTTTTCCGTGAGCCAGTCCACCTTGCGACGAGTATTGCAAAAGATCACGGCCTGGGTGATGGACAGGGTGTCGTACAGATCGCACAATGTTTCCAGCTTCCACTCCTCCTTCTCCACGTAGACAAAGAACTGCTTGATACCTTCCAGGGTCAGCTCTTCCTTTTTCACCAATATTCTGATGGGATTTCTCATAAAGGATTTTGTTACATCTAATACGTCCGGGGGCATGGTAGCAGAGAGCAAAATGACTTGAACGTCGGGACTCAGAGTTTTGAATACATCGTGAATCTGGTCCTTGAAACCTCGAGATAACATTTCATCCGCCTCATCCAATACAAACATTTTGATGTTTTGCGATCGTAGGGCGTTTCTTGTTATCATGTCATATACACGACCAGGCGTGCCTAAAATCATAATAAATTTCATCAAAATCTGTTTGTATCTATCCAGCAACATTAATTTATAATAAACATCATCAAATAAACTGCTTTTCCTATTACTCTGTTTTGTATAAATAGTTGAACTTGGTATTGAACATTATACAGAAAAATTTTTATTTCCATTGAATAAAGACTACACATATCAACATAAATATTACAATAATGATAAACAAAGCATTAATTATAAAAACACAAAACACTCACCCACAACTACATGTGCTCCAGCTTCTAGTTTTCTGATGTCCTCTCTAACATTAGTGCCTCCAATACAGGCATGACACTGTGCCGACATAAAATCTCCTAAAGCGATAACGACTTTCTGTATTTGTTGTGCCAGTTCACGAGTCGGGGCTAAAATGAGGGCTTGACATTCCCTCAAGGAAGTGTCGATTTGTTGTAGAATAGATATAGAAAAAGTGGCCGTTTTTCCAGTTCCGGATTGTGCTTGAGCGATAACGTCGAGTCCCTTAACGCACGGTATAATGGCTCGTTGCTGAATGGCCGAAGGTTTCTCAAAACCGTAAGCATAAATCCCCCTAAGAAGTTCTTCTTTCAGGTTCATATCGTCGAAGTTGTCGACCACTTCGTCCCAGTTCGACTCGATGACGCCGTCGGGGTCCATTCCCGGGGGCCCATCGTAACCTTGAGGCTCCTTCTCAGAGGTCGGGCCGTTCTTCTCCCATTCCTCATTTCTACAATTAATATAGGTGACATGAACATATGGTACAAAAAAAGTTCAAATAACAACCAAACAAACTTTAACTATGTGGATTCAGACAGAATAAACAATTAATTACATAATTTTAACTTAAGTTTTACGAGAAGTGACATATTTAGAGGTTAAAAATACACATACAAAACTCCGTGGCGGTACTATCCAGTCCCGCCAGGAAGTACATTTTTGCGGCTTTTTCTATAAATAGTACTAATTCAAACAAGACGGTTTAGTTAATCAGAATATGAATATTTGTTAAAGGAATTTTATACGCCATGTTGGCACCAAGTTGTGAGCCATGCCGCATAAAATAACAGTAGACAGAAGTATATATGGAGGGTAACGTTTAGAAAATCAAAACTGCTACTGCTAGGACTCCCATACTTAATCTTGTAGCGAAAAAATGTGAAATTAGTTTCTAATTAAAGGAAAAACTCACCGCCTTTCGTGCACAGACATGATTCACTTCAAGCTCTCTTGAAGAAAAGACAGGTTTTGAGTTGAGGTTTGATATCCAGTTCCAAATATCACTACGCGTTGACAGCTGCAATAAAATTTGTATTTAATCAGACATCTGATCTCAAATACAAAGTTAAAATAATTTTAGATGTAGCACTTGTCACACTTAATTATAATATGTTTCTGGAATATATTTTATACCTGAAAATAGATATTTTATTTAAGGTGTTAATTTTGCAGCGGAGTAAAGTTTCCTGTGCAACTCCGGAAATTGATTGTAAAAATATTCCCGCCAATATTCGAATTCTTATATGAAATAAGTTTTTTATTTACTTGCAAATTTTTCTTTTTGACAATTCTGACAATTAAAATTGTGACTGGTTTTTCCGTTGAAAAATACTTCATACTGAATATTCCGAGAAAATTATTATTGTGCGTACTAGGTATATGTATTTATTAAACTGCCAAAATAGGAAAACTTGGTAATGAATAAAAATATTTTATTTTCATTGCATATCTATAATATGTACCTGTAAATTAATGTTCGTGTTATTTTTTGTATTGATTTGAAATTTCAAATAACTTTCTAAATTTTTACGTTTTAAATTATTATTTTGAATAATTGTAGAGTATTTTTGGATCTGAAAATAAATACACACATTGTATTTCTTTTATGTTACCTTTTATACCTACAGCTGTTTACAGGTGTTTTTTTCTTATTTTCTATTATTTAGATTTCTATTTCTTTACGGTACTTTTAAGGAATTTACGTAGAATTTACATAAGTTTAAATTTAAGTTACCTTATATCTAGTTATAAATCTCTGGTTATAATTGGATAAAATCTTTTTATTATTAAAAAGTAACGGTACACATATTTTATTAAACAATATTTTGTATCATGGTTTCTAGGTATTTATGTTAATTAAATAGGTGTTTAATAATAATTTTTCTGAAAAACATATTTTTGAAAAATTCTAAACTACAAAAATAGGGATTTCCAAATCAAAATTTCGATAGGTTGGCTATTTGAAAATTCCTGTCATGCGCATACGGTTTGGACGAAGCGTCAAAAGTGGCTTCCGCCTTCACAATTTCGCTGCACAAGTGTATTCGAAATCGGCTTTTGTCAAGAGTTGCAGTAGAAAATTTGTAGTATTTATTCCAAGGATTTAAGTGTTTTAATATAATAAATCAAATAACATGAGTTGGCAGGATTACGTTGACAAACAACTCTTAGCTTCCAGATGTGTGACCAAGGCGGCTATCGCTGGGCACGATGGAAATGTCTGGGCAAAATCTGACAACTTCGATGTAAGTTTTATTTTATATGTTCTTATACCTTTATTTTCCGATATTTTGTTCAATATTACAGTTGTTTCATAGACAATACGTAAATCTAATAATTCCCTTTAACATCTTTGTGATGGAACAAAAGAATTTTTGGGTTGGGTCGTTTTTTTACACATTCAGGTAAATTTATTCACGTAATTTACAGAAAACAGTTTTTCTCTGGTGCTTTAGTTACCGTTCAACCGTTTAATTCTTTCGCATTTAATTAATAGTTCTGTAATTTTTGTTAATATTTTTACCGGCTAGTCTTGGAGACAAGATGGCGGCGAAAGTATTCGACGTGTAAAAATAAGATTCGCTATTCAAGCAATAACGAATTCTATATTTGGTACTCATTTCAGACCTTATGCTGTTTAGGAAAGTTGCTTTTTCAAACGTCCTTTTATTCATGCGGTCGTTGACAATTTACTTGATCGCTTTGAACATTGATTCTTTTTCCAATCTGTTTTCCTAATATGGTTTAACAGTCGAAAAAAAAACCTTTGCGAAACTTCTATATCGCCCTTTCGTGCTAGACCCGTAATCAAAACAAAATATACCTTGAAATTTACTTCGAAAAAGATTATTATTGTTTTTCTAGTCCTTATAAAAGTACGTTATTTTAAACTGCTTGAACAATAGAAATAAGATCAATTGTTACAGCTGCGGTGCTCCTAATATTTATTTTAAACCTTTCCAACTAATCGGAAATCTGTTGAGAGCCCTTGGTATCTTAATTTAATATGATTCACAAAATAATAGGAAAGACGATGATGTCATCTTGCAATTTTATTATTCCAAAATTTATGGTAGCAGTTTCTGATAATTTTTATGTCATAACGATTATTCTCGAGTTATAAATTATAAGAACAATTCAAGTTTAGCACGACTATGTATGTACTGATATACACCAAAAGCGGCAGATTTATTGTCTATACAATCCCGATTTTTTTACTGTTTTACTCGTTTTAAACAGGCGGTTTTGAAAGAACCAAATACCATGCATTTTGCCTTTAATTGGTCCTTGAAATTGATTTCAAAATTGAAATAATTCCTTTTATCGTTAAACATCGATGCAAGTGAAATGACAAATATATGACTGGGTAGAAAAATATTTTTGCTGATAAGATAAAAATTGTTGCTAGCGGAAATTGAACTTTAATGGTTTTATGTGCAAAGACTTATTTATATGTTCCTGTTATTAATAAAGCCTTTGTTTGAACTCTATAATTAACATTGACCGTTTTATTTTAATTTTTATATTTTAATAGTTTTAAAGTTTCTATAGTAAATATTTTCATTCAGTATTCTACCAAATGTCCTAAAATTATTTTGAATACTACTATTTTGGAAAGATGGGCCAACTTTTTGGCAATGTTTCAAGATTCTGGATCGTATTACAAATTTCGTCAAAATTCTAAGTTTGTATATTTTTAAAAATAAACCGATCCTTTTTAAATGACCTCATTATTATTGTTTTTTGACTATAAAAAGGTATAATTGTAAAAACTAGCTTGTAAACTTGGTCAGCTAGACAACACGAACTTTATATTTAAATAAAAAATATGTATAGTAAATTTATGATTTTTTTTTCAACAAGTTTTGTATTATTTGTAAAGAAAATGTTCCAAATGTATTTAAATTGAGTTAATGCATGACTCGCCTACATCTATGTGGGTTGGTTGTATTGTATAAGGAAAAGTTGATACAATGATAGATTTTTTAAGGTAATTGTTTTTTTTTTAACAAGGTCTCAAAAGAAGAATTAGCAAAGTTAGTTCAGAGTTTCGAAAAACAGGACATCCTCACCTCTTCGGGGGTCACACTGGCCGGCAGCAGATATATATACCTCTCCGGTACGGACAAAGTAATAAGAGCCAAATTGGGGAAAGTCGGAGTCCACTGCATGAAAACAACTCAAGGTAGGCGGATTTCCGTCGATAAATACCAAAGAGACAAAACAATTTTATTAACAAACAAATATTTTCTTTGACAGCTGTGGTAGTTTCGTTATATGAAGATCCCATTCAGCCCCAACAAGCGGCGTCAGTCGTAGAAAAATTAGGGGACTACCTAATTACTTGTGGATACTAAAGGTGCGTAACTAGTATATAAAACTTTTTTAATATTGACATTTTAGAAAAAATGCATTCTTTATAAAAAAAATTGCTTGTTATAAAATGGTAACTTCTATTTCTACTTTTCTAAATTTCCATACCGTTGTAAAAATCAAAACGCGTTTCTGTGTTAGTATAATTTCATTTTCATTCTTTGATAGATGGTTATTATTAATTTTGAATAACGTCATATTTTTGGCTGTTTTAATATGTTAAAGAAGCACAAAAATTATTTAGTTCAATGCTATGGAAAGAGTGATAATATTTATCAGAAAAAGTGATACTTTAACAAAAGCGAAAAATATAATATACTAGTATTATTTTATATGTTCTTATACCTTTATTTTCCGATATTTTGTTCAATATTACAGTTGTTTCATAGACAATACGTAAATCTAATAATTCCCTTTAACATCTTTGTGATGGAACAAAAGAATTTTTGGGTTGGGTCGTTTTTTTACACATTCGGGTAAATTTATTCACGTAATTTACAGACCGTTATTTAGTTCAATGCTATGGAAAGGGTGATAATATTTATCAGAAAATGTGATACTTTAACAAAAGCGAAAAATATAATATACTAGTTGAAGCCTGGCGCATCCGCCACGACATCAGGAAAAAAATACTTTTTATTTTTTTTAATTAAATGAAACAAAAAATCCGGCGACGACAGTTTTTAGAAGAGCCAATTAGCTATCTTTTAGTAAAAAAAGCAACTTTCTCGAGCAAGTCGTTACATCAGTAGAGACGACACAGATAAACATTAGCATTTTATATAGTATGTAGATAATTCTATATAATATAGAACAATATATACGAGCTCTAACAACTATATGTTGGGAAAAGATCTTTTTTGCAATAAAAAATAGTAATTTGTTAAAACGACTCAATTTATTTTGTTTATTATTCTAAATTCAAACATTACAATATGATCTAGACAATTTTACTACATTTTTATAACTTTGCAAACAAATCACTTTTGATAATAGCTTATTTTGCCAAAATCAAGCCAAATTTGCTGACAACTATATATTGGGACAGCACAACAAGAAATTTGTTTAATACCGAGTTACATCACCTTTCGCCTTAACAACTGCCTGAACTCTTACCCCCGGTGTTTTCAAGTATAGATAGCGCGTTATAATTCGCCAGATATATTTTATTTGATGGATAGCAGAAAACAGTGTGTCTTCACCTATAGATACCAATATCTATTAGATAAAGTAACCTTATCCGTCAGATATCCTATTTGGGACCTGAACTGCCAAATATCGCTTTATTTGTCGGATAAAAATTTGACACATGAGGAGATTTTGATTTAATTTAATAAAATTGCTTAACACAACCTAAGACATTGTTACTATTGTAGATATCGTTTATTTCAATAAATTCGATTTTAGATCATTTCGAAAAGACTTACCTATTCTGAATATGTAGACTATAACCATTTTAGAACGTATGAGGTATAAACACTAATAAACACATTGATATGGTGCAAAAAACTATTGTTGCTGGTGCCGGACTTTATAAGGAGTGTTACAAAATAAAAGGAGCCTCTGTTAGAGCATCAGAACAAAGAGAATGCATTAAGTCAGGATAATAGTGATGAAATATGTACAATTACCGAGTAAAAATATAACTCAACGGCAATTTATACAAAATAAATCATTTTACTTAAATCCCTTCAATTAAAAACCATTACGTACTTAATAAAGCTCTAAAGTAGGTAAAAAGTAAATAAAACTTTTTAAATCAAACTATTTATTTCATTTTTAATTCTCATATCTTAATTCATTAATATTCCAACAGGAACCTTAGAAAACCTGTTATTCATTAAACAGTTACCTATTACTAAATTTCGTAAATCTCTTTGAGATACAAACTTTTGGTCTTCCCGAACTTTTACCTCTAACGTCTACATTGGCAGATTCGCCGTATTTTTTTATTATATTAAAGACCGTGGTTTTTGGAATACTTAAATCATCAGAAATTTTTCGAATTGTTTTTCCCGTACTGTATTGACGAATTATAATTTCGCGTAGTTTTTGATTTGTACCTTTTCCACGGACCATTACTTTGAATTAAATAATTAACAAAATTGAAAATTAAAAAAATTAAAATTACTTACAGTAAATCTCACTACTCAAAGTATCGAGTCACTTACAAGCTGTCAAAGCTGAAGTAAACAGTTTGCGACATTTGTGACGTTTATAGCAAAGCCGCCTATGATGATATTAATTATTTAAAAATACTTGTCCCAACATTTAGTTGTCAGCAAATTTGTCCTTTTATGAACAACATTCACATTCGGATATGTCTCAAAAACTTCTTAGACTCCAAGAGGAAGCTAATAATGTCGGTCTTCAAATCAACGTCGCGAAAACCAAAGAAATGAGGTCAAATACTCCCAACAACCAAGATCTATACCTCTCCAACCGAGTCATCGAAAGAGTTTATGAATTTCATTTGTATATTCATTTGTATATATAGCAAAAAAACTAAAGTCCAGCTCTTCAATAGCAATGTCAAATCTATTTTGCTTTATGGATGCGAAACATGGAAGGTTACGCGTGGTCTCATGGATCGCCTACAGGTGTTTGTTAACAAGTGTCTTCGAAGAATATTGAGAATTTTCTGGCCCAATCAAATTAACAACGAAGAACTGTGGAGAAGAACATCACAAAATTGAATAGATATCGAAATTAAGAAACGAAAGTGGGGCTGGATTGGGCACATTTTGCGCAGACCCCACAGAGATATCGCTAGACAGGCACTTGAATGGAATCCACAGGGAAGACGTGTCAGGGGAAGACCAAGGAATACCTGGAGAAGAGCAGTAACCTCTGAAGCCCAAGAGGTCGGGAAAACATGGGGAGAGATCAAACAGACAGCTCAGAATAGGATCAGATGGAAACATCTCTTAGAAGCCCTATGTCCCACGAAGGGATGACGGGAACATATATATATGTATATATAAATTTGTCCTTTTATGAACAAAATCCGCTACTGTAAATATGGATTGATTTTCAAATTCATAAAAATATTGTCAAGTTGTTTAGGATATATGGCTATGTTTATATTTAAAAAATTAAACATATATTTTTCAGTCATTTTGAAAAAGCAGGGCAATAATTCCAAAATATGACCTTGTCTCAACATATAGTTGTTAGGGCTTGTATAACGTTGATCAAAATTAATAATAATAATCTATCAAAGAATGAAATCGAAATATTTTCTCTAAGACGGTATGGAAATTTGGAAAAGTATAAACGGGATTAACCATTTTAGTACAAGTTAAATTTTTTTCCAAGGCTGCATTTTTCCCAAAATGTCAATAATCAAAAAGTTTTTTCCTCTTGTAATGACAATCCAGGGATTTACTGTAAAATTTTGATAAATGACAGTCAAAAAATGGCATCACAGTGGTTCTTGAATGTTTTGAAAAAAAAAAGGAAAACATTTTATAACCTGCACTGCGACGCCAATTTTTATTCTACAGGTTGTGGTTGTAAAATGTTTGTTTTCATTTTAGGTACTTCTGGCCGCTTCGAGCAGAGATGACCTGCGTGACAAAAGTTGAGAAAAGTAATTTTTTTAAGTGAAATCAGCATTAGTTTATGTTAATTGACATACATATTCGTGCTGATATTTCGTTTTTTTTTTGTATTAAATTTCGAACAAACAAAAAAAATTGTACTAATTTTAAAAACGGTCACACGGCATAGTATAAGAAAATAAGTATAATTTTTTTATGCTAGGACTGTGTATATTTTGCCAATATTCTACTTTAAAGTGGCTTTTATTATTATTATTTTTATTAAATTGTAAGGCGCGCGTTTTAAGTTTAAATAATATAAATACTATATTTTTTAACTCTCATCATGCCTCTTTCCATATGAGTTTTAAAAGAGAATAAAATCAACCCATAATAAAAAGCTTTTTCATATTGTGCAAGCTATCTATTTGATACTGAATTACTGTTAGAATTTTTTTAATTAAAAAAAAAAGTCTAGTCCAACTTCTAATAATTTTCCTCCCAATTCGTATTAAGCTGAAAAATACTACTGTACCGTCAACTGAGATTCGATAAAAGAACCTGCACAAAAAAAAATAAATAATGAGTATCTTTATTTGTAAAATTGATTAAATAAAGAGGTGGACATAAAATGTTCGTTTTTATTTTGCTTATACAGGTTTGTGGTTGGTGTAAATTTGTCAGGTGAGATGAAACGATGGTTTCGCGATTTCGATAGTGCCAATATTTCTTTTTAATTGTGTGAGGGAGTCAGCTTGTGACAGTTTACACCAATGTAATAGTCGTAACCTACTAAATTGATGTAGCCAAAAATAACGTCATAAAATTGTTGCATGCTGCCTATTCATATAATGTATAATAATTACGACGATAAATGCTCAGAATATTTAAGTCATATTATTTTTTATTAATTTGAAATATGTAGCTTTGTAAAACTTTTCGTATAATTTGCAAAGGACTTTGTGTATTTAAAATATCGTAATAAATTTGTATTATAACACATGGTTTTCTTAATTATTTTACGTGTCGAATAAACGGTTTTACTCAAAGACATTATAAAAATCTATGGTTTTACTAGATAATAAATTCAACGAAACTTGTCTTTGTTTTTATCGAACATCTTCGGAAATGGGATGTGACTCATCGTCGTCCTTGTCAAGTTCGTTGATATTCTTCGAGTGCAATAAATATATTTCTACTGTAAAAAAGTTTGTTAATGTGGCTGAGCAATATCCTGTTCTATTCAAGCATAATATGTTAAAAATTATATTAACTACATAAAGCAGTATTTGTATTTTACGTGGACAAGATTATTTTATACCTATAAACTCTTAATTCGTACAACAGCGCAAAACTAAGTTGCCAGTGTTCAATAATGTCATAAATTAATATTAATTATTTCATGTTTCTTGACACGTTTTTATCCCTCTCAATATTTTCAAATTCAAACAAAAAGAGATTATTTTCCTAAAAAAAAATTATTTCTTTATAATGCCACTAAGAACTTTCAAAAATTTATACTTTTCGACCGGATAGTAACAAATTTTTATACCCCAATGTACTAGAAGGGTACTAAGGTATACTAAAATATTGTTTTAAAGAAACTCTAGGCTTAGGTACGTTAAATAAAGAGCACTTATACTTAAATCAAAATCAATATAACAAGATTCATAGAAACAAATTCTACAACTTATAAGCTTTGTAAGTTTTTACTCTTGGTCAAATTTGTATATAGAAAATGCCAAGAAGTGAAAACGAGAGTATTTATTTTTTAAGCCTTTTTAATTTTTGTTTTATATATTTTCCACAGATCATAGAATTTAGGAATGCATTTTTTCTATTATCGGAATGAAATTGAATGGGAGGCTGAAACGCGGTCCCGTAATCCTGCTGTTAAAACATAACAATTGGTTTTTATATATAAAAAAAAAACAGCTGTTATGTTTAAACAGCAGGATTACGGGACGTCGTTGTAGCCACCCTTAGTTAATATTATATACACAATTATATAGTTAATTCTTTATTTTAATTATTGCAGTATTCCGCTTTTTTTCAAAGAAATATTTTTTTGTCCATAACTTATACAACCAAACATTCACGTGTAAATAAAAATTCTGTTATCTTTGAATTTTTTGTGTGTTTTTCTGTGGTTAACTGGTATCAAATCTGTGGTAAAAAAGAATTTCTATTTTCACGGCAAAAACAACATTGTTTTATATGCTGTGGTATTTTTATGCGAAGGATTTACATCCCAAATAACTTAAATACGTTTAATTTGTGTAATTCGAGAATGGGCATCAACCAGGACTACGAACTAATGATACAGCTAATGAATTACAGTACAATCATAGTTCATATTTTTTATACAAGTGTTTGATATATGATGTATATGAATCTGTAAACATTATGCTACCCATAGATTAAAAATTATTTAGGACATAAGTCATCTACTTGTCTAAGTCTAATCTATGGATCCTACCGAAGTTTCAAATTCAAATCTTGTTACAAAATTATTACAAATATTAAATTAAAAAAAAAGGTTTAATAAAAACTTCGGTCCACTAGTTAAAAATACTCAGTTTTAGTTAAACAGACAAGGGTTATTCTCGTAATATTGTTGACGAGTATACGCAATCATTTATTCGCATTATTCTAACTTCTAACACTCTTAAGTGATTTTGTAGGGGTTCATTTCCCATTCAATGATTCCCAAATTTTCAAATAAAAGGTACATATTTGTACAGTGAATTCTATTAATAAAGATACTTTATTCGTTCTGTAGCAAAAACGTACAGAAATTAAATTTTATAGATTTAAATGAGTGCAACACGCCGATTGAGAATATTCCATAGTTTCGGAGTTATACAGGTAATTGTAAGCTATTAAAACAGTACAGTTACATGTATGTTTCAAAATCTGCATTCATTTGTAAACAATTTTCATCTCGGTTTTTTTTTCGTTTGACATGCATGGTTTTTGCTTAAAAAATTAAAGCACGAAATCTAATTCTAATCTAATCTAGTTTTTACGTTTTTTTCTAAACACCCTGTAAGTGTTAACATTAATTAAAACATTGCACCAGATTGCACTTTTGTAGATATTTTCAAGCCCAGTAGGTAATATACCAGGAAATAAAACAATTTAATTAGTTTATACCATTTATTCAAACGAATATAATAAAATGTATTCTGGCTAATAAACGAATTTTGCCATATTAAAAATATGACCTCTCATTTATTTATCGATAACATCAACACCGTCCAACGCATTCGGCTACCTAGAACTGCCTAGAAGAAAAAAAAGACACATAAATAATTCTGTCCGAAAAGACATTTTGCGATACCTGAACGTAACCTTGCGCCTTCGCCATATTACATTTCGATCACCTCAATCGGTTTTATTAAACCAGTACTTCGTTCCACCGATTATTTAACGACATTTAAAAGAGCATTCGCTTGGAACCTAAAACATTTCAAAAATATCATTAATTTCGTCAATATCACAGTATACAGGGTGGTTCGAACTGTATTCCGGAAACTTCGGCAGCATATTCCGCAGATAAAAATAAATAAAAAAGTTCATATAAATTATGTCCTAAATTGCTTAGTTTCGGAGATACAGGGTGTAGAAGTTTCATTTTTTTTCGAAATAACGTCAATATTTAGATGAAATCAAGAAATATTAAAAAACTCCCAGACACTAATTTTCATCCAAATATTGTCGTTGCTTCAGAAATTATTTGAAATAAATCGAAATAAAAATGAAACTTTTACACCCTGTATATTTATACGAACTTTTTTACTTATTTTTATCTGGAGAATATGCTGCCGAAGTTTCCAGAATACAGTTCGGAAAACCCTGTATATTGGCATTTATTCTTTCAAAACTGACAGAACGGTTAGTATATCGAATTTAATTAAGATAACAAAAACAGTATGACATAAATTAGGATTGTTTGACGTATTCAATTGTTTTCGGTCACTTCCTGTTTCACCGGAAATGTATTTTTTTACTTTATTCGATAGAAAATGACACTGAATGTCAACTTTTGACATTTTCACATATGGTTTATTTGAAATTGTAATATGCGTTTCATAGCGATAATTTGACTCGAAATACCAAGTGCTTTGGTTTGGTACCAAATTATTCGTAAAAAATGCTTTTTCCAAATATGCTAATGAGCCACCTTTGTTTCATTTGAAAAAATTGAGATATGATTAAAAACATGACTTGGGCATTTTTTAATCATTTTCTATCGAATAAAGTAAAAGAATACCGAGGGTGTCTTAGATATTGAATTTAATAAAAAAAGACTTACAATATACTAACGTTATCAGTTCAAAAAGTTCGTGTAGGGTTGTTATAACATTGTATAATGAAAAATTATCATTAATTAAAAACTATATTAGATTTTTGAGTGTTTTTATTCTAATAATCCATAACTCATGCTTATGCTTCTTAGTAAATTAAGCATAATTCATTTATAATCAAAAATACAAATTATATACCCAAAAAATATTATTTCAATCTTATGAAATCTCTCTGAATAATTGGGATATTTATGGATATCTAACGATCGAATGTTGCTAACGGTACTTTAATCATATTTTTTCGAATCTTAATCATTATACAATTAATAATGAAACACTAAACATTTATCTACAGAAAGATTGTTTAGTTATAGAAAAGTACGCCAAAAATTAATTTATATTAATACTGACCTTTTCATGTTACAAATATTTTTTTTATATACAGTTTTCGTAATATTTATTGTAATATATTTTCAGGGGTATATTGTTAAGTTTAAAGCTATTGTTTTTGAAAACTTTTTTCACCCTCTCTTAAGTGTATACACCATAATATAGGAATATTTTGAATATACTCTCCTTTTTCTGTGCACCATGTCCAGCTATTAAAATACTTATTTTGAAAAAGTTACGTGTAAATATCACAGTTTAACACTTTTTTCTGTTCATATTACAGTTTTTAAGCAATCATATATGTATATGGATGAATAAAAATGTTAATATTCTTATACACATATTTATAAATTGATCTTTAATTATATTATCTTTCTTTATTGTTCTGCTCAATGTTTTGCTAAGATCTTGACTAATAGGAATTATACAATATGATCGAGAAAAACAACGGTCGCTGTCATTTCATCTGTAAAATTATATGGAGAATGTCGTCGATCGACATTTCCAAGCCAACTGGACGCCGTTTTTTTTCGATCATACGGTATAAAGACAACTGAAAACACATTTTTTTTGTTAAATTTAGTCTTTTAATTAATCCATTTTTTTCTTGTACTTTTCAAATATTATTTCACTGGTTTCATCTTGTTTGTTGGATTTGCTTATTAGTGCAAAAATATATTGTTTCAAGCCACTGTTCTTATAAAATTTATTTTGAACGTTAAATTCGATTTTGTATGTAATTTGTATCTGAAGCATATATTTTATGCAGTAAGATATGCCGTAATATTTGTCACATTTATACACAAGTCACGTAAATTATTTCTATGGAACTTAATTTCAAAAGAATCTGGATACCGGATGCGTCTCAAAAGTGGCTCACCCCTATAATTTTTTTATTTTTTCAGTTAAAAAAACGAGGTTTGGTATGTTAGTATATGACATAAATTAGGATTGATTGACGTATTCAAATGTTTTCGGTCACTTCCTGTTTCACCGGAAATTACTACAACTTTTGATTTTTAAATGGCACCCTCGGTATGTTTTTACTTTATTCGAAAGAAAATAACACTCTGAATAGAATGACATATCATATGTCAACTTTTGACATTTTCGCATATGGTGTATTTGAAATTATAACTTACGGTTCGTTACCAAAATTTGACTCGAAATACCAAACGTGTGGTATGAAATTATTCGTAAAAAATGCTTTTTCCAAATATGCTGATGAGCCACCCTCGATCCATTTGAAAAAAAAATGAGATATAATTAAAAATACGATTTGAGCATTTTCCAACTGGCCAGGACAGGACACTAAAAACATTGGACGATAAAATCTATTTTTCCAAGGCTCCTTGATTAAGAGTTAGTGTTTTTAACATAGCCATGGCACTCTAGATTGGATTTTAAAATACGATTTTTTATTAAGCGAGAATGTCAAAAGTTGACGTATGATATGTCATTCTGTTCAGAATGTCATTTTCTATCGAATAAAGTAAAAAAATACCAAGGGTGCCATTTAAAAATCAAAAGTTGTAGTCATTTCCGGTGAAACAGGAAGTGACCAAAAACAATTGAATATGTCAATCAATCCTAATTTATGTCCTATACTGACATATCAAATCTCGTTTTTTTATCTGAAGAAATAAAAAAGTTATAGGGGTGAGCCACCTTTGAGACGCACCCGGTATATGATCGAATAAAAACGGCGACAGCGATGGCTATGAAATGAAGATCGCTGTCATTTTATATGGGAAATGTCATCGATCGTCATTTCCAAGCCAACTGGACGCCGTTTTTATTCGATCATACGGTATAACGAAGTTCCACGCTTGTCTCTGATTACTTTCCTGAAAACATTTAATAGCATTAAGTGTTTCAAATACAATAAATTTTCACTGGGACAAAATTTATATAAATATCATTTATTAAACTTACCATTTATTTATTTAATTTTTTTCACATTTGTTTATTAATGTTATTATTAAATATAGTTCCTATTAGTGAGAGAATTAGACTGGATTTTACCTATCTAATAATTTGTTTAAGTTTTGTTTTACATAAATAGATATACTGTTTTTTTATATTAATGTCTGGCCGCTTTGCGAAATTCCTGTAAATAATGCCATTAAAATAATTACATATTAACTATTATGTTACAAATAATAATATATCTATTATTTAACAATTTTAATACTTTATAAGTCCACATGACATAGATCTCTAATATGACATGTTAAAAAAAACATCTAGGCTACAAGTAAGAAATCTATATTTATTTAATAATTTAACTTACCGTACTTATCCGCTGATATACAGTAATTAATTTTTTAATACCCTGTATATTTCTTGTATTTCATTATCGACAGTTACTTAGTTTTAATGCTCAATAGATTGGCTTTTGCAATTATTGATAGCTATCTATCTCTTCGTATTTGTGATTTTGGTTTTGTTTTAAATCTTATTTTTCTCATTTTTTGTTTTTTTTTCTTATCAAATACCTTTTTATAAGGTTAATAAAATACATAATACATTTACACCTAATTTATTATCAGAATCAAGTTTCACAATTCGACAAGTAACACATAATTTCTGATATTCCTTCATAATATATAAAAAAATAATACAAAGAGATAATTTGATCATTAAAATGAACTAAATTAATATAAGGGGATAGTTCTACGGCTAACTTAATCTACTTCGAGAATACTCTTCCAAATAAACCTTTTGCCAAGCTTTTTTTAAAATAATTTATTCTTTATACACCTATAAATTAAAATAAAAATTAGTTGCACATCTACTCGCCATTTTCTGGCCAAATTTGATCAAGGAATACCCCAAAAACGTCAACTACATTTTAAATTGATATTTGCACTAGCATGTTTACCGTTAAAATTTTTTAATTTATTATTATTATACAGAGGAAAACAGATTTCCGTTATTTAGAACCGTCTAGGTGCATTTGCAGGACCTGAAACGAAAACATTTCTTTTGTGAACTGTTTTAACAATCAGAATAATTAATATTTATTTATATGAAAAAAATAATCCAGTGGCAATACTGTTCTTATTTGGTCATTTTCTTTTATTTTGTTTACAGCATTTGCGATTTTTAGGTTTTGAATGACCTTAAAAATAATTATTTGTATGTTTCAGTTGGTTTACTTGTCATTTCTGTTAATAACAATGTGTTTCAGTATAGGAAAGTGGCCTTTTGATGTTTTTTACATTCTAAGTTATCAATGCACTTCTATATTTATAGTTTTCGTCCAGAGTAGTCTTTCATAATTAAAAAAAAATGATTTTATGATCACTAATTGTTCAAAATTTAAAATATTAATATACAGGGCGATTCACGGCAACGGAACGTTAACGTTTATATGAACAGGTGTTAGGATTATTTTAAATACGCAATATTGTGCAATATTGATACAAAACAAGATGTTCGACCTGTCATGTACAGGGATGTTAAAAAAATTCGTTGATATATCTGTTCCTTCTAAAATCACCTATCCTCAATAATCTTCTAACCTGCCATGGCCAATTTAACCACCCTGTATACAAAGTTGCATAGATCGATTTTAATACATTGTCATGTCTCTAAATGGTCTCTGTTCTATTGATGGACATTCGCATGGTCTGTAAATAAACCATAAAACCATATTATGGTTGTGGTGCAGCAGCTGGACTAGTAAGGATTTGTAATAATTTTTGAAGTCATTCCCTAATGTTTTAATTCGTAATTGGCATAATATTCAGAATAACTGTTATAATATTTGATTTCACATCATATTTTCAACAGCGTAATTTGGCTGGGTACGAAGGATTAAAAAAAAGGAAACAATCTAATAATCATTCATACCGAAACCTCCAGCGGCATAACCTCCACTGCGGTCGTCGTAACCTTGCTGACTGTTGTAACCTCCTACCGGTCCACTGGTGTACCCTGAGGAATAACCGGCGTCGCCCTGGCCAGTACCATATCCTAGTGAACAAGAATATTACAGACTGTCTACCGGGTGTTGCATCGTCGAGCGGGACATAGGAAATCCCGTGTAAATTTTAATGGGGTCAATTATTGGCTTCCCTAATTATTTTAGAGAATAATTCTATTTAGGTTTATTGAAGAGCACTAAAACCCACATTCAAAAGAATAACTTTAGATATTTTTGATTAGCCCGTTTACCCGTGAGTTATCGCCGATTTCTTTTTAAATATTTCTCCTTTCTTATGGCCCTGTATTTACTTATGAGCACCAGTCAAGGTAAAAGATAACTGTCAAATGAAGTTGTCATTTCAGAAATTTATCTATTTAGTGCTTTACATGTGCTTTATTCTTATTATTAAAAACTCATACCTACATCGAAAATATTAGCCATGAATTACACTACCGAAGAAAAAGCATTGATGATTAAATGGTATTATCAAGGAAATAGTTATCAAAAGGTGTCGGACATGTTTGCTGCTCTGTATCCGAATAGACTGATATCTAGGAAATCTACAATCGCAATATCCAGAGATTTGAGACCAAAGGTACCCTAATAAATAACTGCAGATGTGAAGCAAAGCAGGAACAAAGAGAAGATACAAGAAATGATACTGACTTGGAAGTTTTATTGTGCGTGGAAGAGAACAATGGAAAGATCAGCACAAGGAAAGTTGAGGATGAAATAGGAATAGATCACACTACAGCGTTTCGAATTTTGAAACGACATAAATACTATTCCTTCAAATATGAAAAGCACCAAGAGCTACGAGATGGGGACGAAATACGTTTTGATATGATGGAAAGAGCAAACACGGATAGAAAATTTTTAAAAACCATATGTTTCACTGACGAATGCAAGTTTACCTTAAATAATGAATCCAATGTTCAAAATTATCGATATTGGAACAAAGAAAACCAACACAGGTTTGTCGAAACAAGGACGCAATATCCACAGAAAGTAATTGTTTGGGCAGAGATATTTGGACACAATATTATCGGGCCATTATTTCTTACGCAAAATATAAATGCAGAATATTATCTGGAACTACTCGAAAATCATATTTTACCTGCTTTACATGATGCCGCTAGGAAAAATCAGGAAGTTTGGTACCAAATGGATGGCTGCCCGGCACATAGTACCCTGGCTGTTCGGGAATATTTAGACAATAGTTTTAACGGAAACGTTACTGGCCTAAATCATACAGTAAATTGGCCAGCAAGGTCTCCTGATATTTCGCCAAATGATTTCTTTCTCTGGGGCCATTTAAAAAACAGGATATACAAGGTTAAAAAATACCCAAATCTAGACGAGTTAAAAATGCTACTTTACTTCATATTAATTTGTATTTATAAATACATCTTTAAGATTTCCGATGTAGGAATGAGTTTTCAATAATAATAAAGCACTAAATAGGTAAATTTCTGAAATGACAACTTCATTTGACAGTTATCTTTTACCTTGACTGGTGCTCATAAGTAAATACAGGGCCATAAGGAGAAATATTTAAAAAGAAATCGGCGCTAACTGGTAAACGAGCTAATCAAAAATATCTAAAGTTATTCTTTTGAATGTGGGTTTAGTGCTCTTCAATAAACCTAAGTAGAATTATTCTCTAAAATAATGAGGGAAGATGATATTACTATACAGTATGTCCCCAGATTGTCTTTACAAGAGGAAAAACGGTTTTATTATTGACTTTTAGAGAAAAAATAATACTTCGCAAAAAATTTCGCTTGCTCTAAAATGGATAATTCCGTTTATACATTTATACTTTTCCAAATTTCGGTAAAAAATAGAGCTTACCTGAATAATCTTGGCCGCCATAGCCTCCGGCGCCCCCTTGAGGATAAGTCGAATAACTGCTGCTGTCGTACTGACTAGGTTGAGCGCCGTACGCTCCTCCGTAACCACCCTGTGCGCCGTACGCTTGACTCTGGCCGTACTGTTGCGAGTATGGCGCCTGTTGGTAGCCACCCTGTTGGGCACTAGAGAAAAGCAATACGTCTTTAATACAGCAAGTACTAAATGCATAGGATTACTCTTACTTGTATCCATTCTGTCCCCCGTTGTTATCGAACCTGGGTCTCTTGGGTCCGCCGGGTCCTCCTCCTTGGCCGCCGCCAAACTGTCCCGGCGCTCTTTTTTGTCCCGGTCCTCCGCCCATTCCCCTGCCACCGCGGGGGCCACCGAAGCCGCGACCGCCTCCCCGTCCACCTGGACCACCTCTGCCTAATAATTTACAAAAAAAACATATTATACCCTCTTCTGCATCGCCCACATACAACACACTTGGCGTTATTGTTGCTAAAAATCTCTTAAAATAATATTTTTTAATGTTATATTGACCAAAAATAATTTAAAAATATAACTGAAGAAAAACTTCTTATAGGCTTGGTGCATTTCAATTGTTTTCAACAAATTCCGCCCGCAGCGCTTCAACGACAGAAATCAGAAATTTTCAATATTTATTTCATGCCATTAGAAAAACAGTCAAAACACATTGTACCACAGGCACTACTTGACGAATTTTAAAGAGGCTTCATTTAAAATATTCCAAACACCAATAATTATTATGGAAGAAAAAATATAAAAATTTGTCCAGCCTCATACTTTTAAGTTACTCACATAAAATTTGCCAATATTCCAAATATTTTGATTAGCAATGTCTAATAATTATTCTTACCTCCGGGTCCGCCGCCTCTGGGGCCTCCTCGGCCTCCCCTGTCCCCTCCAGGCCTGTCGCTACCTCCGCGTCCCCCGCGGAATCCACCGCCTCCCCTTCCGCCGCGGCCACCGAATCCGTTGCCTCCGGGCGGACCGCTCCGGAATCCTCCCGGATTATCGCCTCCGGGGGGACCGCCTGCACCACCCATAAACCTTCCTCGTGGTCCCCCTCGTCCTCTCATCATTGGTCCACCGCGCCCTCCTCTAAACGAGTCTCCTGGTCCACCTCTGAAACATTTTCAAGTACATACAGGAAGTTTCTCAAAAGTGGCTCAACCCTATAACTTTTCTATTTCTTCAGATAAATAAACAAGATTTGTATTAGCGAAGCGTCCGTTTAGGTTTAAGACAGAAGTGTTTACAAAAAATAATTATTTTATTTTGTAGATTTTCTTGCAGTGCAGTGGCGAAATACCCATAAAGGATTTTTTTGGTAACACTTTCATCTCACCACAAACTAGATTTGGAAATAAGTTTACACTACAAGTTTTAAAAAGTTTCCCAAATTAACAAACTTACCTGCTCTTCATAAAACCACCTCCACGGAAGGGACCACCCCGTCCTCCTCTGCCGCGACCTCCCGGTCCTCCGCGGCCTCTACCACCGCCTCTGCCCCCAGGGGGACCACCGGACGGAGATCCGCTGATGGTAGTTTCTTCAGTTTGATCGGCCATTATTTATCTACCAGAAAAATATATTTTAACCTCAACAACTCCGCTATTGAAAACCAATTCTCTAGATTATATTTATAAATAAGTTTATTAGGACGGGCATGTAATGTCTATAAATTAGTTTAAACCGATTTAAATGAATTAAAGTAATAAATTATTGTAAAATATTTAAAACAAACAATGGTGGATAGACGCTACCAAAATGCCGGCTCTTCAGTGACGCTTCCCAAAAATGTTCACTCACCTGTATTTATATTTACCTCCTAACTACAGTAACTTAAATTAAGGAAATTATTAATAATTTAGTCCTTTACTAAAGCGATATATCACAAGAAATAACTAGAAAATAATTAAACAGCACTCGGAAATTCACCTAACACCTACGTCACCCTCGAGAACCCGATTCAAAATGTCGCCGAAAAATTTCCATTTCCACCGGAAATCAAATGTCAGAAGTAGATGGCGCTATAGCACGCTGTCTCTTCTTTTTAAAACATATTTAAAACGCAGTAAATATATGTGAATCATTTATATCTTCCGTATATGATATAGTGTTGTAGTTTAATGGCCACAGCTGCCAGGGCTATCTGGTTACTATGTGAATAGCATTTGTGGCTGGCAGAAATCGGCTATCTTTGAATATGATTATAAGATTTTATTAGATAAAAATAGATAAGTCGGAAATTTTATTTTTTTGGGTGATAATTTAGAAAAAAAAAAGTTTAAACATGTAAAAAAATCAGCAATGTAGTTTTTAATTTTTATTTCTTAAGAAATAGTACAAATTCAACTCATTAAATGAACACTACAATGCAGATCAATAAAACATTATACTGTTCATTTAACGAATCATCATCCAACATAAATATCTAATCTTCTTTCTTGCTGTCCACTTTACCACCACGAATACGACCCGTCCTTCTAGCAGCAATAAGACCAACTTTCCGCCCAGCAGAGGTTCCTCTCTTGACTGTCGAAGCTTTACCAATGTGTTGATGGTTACCACCACCGTGAGGATGCTCTACGGGGTTCATGGCAACACCACGCACCTTAGGCCAGCAGTTACGCTTAACCTTGTATTTGTGGTACGCTCTACCGGCTTTAAGAATAGGTTTGTCAATTCTACCTCCTCCAGCAACGATACCTACAAGTAAATCAAACTGATTAGACAGAGAAAAGTTAATAAAAAAATAGATCTGTATAATGTAACAATCAGAAAGAGCCTCTAAATGTTCATCAACTACTACTCAGTGTAGGTATGTATAGAAATCATCATGAACAATTTTTATTAGAAAAAAAAATTAAATTAGTCACTTACCAACCATAGCTCTGTTGTTGGATGGAATAACTTTCTTTGCGCCAGATGGTAATTTAACTCTAGTTTTTTTTGTATCATGGTTGTGTGCAATAACTGTAGCATAATTGCCTGAAGCTCTGGCCAACCGACCTCTATCGCCAGTCTTTTCTTCTAAATTACATACAATAGTACCTTCAGGCATAGTACCCACAGGCAAAACATTTCCTAAAATTTTACATAAACTTAAATAACATTTATTAAACCTACTTACAGAAAGACCTTACCAATTTGTAAGTTAGCTTTCTTTCCACAATAGACAAACTGTCCTGTGTACATTCCTTCGGGGGCAATAAACAGTTCCTTTCTCGTCTTGAACTTGTAAGGATCACGGAAATGCACAACAGCTAACGGGGCTCCTCTGCCAGGATCGTGCATAATATCCTTGACGACACCTTTAATGTATCCATGTCGCTCTGAGAAGTCGAGATATCTCAGTTTTGGGGCTCCCTTCCTCCTTTTCGTGTGGGACTTGAAAACAGACCCAGCACCTTTTCGCTGAGCTCTAATAACACGACCCATTGTGTACTAAAAAAAAACGTAAACTATCACTTGAATTGTGAAAATATTTATATCAGTTGAAGTGTAGAATTAATATATGATCCATTTTATGATTATAATGGAGGGATGAAAATGTTTTATTAAGATTTTTAAAGAATTCTGAAAAAACATACCAACAAATCTCGTTGACACAAAATGAAGAACTGTCAAGTGTCAAACGTCAAAAATAAGATAAACCTTTCATTTGTCATTTGACCAAAACATTATACGGCCGGATTGGGCCGGATCAATGGGCCGGATAGTCCAAGTAGCTTAGGCCTTTAAATTAATTTTAAAAAAAATATGGTAGAAGAAGCCAAACATTTCAAATGGAGAAGAAGTTAGATTTTCCCGCCTTTTAAAGTGTCAACAACTGAGAACTGAGGACTGTCTGTTTCTGATTTTATATTTTCCATTTAATGATTTAATTATTACATTATTAACATTTATTAGCAGATTACATTATAATTTATTAACTGGTATTGTTGCAAAGTAAGTTATTGTTCAGTTTATGATCTTATATTACACCATATTAAATTTCCTTGCATTATTATTACAAGATTAGGAATGATGGTAAAGCAACTAAAGATATTCATTCTTTTCTAGAGTTAAATACATACAAGCTAGGCAAAATGGTTCGACGAGACTATGATAAAGAGGGAGGTAAGTATTTGTTTAAAAATGTAATGTATTCTTTCAAAAATCTACCCACTCTTATAGAAAACTTAAAGACATTTCTAATGGAGTATTGTGTCCAAGATGAAACAGGAAGGAAGCATTTTAAATACGTAAATCAGTTAACTAAACTAGCCCATCGTGAACAAACTGCGATGTATGTTGAGCTTGATGATCTGCATGATTTCAATGAAGAGTTGGCAAATGAGTTGATTAACAACACAAGACGCTACAGTACTCTTATATCAGACATTGTTTTTGATCTGTTACCTACCTTTGTCGAAAGAGATGTTGTTGCTAAAGACGCTCTTGATGTTTACATCGAACATAGGCTTATGATGGAGCAGAGAAATAGACTGCCAAACGAACAAAGAAGTGATAGGAATAAGTTTCCTCCAGAATTGATGAAGAGATAGTAAGTTAACTTGTACTTGCTTTAATAAATAATACTGATTTTTTTTTCAATTCTTAGTGAAATTTACTTCAAAGATTTGTCTACAAGAAAACACGTTCCAATTAGGGAAGTGAAAGCAGATAGTCTTGGTAAACTAGTGACGGTAAAGGGCATAGTGACCCGTTCGACCGAAGTAAAGCCAATGATGTGCGTCGCAACTTACACTTGCGACCAGTGTGGTGCCGAAACATATCAACCAGTAGCTGGTCTAAGTTTCATGCCCGTTACTCTCTGTCCAAGCGACGATTGCAGAGTAAATAAGGCAGGAGGAAGACTGTATTTACAAACCAGGGGATCAAAGTTTACAAAATTTCAGGAGTTGAAAATTCAAGAACATGTAAGATTATCTGAAATTGACTTTAATAAGAAATTTATGTATTTTTTGTTTGTTTTATGCAATAGAGCGATCAAGTTCCTGTCGGACATATACCGAGAACATTAACAGTATTTTGCAGGGGTGAAGTGACCAGGCGAGCTTTACCTGGCGATCATGTCGCGGTCACTGGTATTTTCTTGCCGCTGGTACGCCAAGGTTTCAAACAACTAACGGCTGGACTGCTTTCAGAAACCTATTTGGAAGCTCACGTAAGTTAGCGCGCCCATTTTAAATACAGGGCGTTCCTTAGTGACATACTGTAGCTTGGGAGATATGTTATGAGATAGCCCAGATCCCATAATAACGACAGGAAAAAGGGACACCCTGTACATGGCGAATCGTGCGTAATTACGCGATTTTAATTTTCCAGAAAGTTAGTTCGCTGAATAAGACCGAAGAGGAGACGGCCCAAAGTTCTCTCACCCCCGAAGAATTGGCCATCCTGACCGAAGACGACTTCTACTCGAAACTGGCCACGTCAATTGCGCCAGAAATTTACGGACACGTGGACGTGAAAAAGGCGCTGCTCCTGCTATTAGTAGGGGGAGTTGACAAGCGGCCGGACGGCATGAAAATCCGCGGCAACATCAACATCTGCTTGATGGGCGACCCGGGAGTGGCAAAATCACAATTGCTCGGCTTTATCGATCGACTCGCACCCAGAAGTATGGAAAATTATTTCACTGTGGTACTTGGGTAAATTAAAAAATTTCTCGCCTTTTTTTTTAGGTCAATACACCACGGGGAGAGGTTCTTCGGGTGTGGGTCTCACTGCGGCCGTGATGAAGGACCCGTTCACTGGCGAAATGATGCTGGAAGGAGGGGCTCTGGTACTGGCCGACCAAGGTGTTTGCTGCATCGACGAGTTCGATAAAATGGCCGACCAGGACAGAACAGCGATTCACGAGGTCATGGAACAACAAACCATAAGTATTGCCAAGGTAATTTAGTTTATTTTTCGTTAAGTTCCGTCTATAGACGTAACGTTTTACCTGTCAGTTAAGACGGCCCACCTCAAGGACTGTATATATTCTAAAGGACTGTTCGATCGCGTCAAATCGCCGCTGTCGTAGTCGCCGTGGAATGCTACGTCACGCAGGGACCAGCGCTGCACAGTGCGGCGGATGGTTATTCTAGCGGGACAAAATCTCAAGAGCAATGTTTGGAATTAAAATCTAAGAACGTAGCAAATGGTCTAATATATTGCAACTATATGGTTAAATTTATTTATTTATTAACAACTTAATTTATTAATAACTAAATACAAGATAATAAAACTATGATATTATTCGTACATGACACACAAAAACCGTATTGTAAACTATTGCCAAATACATAAAATTATGAAGATGAAATACTTACAAAAAACTCTTTAACGGTTATTTTTTAATAACTTTGTAATCTTGTGACACCTTCTATATTTTATTTTAAAAAATTATATTTTATTTTACAAATAATAATTAAGATAGATATTTTAATTTTAATTTTAACACTCGGTAATTGTAAATTCATATATAGTAAGTATCTAAGACAATTTTTTAAACTCAGTGCCTTTTAGTGGAGTTGTTTTGTTTTTATACTATCCGATAGAAATTAAACTTTTTGGGTATTCACCTGTTAAGCTTGAACTCCCTGTGACTGACCACCTGTGTTGGTAATTATTGGTAACTCAAAAGATCTACATCATTCAATATATCGATATTTGAAAAAAAGTGAAAGTTTGATATCTGCAGAACAAAGGCACGAAGGATTTTAACAAATAATATACGTACAGTAGAAAAGTACATACCTTTGGCAATCTTCAACATAATTTGGCTTTGGAATAAAATGTATAAGCACTTGTAAATATGTTGTTTTCGTATGATCTCTGCCTTGCTGAGCAGAAAACGACCAAATTTGGTTGATAAAAATGTATCGAAATACAAAGAATATTCATGCATTTTTATATCAATTGGAATGTCTATTATTTATTCTTCAGTACACATTTTTTGGCTTATTTCTAACCAAACGCTTTTGTCCCGCTAAATTTATCTTCCAACGCACTGTGCGCTCGTCCGTCAAATGCAAAAATAACTGTCGCTGTCTAAAATCTTTAGCGCCAACTTCAACTCGGTCCCCAGATGACGTAAAAAAAACTGACAGTGCAAGAAGATAGGAATCGAACTATCCTTATCTCTATAGTATTCTTGGGCCCACCTAGGGTTCCATACGACATAATTTAGACTATGTGAATCTTCAAGCCTAATGTCTGCCCAAAACAAATGGAGAGTTTATGAATGACTTGTGAACTCTATTTTATTTCTGCCTCTATCTAAACCCTGTTTCTGACTTTATTTTTTTTACGTTAACTTAGAAGTTTTATTTTTTCACAGCTTCAAGGGACTGTAGACCTGAGTATGTGGTTTTAATTCAACTCAATACATCTACGCGTTTTTTAGATAAAGGGTCTTGACGGACAGCAGGACATTCGGATATATACATGGTGTCCCAGGCTGAGCGTGCATTAGAAGTGTCTAGAGAACTACCATATCTAGTTCGGGGAATTTTTGCATATCATTGTTTCACAACGAGATCTACCGATTAAAAATATTTTCAATCCGGAAATACCGAAACTTGACAGTAACTTTCTTATATTAGCTTACTTCGGGTTTTTCTTATTACTGATTCTGAACCGTTCTAGAACTGTGATGCGCATGCGCAGAAGGAAAAACGGAGAAATTATTTCATTAGCGCATGCACGGCAGAGTTTTAGGACAGTTCAGAATCGGTAATAATAAGAACCCGAACAAAGCTATTAAATGGGTACCTCCATTTTTTATTACATACCTAAATTCTTCTCTGTAAAATTTTATGAATTTTGATATCAAACACTCTGTACCTAACGTAAAATATTGAAAATTTTTGGAGGAAAAAAATTGCCTGTCAAAAAAATTGGTATAGTCTAAACGTCAAATTTGGCGATTACCACAACCACTGTGTCATAAAGAGAAGATATCTGGCTATCTATTTCAAAAATGCAATTGTCCTAATGTCATTTAATATTGACCCTTGCAAATTATCGTAAATCATTTTTTGCAAATGGAAACCTACCTACTTTTTTTATTGTGCTGGTGAAAAGGTTTTCCAATTCGTTACCTTTTGGTTATACATGTTTCTATACCTAAAATCGACGGTTTTTAAGTTATTTAAGATTTAGTTTTAAAGCCTATATTTTTCTTGATTTTAACAAAAGTAGTCTATGACTTTTTAAACGTCAAGCGACGTAAAATAATATATCTGGCCATGTCATATGACACTTTGTTAAAAAATCAGTATGTGATCGATCGTCATTTCCAAACCAACATTGCGCCGTTTTTTTTAGATCATACAGTATGTGTGTCATCAGTTTTTCACAAGTACACGGGACCTATAGTTTATTGCCGAATCTGAACGGCACTATTTGAGAGGCTGTACAAGGCAAATATACACAAGGTGGTTTGCCATTGCCTTCCTTGAGGTGGCGGCTCGTAGGTCGCTTTATTTAGTTAAATAAATATTTTTATTTAAATAAATAAAGCGACCGTACTGGCTGGGGATCGAACCCAGTACCTTCCGCTCCGCTGATCGACACACTAACGCTGGAGCTACGGCCTGCCACTAGATATCACTAAAGCGAAAATCCGAAATATATTTTTATAAATGCACTTTAGAGTTGGTTTCTATTTGAAAAAAAAATGATTTACGATAATTTTTTAAAAGCTCAGATAAAGCTATTTTAAAAGCTCACAATTAAATCAGCCCCACGTTGGGCGCCAAGAATTGCCGCGTCCTTTTCTAATTTGAAGTTCAATAAAACACAAGTTTACTTAATCGGTAATGAGTTGCATAGAGGCCACTAGCTTTTTAATTTTAACAGCCTGGTGGTCGGGGTTCAAAGATATTAATAAAAGGGCGCCACGAGATTATACTCTATGAACTCGGCATAAAAGATGTTACTATTAAGTAGACTTCGACACTAACCTCGAACTGTTGAGTGCAACTACCATGAACTTCAAATATTACTATAATTCGTTAAACTTAATTGACTCTAACTTAACTATGAGACTAGACTGTAAATAATACTAGTAAAAATATTTAAGCAATTTATTAAAATATGAAAAAGTTTATATATATAAAAAAAAGAAATATGTTAAGATAAGCAAATTGAATGGTGAGAAAAGAAATTAGAATTTAAATCAAACGAAATAACTAAATCTATGACGTCATACCCCCTTATCTAACTTAATACTGGATACAAACAGGGTAGTTTGCATAAATGAAATCTATACTATACTAATCTAAACTAAAATTGTACAGTCTTACTCTATTCGATTGTACTTGAAAACTTCCTCCGGCTGAACTACGGCGTATAGCTACAGGGTTGCTACGACGGTGTACAGCAGCTCGGGGGACTGTCACTGGAGCCCTTCAGCAAATGTACAGGCAGGTGTAGGACTTCAAAAGGTGAACATAAAAACCCTAAATAACATTGGTTGTCTTAGAAAAGAGCCTCAATTATAGAACAAGGACTAGCACAACGTGTAAGAGTTAATAAAGGTAATAAAGAAGGACTAATCAAATCTGAATTTTACATCAACGAGGGTTTATGATGTCCAACGGGTACCTCTACACGGACAACAGGAACGGATGGAATTCTGGACTGTTCTGTGCTACGGTCTGGATCGGTCTTCTTGCTCTACAATTACGAACAACCAAATAAGATTTAAGAAAGATAACACTCAACTAATCTTTCTACACCACGTAGGCGTGGAAAAGTCGAAAACTAGACAACAATATGAACAAAAATCAGTTGGGCATTGACTTAGAATAGGCAGAAGAATTATAGCATACCTTGGAACTATTCGGGGACTTCTTGGGCACGTGAAATCGGAATATCGGTCGGAAAATTTGGCTATTTTAATCCCATTGCGGAAATTGGTCGGCGGTCCATAAAAATCATCAAAATCCAACCACGTCTCTGACCAAATATGTTTCGGAAGCCTTAATCCTTCTTTACGAAGACCTGCTATTCACCAACAGCGAATGCTTCACGAAACGGCAGCCAGCTCTTCACGATGATACCCGGTCGGGGAGTACACAAGAAGTGATGCAAGGATTCGATTTCCTTCACAAAATCAGATTTCAACCGGAAATCTCCCTCCAGGATATAGATAGAGAACTATATATCTTGACTAGTCCAACTCACAAAAAGGCATAAATAAAAAACGATGTTCTAGAATATTTTCCAACAGCCATATTTCATATCCGGTCAATGAACGAACTTAACTCAGAAATTCCACAATTAAAATGAACGAATTGCACACTGCGATCCACATCAAAAATAAACGATTTAACTACAAAATTTTATCTGATAATTATAAAATTTCAATAACCAAAGCAAAGGATAAATAAATAAATCCAAAAAATCTGATTTGATCTGACAGTGACAAGTGACGGAAAGGATATCAAAGATAAAGAGAGATCGACAAAAATTCTAATGCTGGGCCAGTGACAATATTGTGGAGCTGTAGCTGTATAATATCACGGTGTATATCGGGTTGCATAATCGTAAAATTTAAATAAAATAATATTTAACAATAAAATTATAGTAAACATGATGCAAAAATAATAGTTATTTGCGATAATTTATGAGTTAGCACACAGAGGTCGTAGAGAGGAAATTTGACTGTTACAACGGCCAATATTATATGACATTTAAACAATTTAATTTTTGAAATAGATAGTCACATGTCTTTTCTTTATGGCGCAGTGGCTGTGGTAATCACTAATTTTGACGTTTAGAGTACACACATTTTTTTGGCAGGCAATTTTTTTTCCAAAAATTTTAAATATTTTTTTTCTCAAAAATGGCTAATGTTAGATATAGAGTGTTTGATATCAAAATTCATAAAATTTTACAGAGAATTTAAGTATGTAATAAAAAATGGGGGTACCCATTTGAAATAAGAAAGTTCCGATATTTCCGCTATATTGAAAATATTTTTAATCGATAGGTCTCGTTGTGAAATAATTATGTATAAAAAATTCCTGATCTAGATATTTTTTTTACAGTACAGTTTTCTAGAAACTTCTAATGAACGCTCAGCCTGGGACACCCTGTATATTATATACCTACAAATTCGTACGAACCCTCCTTGTGTTAGTCTGACTCGCACTTGCCCGGTCTTTCAAAGATAAGAACGCCATTTGATTGTTCCAGGCCGGCATAATGACCTGCTTGAACGCCAGGGTCTCGATCCTGGCCGCCGCCAATCCCGCCTACGGCCGCTACAACCCCAAAAGGACCATCGAGCAAAACATCCAGCTGCCGGCCGCCTTGTTGTCCCGTTTCGATCTGTTGTGGCTGATCCAGGACAAGGCCGACAGGGACAACGATCTGAGACTGGCCAAACACATAACGTACGTGCACCAGAACTGTAAGCAGCCGCCCAGCCAGACCGAGGCGCTCAGCATGACGGTGATGCGCAAATACATAGCCCTGTGTAAATTGAAGGAGCCGGCCATACCGGAAGATTTGACTGATTTCATCGTTCGTAAGTACTAAGGGCTCAAACGCACTGACGACCAGGTCGTTGCGACCTGGTCGTCAGTGAGTTTGAGCTCTAAGTAATGCCAAATTTCAGGGGGTGATTACCCGTCAAAAGTTTTAAAGTTACTGAATATTAAACTGTTGTATGAAATATTTTTTTTATTTGCCTTGTTTTTTGTCTTTATTTATGTCTTTTTTTATTTTCTTAGGTGCTTACGTAGAACTGCGTAAAGAAGCGCGCAATTCTCAAGACATGACATTCACTTCGGCCAGAAATCTTTTGGGCATCCTCAGGCTGTCAACGGCTTTGGCACGGTTGAGACTGTCAAATGTCGTAGAAAAAGATGACGTAAACGAAGCCATACGCCTCATGGAAATGAGTAAAGATTCGCTAAACCAAACTATCGAAAATAGAGGATACAGGTAAATTCATTATGCAAAAAAAACTTATTGAAATAAGTAGATATAGAGGAAGTTTCTCCAGGTTTACTTCTTTCTTTTTTTTACTTTTTAGGCCACCAAATGTCAACGACAAGATATTTGCCATCATCAGGGAATTGGCCGGTAGTGAAAAAACCGTCAAAGTGGCCGATATTCTAGAAAAATGTGCGTCGAAAGGTTACAATCCTGACCAAGTTGACGCTTGTATTGAAGAGTACGAAGAGTTGAACGTGTGGCAAATCAACCAGACGCGTTCAAAATTAACATTTATTTAAGTTTAAACAGTTTTTTTTGTTTGTGTGCCTTTTTTGTATTTTGAAAATAAACTAGAAATTTCTCTAAGTATGTTTTATTTTGATCCTAGAAAATATAGAAGAGAATAAGTCTTATTGGAAAAATTATTATTTCTTTGGTTTTACAACAACAAAATAAAACACTAATTCAGCACAATACAGTGTTTAAAAATAAACTGTTTTATTATTTATTTCATTTATGTATGATCTCTTTGGCGGAATTTATTTTTAAAAAATTGGCGCCTAATTTGACATTTATATCAATTATTCTTCTTTTTTTAATTAATTTAAAGGCCTAAGCTACTTGGAATTCTTCTTTTAAATAATTACATAATTAGAATATAAAATATATCTTCTTGTTTCAATCACTGGCTCATATAGTATGGTTATAGACTATAGTGTTTTAGTAGCCCAATTTTTCCCGATCATATATAATTTTTTTCTAACCTAGATCATATATAATTGTCCCGTGTAAATGTCAAAAATCTTATTTGACAGATTGCCGAATGGCAGCGTAAATTCGCGCAGACGCAATTACCATTATCAGAGCTCGTAAGAGAGATACAATTGCTTTTTGTGTTTCTAGTCTATATAAAAAAAGAAAAATCGCAAAGGAATTATTGATTAGAAGTTTTAGAATCAAAACTTCTAATATTAGTACTGATTAATAGTAATATGAGTAATGCACCCAACCAAAATGAATCAGGTCTAGAGCAGCAGGTACGTGTTAATATAGATTTTCCTTTGCCTAAGCGCATTCCGTTAACCCGGAAGTTTCCTGACAATGGAGGTCGCAGGAACTTCTATTGATCGGTAAATCCTGCAGACATTTTATGTTTATATTAAGTAATGCTGTTATTTCAATATAAAACGATCCAAATATAGAGCTTTATAGGAATCATGCTTTCAGTAACTCACATTGTTCAAGGGAATTCCATATCACATCCGTATTTTTAACAGAACAGTCAAGTTACCAAGTAATCTTGAATATTTCTAATAGATTTTAACAAAAAAAAAACAATTATTGTGATTTGCCCTAAATATTTACTAGGTATAAGTATATTGATCCTATAGGTATTTCAAAATTATCCATCAAAACTTATTGATCAATATGAAATAGGTATTTCAGTTTTTTTTCAGTACATTTACATAATCAAATAAAACTGAATTTTGAAAATGTATCTTTTTTTATCCATCCTTAAAAAATTTACAAAATATTTCTTTAGTTCCTGTAATTAACCCATTTACACCTACTGTCCTTTTAAAAGGACTTTAAAAAGAAACCTGCGAATATCCAGTTCACTTATTAGTTTGAAGATGGGGCCAGTCTAACACTTTAAATTCAACATTTCTGAAACAGAATTAATTTGGTTCGATCGTATTCCTTTTGATTTTACATTGATAGTGACGGTAATAAAGTCTATTGAATATTACAATTTTACAATGAATGACAAAAGGTAAGTTATCTTCAAACTTGTTTATAATTTTCTTATTATTTTACTTATTTCTAACCAAGAACAACATAAACTAATCGTTTTTTGTATTGGAAGTTATATTTTGTGTTTGTTATTCCATCCATTGACGTGCATTTGAGCATGTCCTTTTAAAAGGATGGTAGGGTTTTATACTACTATGGATATTTTTTAGGTATTGGAAAAAGCCACTGACTTTGGCAGAACTGTTAGAGGAGTTGGAAAGTGATTCTATACCGCAGGTTCCTAAAGGCATTGTGATTTTTCCACCGGAAAATGCCAACGATACCTGCGACACAGACGAAGATTCTGGGGACGAGAATGATGTAGTACCGAATAATTTACCTGGGGTGCAGTTGAGAGCTCAGGCCGAAATTGATTTTGAGGTGGAAAGTGACAACGATTGGGACAGCGATGATGGCTTACCATTGTCAAATTTTATAGAGAGGCGACCTAAAAATAGCAAGACGTTTGCTTATACCCTAAATAAAGATTTAGAGAATTCGTTTTTGGAATGGCAACCAATTCAAAATGTAAAAAATAATCGTTCACCTGGAACTACATTTAAGATCTTTTTTGATAAAGACTTAGTAGAAGAAATTGTTAATTTTAGCAATGTATATTCACAGCAAAAAAACCGCACCGGTGACATTACGGTAGACCGAGATGTACTGCTTCTAGGGGTGTTACTTGTCAGTGGTTACGCAAGCGTTTCAAGACGGCATATGTATTGGCAGAACTGCGATGATACTCAGAATAAGCTTATATCAGCCGCTATATCCAGAGACAGGTTTCAATTCATAATGAGTAATCTTCATTGTAATGATAATACGACTCTTGACAAAAATGACAAATACTGTAAACTTCGCCCATTATTTAACAATCTAAATAAAAAGTTTTTTGATTTTGCACCAATTGAACAGAACCACAGCTTTGACGAAGCAATGATACCGTACTTTGGGAGGCATACCTGCAAGCAGTTTATAAGAGGAAAGCCGATAAGGTGGGGGTATAAATTTTGGGTAGGTACTCTACGACTAGGATATATAGTTTATTTTGACCCGTATCAAGGTTCGTCGACAACAATTTCAGAAAAATATAAGCATATGGGTTTGGGAGCGTCAGTTGTACTCCAATATGCCGATATGTTGCAAAAAATGCCTTATCAGCCCTTCCATCTCTTCTTTGATAACTTCTTTTCTTCTTTATCGCTTCTAAAAGAGTTAAAATTGAGGAATATTCAGGCAACTGGTACTATACGCGAAAATAGGATCCCCAAATCACCATTCAGTAACTCGACAGTTTTAAAGAAAAAGGCTAGAGGCACATTTGAATATGGAGTTGCTGACAATGAAATCGCCTTGTGCAAATGGAATGACAATAGCGTCGTTACATTGGCCACTAATGCTTGTACAGTTTTTCCAGTACATAAAGTGAAAAGATTTTCTCAGTCTGAGAAAAAGCATGTGAGTATAGATCAGCCACGATTAATTAAAGCATATAACGAAAACATGGGTGGCGTAGATCGCAGTGACCAAAACATAGGCCAATACAGAGTTTCCATACGTGGTAAGAAGTGGTATTTTCCTTTGTTTTCGCATTGTGTCGACATGGTAGTACAAAACTCATGGCACCTTCATAAAAATGATGGTGGTACCCTTGACCAACTACAATTTAGAAGAGATATCGGTACAGAACTATTAGAATCCCACAAGAAAAGCACTAAGAAAGGGCCTTCAAAGTTGCCGAAAAACGCGCACCAATATACGCGCTATGACAGACTAGATCATTTAGTGATATACCAAGAAAATCAGCGAAGGTGTGCTGTGTGCCACAAAAAAGCAAATTTCTTGTGTCAAAAATGCAATATTTCTCTTCACCCAAAAGATTGTTTTATCAACTATCATACCAATTAGTTTAAATTTTGAGTTTAAATATTTTGTAAAACTTTTTGATAGAATAAATTAACATATTTTTGATTTGTATTTTATTTATTTAGCAGCAGCTCTTAAACCTACTGTCCTTTTAAAAGGCCACCGTTTTTTTGGAAAACTGAACAACCAAATTTTTTTTTTGCATTTTTTCCTAGCTCAAGTGACCTTAATTTAACCGTTTTCAAGAAAAAAATACATAAAATGCAAAAAAATAGTTTCAGGGTTATATGGGTTAATATCATTATTTATCACTTCTTTCCACTTTACTAGTCTTCATATTTTTTTTGCAGAAAAAGAATGTTTCTAATCATAATTATTGATTGTTTTTATCTTTGAGTATTTATTTAGTACTACCAGAAAACATTTTTTAACTTATGGGTAGTTAAATATTAAATAAATAATTATATAAATTAATCAAATTAAGATAAAATTGATTACACTAGAATTTAGGTCAGTTTTTGCAGGAAACAAAATATTTAACATATACAGTGTGTCAGTTAAGTTGTTGACATCTCCATGCTCTCATACTTTGAATGCTTTGAAGTATACAGGACATTGAATCTTTACATACAATCTAAAAATCAAATTTTTTATTTAATTAATTATAGGGTGGAGGGGTAAATAAGAATTTTTTTATTTTTTTAATTATCTATAAAAATGTGATTTCAATAATAAATGTGTAGAAAAAGCAAGACCCTGAGAGTGTCTTGCATGTTGGGTCTTGCTTTTTGTGCCAGACCAAGATTGTATCTGTATTAAGGAGGTCTTTGCTGCAGATTTTGTGATAATGATCCTGAAACAGCAGGGCACATAATATGTCACTACGGGGCTCTGGTTCCCAAGCGTGCAGATTAGTGTTGGGGCTGGTCAATTGACCACTTCTTATTTGACCAGTCAAATTTGGTCAAAATGTCTTAAATAACATCCTACAATTGTAGAATGTTATCTATCATTATTTAATAATAATATGGTATTTCATAGTTATTATGGGTTTCTAATGTCCAATTTACCTATAACCGTCTTCAAGGAATACGATACGATACGATAGCTATTCCGATAATCTCAATAAAAATATCAGAAAAAATAACAACTGCATCAGTAATAAGAAAAATTGATATGGCCTGTAGCCTGTAGCGATACAATGCAGCATATTTACTCGATCCTAGATATAAAGGAGAGAATCTAGCTCCAGAAGAACTCTAACGCGCGACTACGTTGATCGTACAACTTGGTATCAATGAATCTAAAATTGAAATACTTGGAGAGATATCAAATTTTAGAACAGCATCAGATGCATTCAATAATCGAATAATATGGAGAGCCGTAAAAAGTATTAAATCAGTATGTAAAACATCGTTAGATATTACACCATCAACTTGGTGGGACAGTTGGTAGAATAAATCGGTACTTCACAATGTTGCAAAAAATTACTAAGAATGCCAGCCTCCTCAGATTCTTGTGAATGAAACTTGTCAACTTAGGGAATTGTTCATAATAAATTAAGAAACAGGTTGACCACTATAAGATCTGGTAAACTTTAAATTTGGTTATGTTAAATATAATTTAAATATAATAAACAAAAATGGAAGGGTTACTGACCTCAACGTAAGCAGTTCATCATCTGAAGCTGACATGTCTTCGTCTTCAGACATCGACTATGAAGATGAAGATGAGAACTTATCACTGTCTACTAATGTCAATTAGTTGTTTGTTTTGAATTAGAATAAAAGTATTTTTAAAATAACTTTGAAATGTTCTCTGTTTATATCAAGTTGAAATAGAAATATGTTTTTGTTAATTTTCTAATTTTAATTTTTTTATTTTAAAAGGAAATATTCTTTATTTATATATTATTTCAACAATTATGTGAAATAAAATATTAATTTGTTTTTATTTGTTTCATTGTACCACAGATTATACAGATTATAATATTTGTTTTTTCTTTATTGTTTTTCGTGGTTCCAATTTTCGGAATCGGGCACTAGTTAGGTGACTAGTTTGCGCACATAACACGCCCACTTATGGCCTGTAAAATTGTGCACAGCGCCTGACCGGCACAATTATTAGAGAGATATCGGAAAACTGAATAGCGTCATCCAGTATTTACGCGTACCTTATCATTGTTACGATATGCGCGAGTCAATTTTTAACGCAACATCCGCTAATAACGTTACCGCCTGACGTAATTTGCGGATCAATTACACCAAGCGCTCTTTCTAAATAACCTCTGATAACGTTTAAAAATTGCTTAAATGGGCATGTGCGGGTATTTGACAACCGGAGCCGGCCGGCGAGATCTTTTATTTTAGGTTATGTTTGAATTGTTTTGAATTATTGCTTTAGTTTTATTAGGTAATTTGATATTTAAGTAGCTGAGATTAGTTTTAATTAAATAAATATGGTCCAAAATATGGATTCCACCTCTTCCAATAGGTACTTAAGAACCTATAAATAAAGAGTCTTAGGTTTACAGTAGATGACGACTTAGCCCTTCTAAGAGAATTTGTTGCTTGTTGCCCTAAACCCACTGGCAGACGTTGAACAATAAAGCACTGGAAATAAGCACTTTAGCCCTTTAGTTTTAAAATACCTAGTAAACAAAATAATTTCAAAGTTTTAAATTCAAAGTTAGGTTAAGTTTAAATAGCGGACGCGACGCGATCAGAATTCTTTCCGATCCGATAACTATAAATGAAGAGAGTTAATACCACCTCACGTAAAGGAAAAAACACCTGGCCTTATTAATGTCCATGCACGCTATTCGGTTTAGCGATATCTCTCTATTACGCTGTTTATTGTTATTTTACGCGAGTTAATTTTTGCGCACAGGAAATTTGACTCGTTTGCACATCGTCATAAAAAACAATTTTCGTACCACGAATTAGGGACAAGATTTTTATCCGTATACTTATAGGATACCTAATCTGTGATTGTACTTTTAAAATTATTTTGGTCATTGACGGAAAAAAATTGACAGGTCAAATCCACAACCCTAGTGCAGATATAGAAATGGGACAAACAAAATAGGCCTCACAGGCTGCAGTGTTTTTGCCATAGATCACAATGTAGAGGGGCCTTAAAATCACTCTCACTTTTGAGAAACACCGAGTGTATATATTTTTTTCTTTGTTTTCTTTAGTTTGCTGGTCTGGACTTGCAGAGTCGCGGTACAAGCGGCCGTTACGTGCCTCCACACTTGCGCAACAAGCCACAGGGCGGGGGCGGCTCCTCCCAATCGGAGGCGGCCACGAGCAGCGGTTACGACAGGGGCGAATCCAGGGTCAGTGGCGGCGGTAGCGGCGGCGGTGGTCGCAACTACAACAGAGGCGGCGGCGGCGGCAGGGATAACAGGGGCGACTTTTCCAGCTTCAATACACGCGGCAGAAGGGGCGGCGACTACCAGAACGGCGACTCCTACGAGAGGAGCGACGATTGGAACCGCTCAGGGGGCGGCAGAAACCAAGACAGGTCCGTATTTGGATTTTTTTTTCAAATCTACAAACAGGGTGCAATGATTTAAATCAACTTGATTTAAATAAAAATTTAAATCGTGATTTAAATTTTAAATAGAAGAAATAAATATCAAACTTAAGAAAGGCTTACAATATGCAAAACTAATTTTCTACGTCTGGACATGTAAAAAACGTAGAAACTTGGTTGGCGTAGAAAATTAATTTTCTACGTGTAGAAAATACGGTAGAAAATCTAAAATTTTCTACCTACCCAACCCTATTTAGGGGCGGTGCTGCCAAGATGGTAGTTTTTCCCTAAATTTAGGAAATTTCATATAGGCTCTCTGTTGCCAAGGTGGGATATTTTTTCCAAATTTAGGGAGTTTTGTATAATCGCGTTGTTGCCAAGATGGTGAAATTTTTCACCAAATCTAAGGATTTTCGTATCGATATCATTTATTTTTCTTAGGGAGCGCGATCCACCGGCAGCCCGCAATGACCGGTGGCAGGAGCCGGAACGGTCGTCGAGGGGCGGCGAGCGCTGGAGCGAGGGGGGCGGCGGGGGCGGTCGCTGGAACGACGACCGCAGGGGTGACCGACGGGGCGACGGCGGCGACTGGACCGTGCCGCTGGCCCGCGACGAGCGCCTCGAGGTGGAGCTTTTCGGAACGGGAAATACGGGCATCAACTTTAGCAAGTATGAAGATATTCCTGTTGAAGCAACCGGAGAGAAAGTCCCGCATCATATTACATCTGTGAGTATTCGCATTATGCCATCTGTATTTTTGAAATAGGTACATTTAATTTGTTGGAGAAGTTTTGGAAATGTGTTGGAAAATCGGATTACAAATCAAAATTTCCCATTAAAAAAATGCAATCTAACCTAACCATAATATACCATATAAAATTAAATAATTGAAAGATCGGGCTACGGAAAATCACACAAATTTTCGGAAAAATTTTGACCACTTCGCACACAGTCGTCAATTAAAAAAAAACTACTATTTTAGTATTTTAAATATTTTAATAAACGCAAAAATAGCTTAGTATTTACAAGGCGAAGTTATAAAAATTTGGAAGAACTAATAATGCACTGACGCACACAAAAATCAAACGAATACTAAATTTCATTTATCAAAAGCATTCGATAATCGTGGCTCAACGATAACCATTTAGTAGCACGGCGAGGTTGTCACATATGCTTTAGTATACAAATGAATGAATGATTTTATTCGAATAAAACCATTCGCTCTAGTTGAAATCATTCATTCAATAACCTTTCGATAGTCTAATTCCTTCGATAGTTCCCATCGCTAGTTAAAAATGTTATTAAATTGTCAAGGAATTATTGTCTTCCATGCACGAATACGTGGATATCAAAGCATTTTACTAATTTTCGTTTTCTCTACCCGTTCCAGTTTGAGGAAATACAGTTGACAGAGATCATCCGGTCGAACATCGCTTTGGCCCGGTACGACACTCCCACGCCCGTGCAGAAGTACGCGCTGCCCATAATCCTGGGAAAGCGCGACGTGATGGCGTGCGCGCAGACCGGCTCGGGCAAGACGGCCGCCTTCCTCGTACCCATCCTCAACCGCATGTACGAGTCGGGGCCGCCCAACTTCCAGCACGCGCGCAGCCGCCGCAAGCAGTACCCGCTGGGCCTGGTACTAGCGCCCACCAGGGAGCTCGCCACGCAGATCTACGACGAGAGCAAGAAGTTCGCCTACAGGTCGAGGGTTCGGCCTTGCGTCGTGTAAGTATACTCTCACAAAGATCTATCTTATGAACATATATGTTGATATAAAAAATTAATCTTGTTTTTGCGTGAGGAATCTTTCTACGAGATGGCACACGTTTTGAAACACTCCGTACACTGAAATTTCTTTTCGCAGATACGGCGGAGCGAACATAGTGGACCAGCAGCGCGACCTGGAGCGCGGCTGCCACCTGCTGGTGGCCACGCCCGGCCGCCTGCTGGACATGATCGACAGAGGCCGCATCGCGCTCGACTACTGCCGCTACCTGGTGCTGGACGAGGCCGACCGCATGCTGGACATGGGCTTCGAGATGCAGATCAGGCGCATCGTGGAGAAGGAGTCGATGCCGCGCACCGGCGAGCGACAGACCCTAATGTTTAGCGCCACGTTCCCCCACATGATCCAGATGCTGGCCAGGGACTTCCTCGATAACTACATTTTCTTGGCGGTGGGCCGGGTCGGCTCCACCTCGGAAAACATTACCCAAAAGGCGAGTATTTTTCTTCTTCTCACTAATAATATAGAGCAGTGATGGTGAACATTTTGAGCTCAGTGCGTCAACATTTTGAAAAATCGAAACATACTTTTCGTGGCGTGTAATAATAATATTGACTATATTTGGCAACATATTCTGCAGATAAGAGTTCTTAAAATGTTTCATTTCAGAGGTGTGGAAGAACATTTCCACCGTTTTTTATATAAAAAACTCTTGAATAAGGGCTCAAACGCACTGACGACCAGGTCGTTGCTACCTGTAATACCATTGAATCAAATGATACAACTAGGGAATGCAATCCCGCAAATGCGGGATCCCTCTGAGATTTCGCGGGATCAAAGTTGCGGGATTTACCGTGCGGGATCTGCGGGATCGACACGTTACTACTGGGTAACCGAATCGATCTCGATTAAGATCAAACCGCTTCGTTCCGGACCGATGCGTCGACGCTCGGAACCCGGGGGATTCCCCTTACGGCTTGGCCATTAAAATTAAGTGAAACAAACAGGTTAGTTGTTAGATTTCTTTCTCTTTCTGGCGTATGTGCGTAAGTGAAGAAAAGCGGTTAACTAGTACTGGTGAAGAATTTCGTCAAATAAACTGCCGGACATAATTATCGGGACAAGCAAAATTTTAGGGTAAATTTAAAGTTGAATATCTCTTGAACTAAAAAAGATTTTGGGATGCGGTTTGGACCTGGTTTTAGATGCATCTATTGTGATTAAGATGCTATGTGGTTTTCGAAAATATATTTAGTGAATTCTCGTATACAGGGTGTTTTATAAGAGTGTGAATATTTGGTCAAGAATCTTTTTTACCGCAAATTTACAATTTTTAAAAAATCGAAATTTTTACCAAGTACGACTAATCTGTATTGAAATTACAAAAAACCGTTTGATCGTTTTTTTTTTGTTTTAAGGAAAATACGATATTTTTTCGATGCATTTTAAAAGCAGATAACTAACACAAGTTAAAAAAAAATCAACATCAGAATAATATTTTTATTCATAAAATAAGTAGATAAATTATAATAAAATTTAAGTTTATTTAATATTAAATATATTTTTTGAACACCCTGTATACATCGTTCCAAATTTCTGTACAGCTAGTTTAAGATACACGCTATATCAATATATTGTGGGCCTATGCAAAATGTACAATGCCTTTTGTGCCATTTAGGACCAAATGTATGACTATTGTTTACAGTCCCGCAATTTTGCGGATCAGCGGGATTGATTGCTTTAATCCCGCACGTTTGCGTGATTGAGATTTTGGTGCGGGATTGCATTCCCTAACATCGATATTAACATCGAAATCATATTTTTCATGTCAAAAACACCCGAAACATAATTTTTCATACAAATATCGACGTTAGTTCAGAAATTATTTGAAAAAATAAAAATGAAACTTCTACACCCTGTATCTCCAAAACAAAGTATCTTAGGACTATTTTTACTTATTACATGTCGTTTCTCTTGCAGATAGTTTGGGTGGAAGAGAACGACAAAATCTCCTTCTTGCTGGACCTGCTGAACGTGGCCGACCTGCACCAGCCCTCCGCCGAGAGCCTCACGCTGGTATTCGTGGAGACGAAAAAGGGCGCCGACTCCCTGGACGCCTTCCTGCACAACGAGGGCTACCCCGTCACCTCGATCCACGGCGACAAGACGCAGCACGAGCGCGAGGACGCCCTCAAGCAGTTCCGGTCGGGCGTGTCGCCCATCATGGTGGCCACGGCGGTGGCCGCTCGCGGCCTCGACATCCCCCACGTCAAGCACGTCATCAACTTCGACCTGCCCTCCGACATCGAGGAGTACGTGCACCGGATCGGCCGTACCGGCAGGATGGGCAATTTGGGTCTGGCCACGTCGTTCTTCAACGAGAAGAACAGGAACCTGGCCAACGGCATGTTGGATTTGCTGATCGAGGCCAAACAGGTGCGTGTTTCTCAATTTTTTGTGGTGAATTTTTTTTAACTGAAATCGCTTGTTAAAAATCATACAGTCTACCGGGTATATCTTACACCCCTATAACTTTTTTATTTTTTCAGATAAAAAAACGAGATTTGGTGTGTCAGTATATCACATAAATTAGGATTGTTTGATGTGTTCAATTGTATTCCGTTCACTTCCCTGTATTTTTTGGTATTTTTTACTTTGTTCAATAAAAAATGACACTCTGAACTTTTGACATTTTCGCTTGATAAATCGTGTTTTAAGAGTCTATTACTCTGTACTATTCGGGTCGTCCTCAGGGGTCGAGTAAAGCGGGTGTGGGGCCGAAGGAAATATATACACACACCAGAAAAGTCTAGGGATATTACAATTTTATCCAGCCATCTCCAGTAATTGTATTATTTGCATTTCTGATATAATAAAATTAAAGTAAACAAATAGTTTACAGGAGGCATTGGAAATAAAAATGCGAAATTTACCGAATTTTTCAAATTTACCTTGATTTTTATTGAACTCAAAAAAATACACACATTTTTTTTTATTCTAAACTGTGAATTAAAAAAAAAGATAAAACCATTTTTACTTAATAAAGGGTATGTCCTCCTCTACTGTTCATTACAGCCCTACATCGTCTCTCTATGCTCCTGGTCAGGTTGTCGATCTCTTCTTGAGGTAAAGCCCGCTACGCTGCATTCACGGCCCGAACCAGATCCCTACGAGTTTCACGAGGCATACCCATTCTCAAAATTCTTCTTTGGACCGCGTCCCATACGTGCTCGATGGGGTTGAGGTCAGGAGATTGTGCCGGCCAGGGTAAGATGTTTAATTGATGAGCATTGATAAACTCACTTACCACTCTGGCTGTATGAGGCCGTGCATTGTCATGCATGAGAATGAAGTTTCTTCCAAAATCATTGGCATATGGTAACACGACAGGCTCAAGAATTAAATCACGATATGTGATTCCTGTTAGAAACCTTTCAAGAAAAACGAGATCGGTTTTTCGGCCTAACTGGACTCCTCCCCAGACTATAACTGTTCCACCTTGATAAGGGTGCACTTCCTGAACATGATCCAACCGAATAAGATTTCCCGGTTCTCTCCATACCCTAAGCCTTCTCGAATCCGGATGAATTCCAAAGCGTGACTCATCCGTGAAGAGAACATTGGCCCACTGTTCATTCGACCACTGAACATGATCTTGAGCCCACAAATATCGTACCTCTTGATTTCCTCTCGTTAAGGGTTGAACTTTCCAGGGGCGTCTGCTTCTTAAGTTGACCTCTCTTAATCTATTGCGAACAGTGTCAGGACTAACGGTTACATTCTGTGTTTCCTGGAGAATTAAACTAAGCTCTGGTGCTGTAAGAGTCGGTCGGCGTCGAGCATTTAATTGTAAAAAATGATCTTGCTGAGGGGTAGTAATGCGATTGCGCCCTGTGTGCCTTTCAGCAACATCACCACTTTCACGGTAGCGTGCACTTAATCGCGATATTACACTTTGCATTGTATTTAATGCTCTAGCTACGTCGATTTGGCGCATTCCAGCTTCGAGCATACCCATGGCCCTTAGCATTTCGTCTCTGTTAAGATGTCTATGCTCCATAATGTCGTTTAATACTAAACAGAGTTATTGAATGAATTCTGGCCAGTTATCATAAAAACATAGCCAGTACAGGTTAAATTCGAACAATTGAGGCTAGGTGCTTTTTATACATTTGACAAAAAATGCACAAACACTTCTGCAAATATCCCAAATTTAGAAATAACTAGTGTGACTACTTCGTTTCAATCGAAGTAGAGAGAATCGGTCTACAAATACGTGGTTGTTTATTCAAAACATTTATTTTTAACTTTAATAAAATGATATCCTTAGATTTTTCCGGTGTGTGTATTATATTTCAGAAATCTGCCTAAGGCTTAGCCCGATCCTGTCGTGTTAAGCCACACCCAAAATTCCAAACACACATGCTTTGATTAAGGCTTGATTAAGGTTTGCAGAGCTTCAGCATTCGCCATAAAATAGCAAGCAATTTGTTACAAAACCGTATAAATTATATATCACTGTAATCACAAAACTTCAATGTATTTCCGTATTGTAACGGAATTTTAAATTGTGTCATTATTTTCGAGAAAATTTAGTCCAAACATAAGGAATATTTTATTGATGTTTGACCTTCAAAATCTTAAAAATAAAGTTGTCTAAAAATGTGCTACAATACGGATATAGTATAATCCTTTATCTTTAATTTCCTTCATTTGTGTAAGGAGCCTTGGAAAAATAGATTTTATCATCTAATGTTTTTCCTGTCTTGTCCTGGCCAGTTAGAAGATGTATTTTTAATCATATCTCATTTTTTTTCAAATTGAACGAGGGTGGCTCATTAGCATATTTGAAAAAAGCATTTTTGTACAAATAATTTGGTTCCACACACTTGGTATTTCGAGTCAAATTGTCGTTATAAACCGCATGTTACAATTTAAAATAGACCATATTATGCGAAAATTGTCAAAAGTTGATATAATCACAGATTATACAGATTATAAACTTTGTTTTTTCTTTATTGTTTTTCGTGGTTCCAATTTTCGGAATCGGCCACTAGTTAGGTTACTAGTTTGCGCACATAGGACGCCCACCAATGGCCTGTAAAATTGTGCACAGCGCCTGACCGACACGGTTATTAGAGAGATATCGGAAAACCGAATAGCGTCATGCAGTATTTACGCTTATCTTATCATGGTTATGATATGCGCGAGCCAATTTTTAACGCAACACCCGCTAATAACGTTACCGCCTGACGTAATTTGCGGATCAATTACACCAAGCGCTATTTCTAAATAACGTTTAAAAATTGCTTAAATGGGCATGTGCGGGTTTTTGACAACCGGGGCCGGCCGGCGAGATCTTTTATTTTAGGTTATGTTTGAATTGTTTTGAATTATTACTTTAGTTTTATTAGGTAATTTGATATTTAAGTAGCTGGGATTAGTTTTAATTAAATAAATATGGCCCAAAATATGGATTCCACCTCTTCCAATATTAAAGAACCTATAAAGAGGCTTAGGTTTACTGCAGATGACGACTTAGCCCTTCTAAGAGAAATTGTTGCTTGTTGCCCTAAACCCACTGGAAGACGTTGAACAATAAAGCACTGGAAATCAGCACTTTAGCCCTTTAGTTTTAAAATATCTAGTAAACAAAACAATTTCAAAGTTTTAAATTCAAAGTTAGGTTAAGTTTAAATAGCGGACGCGACGCGAACAGAATTCTTTCCGATCCGATAACTATAAATGAAGAGAGTTAATAGCACCTCACGTAAAGGAAATAACACCTGGCCTTATTAACTTCCATGCACGCTATTCAGTTAAGCGATATCTCTCTATTACGCTGTTTATTGTTATTTTACGCTAGTTTATTTTTGCGCACAGGAAATTTTACTCGTTTGCACATCGTCATAAAAAACAATTTTCGTACCACGAATTAGGGACAAGATTTTTATCTGTATACTTATATGATACCTAATCTGTGATATAATGATGTGTCGTTCTATTCAGAGTGTCATTTTCTATCAAATAAAGTAAAAAAATACCGAGGGTGTACGTGTTTCTATGGTATGAACTGACCCTAGTAGATACTGTAAAAAACTAAAAAAAACTAGGACTTTTTTGGACATCAATACCGTACGGTTTACGTTAAGACATTAATTAAAAATAAAAATTAAGACTTAATAAGTATCCTTGACGTTCGTTCTTTTTACAGGAATACCCTTCCTGGTTGGAGGGCGTGGCCAGCGACAGTCGCGTGTCCAGCTCGGGTAGGAGGGGCGGCAAAGGACGGTACGGGGGCGGCGGAAGCAGTTTCGGTAGCAGGGACTACCGGCAGCAATCGGGAGGCCAGTCGAGCCAAAGAAGTCAGAGATCTGGCGGGGCATACGGCAGTAGCGGATACGGCAATGGAGGTAATCCATTCGACAATGTTTTTTCTTTAAACTTTCATGAATTTTTAAAGCTTAATATACAGGGTGATCGGAATTGTGATTGGGAAACTTCGACAACATATTCTGTATTACAGTTGAGGGTTGGAACCTTTGGTGTTACACAGCAAAATAAAAACACTAAATCACCACAATACACCAAAAGACTTTTACACTGGACGCGCGTTTCGCTAACCATGTTAGCATCATCAGCAGATGATTATAAACTAAAGTACAATCTACAAGTTGAGCGTTTATATACTCGCTCAGTGGGCGTGGCAAAATCTAGCCAACCGAGTCAGAGCCCACTGAGCGTAACAGTTAGATTTCCGCCACTAGAGTAGTAGGAACAAAGAACTTGAAATAATTGGATGTCTCTGTTCATACTATCTTTACATTTATTAATTCTGATGCTCTCATATGCATCTAATTGCCTGTAATTTGAGACTTGTTTAATTAATTTTAAATTATTAAGATCTATACAATGTTAATCATCAATATGTTCGGCAACGCAAGATTTATCCGGTCTACCATATCTTACTTACAGATTACCATTTCTAGATGTATTAGTTATTAGAAATACAAATAATTGCCTGGAATTTAATATCTATAGGAAAAATACGACAACACGCAGATATATTCCTAATGAATCACATCATAGTGTTGAACATAAAATGGCTAGTTTAAATTTTTTAGTTCATAGATTACTTAGTTTCCCACTTTCCAACGAAAGAGATTACATTAGGAATGTAGCTGAGTGTAATGGATATTCTCCTTCACTAGTTGATAAATTAATTAGAAAACGTAGGTATAGGTTAATGATTTCTGAAAATTCGACTTTTCAAGTGGAGAAAGATACGTCTAAATATTTTGCGATTCCGTTTGATAGAGAGTTATCCCGTGGTCTAAAAGGAATTTTTAAGAATGTCAATTATAAACTTATGTAAAGTGCTAATAATAAATCACAACAATTATTAGGTAATCCAAAGGATAAAACACCTCCACTGGAAAGGTCGGGTATTTATGAAATTTCTTGTAAAGATTGTAATCAGAAATATGTTGGGCAAACTAGAAGATCAATATTAACTAGATTTAAAAAATATTTAGCTCAGATAAGATATGGTAGACCGGATAAATCTTGCGTTGCCGAACATATTGTTGATAAAGAACATTGTATAGATCTTAATAATTTAAAATTAATTAAACAAGTCTCAAATTACAGGCAATTAGATGCATATGAGAGCATCAGAATTAATAAATGTAAAGATAGTACGAACAGAGACAACGCGCAACGGTCCAATTCCTTCAAATTCTTTGTTCCTACTACTCTGGTGGCGGAAATCTAACTGTTACGCTCAGAGGGCTCTTACTCGGTTGGCTAGATTTTGCCACGCCCACTCGGTGCCCACTGAGCGAGTATATAAACGCTCAACTTGTAGATTGTACTTTAGTTTATAATCATTTGCTGATGATGTGTATTGTGGTGATTTAGTGTTTTTATTTTGCAACATATTCTGTAGATAAAAATAAGTAAAAAAGTTTATACAAAGGTGTGGATTTAAAAAATCTTTCCCAATTCTTTTTTAGATCTTTCAATGTAACTTATATCAAAAATTTAAGTTTTTACAGCCCACTAGAAAAAAATATATTGAAAAAAAAAATAGATTTTTTGTGCCACTCTGTATATAATTAATTTTTTTAGGTGGTGGCCATTATGGCGGAGGAGGCATGGATCGAGGCAGTAACTTCGGCGGAAATTACAACTCGAATAGCCAGGACGATTGGTGGTAAACAGTGATTGCCTTCGAGATATAGAGAAGCAAGATAAACGTATACCTGTTACGTTACGTCTAGGTCGACTTACTTCATTATTTTGGTTAACATATATTTTTTCGATAGAAATTATAATTAACATGTTTTAATCTTTCTTCCTAAATTATTATATCTTGTTTCAAAATAAGATTAATGCTTGAATATATATCTGAGAAATCTTTGAGCTGTTGTTTTATTACTTGCATCGATACGCTCTGGGACTGTATGAAGAGTTATAACTCAAGAAAGGGGAACACAATAGATCTATACAGTTGTGGTAATTAACTTCTCCTACAACATAATCTACCTCTGCAAGCCCCCCATACACCAGAAGGTTTGGCGGACAAATCCTATCACAGGCCAAATCTGGCAGTTTTTATTTTGATAAACATTTTACTTATCTTGGTACGTAACAGGCCAAGGCCGCATCTTCTGGTGTAAGCGGTGCTAAACTTTCATCACTTTCTTTTATAGTTAAACATGCTTCTTGTTTTGCACAAGTTGTACAAGCCTATCATATCTTACAAACTAGGCAAGTAATGTTGTCAATTTCCCAATCACATTTCTATGAATATTTGTATCGATCTCTATTAATTATTCAACATATATCTTGAACTTTGGCAGTAAACAATGTACAAGTTCATCTTGAATCAAGCAATTGGTCTTTTTCTTCCGTGATATAGGACCCCCTTAAGAAGTAGCACTTGTTTATTGATTTGGTATAATTGAAGCTGAAAACTGAAAAGGAACTACATAGTTTTCATTTAATTTTACCTTTTAATTGTTATTTTTGGTTCTTCCACGATATTCGATTGACCGCCAACTGTCAATTACGAGAACTTGAATGGTCAGTTTATTTGATTTTCAAAATTTTCCAAAAAATAATATTTTTCGTATAAAAAACGTTGTGAAATATATATAAAAATCATCTTATGCTTAATTTACTTTCAATTTGAAGTAAATCAAAGCAATAATTTAACTTCTTTGGCAAATTTTTGAGAAAAAAAAGCGTTAATAAAAAAACCTAGGCAACCAGTAAAACACACTTGTGTATTCCTTATGGTTGTGTTAACTATAATATTCTTTGCTTATGGGTATTTCTTCTGCCTTAATATCTTACCTATATCTCACCGCTCAATCCCGACATAAAATAAGTACTTATATAAAAAACAAAAAACTATCATTTGGGATTCGCAGAAGCGGCGTGCGATGTTAACTCATCCTAACTTTCTGGCGCATGAGGTCTATGAGGTTGTGGGAACTGGCTAGCCCGCGATCCGCCTCTTGAGTTGTTAGGAAGTTTCCGGTCGTACGATGTCTGTCAAGGTAGTCTATGATGACGAGGCGCCGGTCAATTCTACCACGAAATCCCGCATTTTCAGGTACCATCGTTTACAAGTGGCATTGTTAAGATTCGTCTGGTCGGAGAAGCGACGCTTGCAATTCACCCTGTAAATGCTTGGAGTTATAAACTTGGGAATGATTTTTGTTACTTTTTTTCGATAATTTTGAACTTTTATTGTTTAAAATGTACTAAAGTCCATAAGTATTTATTTCTAAATTATGAGAAATAAATATATTATAAGTACCCTATGATCGAAAAAAAAAGGCGTCCAGTTGCCTTGGAAATGACGATCGATGACATTCCCCGCATATAATGTTACAAATTAAAAGGATAAGTCAATTCTGATAGCATTAATTTGTAACATATGCAGTTAAAATCTTTTCAAGTCAAGGAATAAGTCAAACGAGTCGGAGAAAAATATCGTTTAAGAGATAACCGAAGAAATGACAGAAAATAAAATTTATCTGTGAATTCAAATTCCAGACAATTACACAAATACAATACTGAAATGAAAATCTGAAATAGGAACACTGATGAGTCACCCTGTATAGACTTCTAAAACTTACACTAATTTTCTTTTAAGTAGGTACCTGCTTATCGTTATTTTTGGGTGAAAATGAAATAAATTACACACAGGAAAACGTTTTGGAACATAATTTTTTCTAGTAAAAAAAAACACTTTTGAGAAAATAATGTTCTTGAGCGTCCGCAGATTTTTATTTCAGACTCAATCCCCTACCTACAGCAATATAACGTTTCTCGCAAGTTCATGACCAAGTTTACTGCCTTTAATTCAGTCCAGTGTCACGATTTTACAGCGGTAACGTTAACGGAGACCTCCTTTTCGGAGCATCGCCTAACGCAGCGTACCAATTTTTCGAAAAGAATTCACACAACAACCATGTTCGCTTCTTTATAACTTAAACCGTTTTTTTGCTCTATACTCGATAATTTTATTTGAAATATTTCGAATAGGTTACCAAAATGAAGATCAACGTTCGTCAGTGTCTTGTGGTAAGTCTGTTGTAAAGTTCTGCATTTTAAAGGCTGAAAATGTTTAAAAATAATCAACACAGTAATTTATTTCTGATTAGAATTGTAAAACTGATAGTTTTCTTATAAAAAAATATCATAGAGAGTTGTTAGAAATATAATAATAATACAGTAAATTTTGAAAATGAAAATAATGGTCATTTTATTTTATATCCAGAAAATGTTTAAATATAATTAACAAATTTATCATATTTATTACGTCAGTGTCTTATGATAAGTTTCTAAAAAAATGTTCATCCTTAAACATTGAAAATTTTTAAAATTAATCAACAAACTTGTTTGCTTACCGATATGATTAAAATTATTATTTTGAGTTTCTTCTTTAACTTTGAGATTCTCTACTTTGAGTTTCTTAAATAACAGACATTTTTGTTATATTTTATAGTAAAAAAATGATCAAAAAAATCTGAAATAAATGGTAATAAATTAGGAACTATAATGATTTTTCGAATTTACATATAAGCCACTTGAAGAACAGTTAGCTTGAGGTCAATGATCATCCAACAGCAGGTATACATTACCTTTGGAGCTCCACAGGCTGCAAAAAGGACGGTATTCCTTGTATATAGACGTATAAAAAGAACGGCCGACTATTTAACGATGATTAATTCATTTGATTTGATTTTTTTTTATTTTAGAGTTTCAGTCAATCAAAATATTATTTTAATAAAAGATAAATATTTGAAGAAATCAATCTACGTATTGGTTTCTTGCCCATTATTGTGATAATTACTTCCTATATTAAGCGTTAAGTAAATTATATAATTAGGATAATTTTCTCAGTAGTCTCGATTACAAATTACCTAGGTACTCACACAGTACACAACGAATAATAGATTTTGTCCTACTTTATCGAATGGTGGTAAACCGAAAAGTAGGTACTCGATTCCCATGACACGCAAAGTTCACATCTATGCTTTTTCCTATGATTTAAATTCTTTCTTCGACGTATACACGAAGAAAGTTTATATATGCCATTAGGTAAATGAGAGCCTGTTTAAATATTTTTCAATCTTCCTTTATTGGACGTAAAACAGTTATCGATGCGTCACCTGTCGTCTGACCTTATTTCAATAACTTTATTTTATTTAAGAATTCAGAATACACAGGATGGTCCACTTTTTACTTGCAGAACTTTAACACCATTTAAAAAAAATATTGCAATGTTTTTAAACCTTTTTTAAATAGATATAGTACTCACGGTAGTTAAAAATGAACTTTATTTTTGTGTTTCAGCCTCTAATAATTTATACGTTAGCGAGGGAAGTTGTATCAAAAGTGCCAACAAAATGCGAAGGGGGCGGAGGACTGAAGTATCTGTGGGGCGATGCCTTATCGGACAGCCCCGACTGTGTGGGGCCCACCAACATGCCGTACCCCACGTAGGTAAACCTTTACTATTACGACGATACACTTTTTATTACCACCGGTATATTAATTCACAAAAAATGACAATTTTTGATTAAGTGAGAATGTCAAAAGTTGACATATGATATGTCAACAATTCAGATTCAGAATGTCATTTTCTATCGAATAAAGTAAAAAAATACTGAGGGTGCCATTTAAAAATCAAAAATTGTAGTCATTTCCGGTGAAACGGGAAGTGACCAAAAAGAATTGAATACACCAATCAATCCTAATTTATGTCATATACTAACATATCAAATCTCGTTTTTTTATCTGAAAAAATAAAAAAGTTATAGGGGGTGAGCCACTTTTGAGACGCACCCGGTATAATTTAGCTACCAAAGAACTTCGTGATTATGCGTATTAATTATTAGAAAAATCATCGAAATATCAAATTATTTTCAGGGCAGCGATTGAAAGATCGTTCAAAGGCACAAACCCATGGTTGGGTAATTTTAGGACGGCTAGATCGCAGAAAACTATCGATCCATTTCTGACGAGAAAGGCTCTGCTGAATTCTTACGAAAGGAGTAGTGTAAATGACCGCTGGTCATCCTCAAGAGAATGTAAGCAGAATTATGGTACACGAAAAAAACGGCGTCAATTAATATTTAAGAAAGAAAAAAAAGTCACTAGAACGCCGTTTTTTTGGTCGCACTTATGTTATTTGCAAAAAAATATTTCACGACATGTTAATTTTATATCTATACCCTCTTACAGCACGTGCCACAAACTTACAGTCATCATGCGGCTCAAGTCCGGCAAGATTATGTAAAACTCGGTATAACACAACCGCTCCCATGTACGGGGTATCGCTAACTTCGGGTCAGCCTGTCACGATTGTACAGAAATTTCCAGATCTTCTGCAACAAGTCGTTTTTGAGGTAAATATGAGCATAGAGATTGTTACAAATGAAGTATACTTTTTAACTAATACAATTTGCTAATCCTTTTTTTAAGTTTAGCCCAACTAAAAATTTTCTGAAGCTCATTTAGATTTTACCGCAAAAATTACACATAATGCGTCAATACTACTCTTAAGCTATTCATTTTCATTTAATTTAGGTCTGTGAAAGTCCAGAATGCGACGTAGTGCGCGGGGAATGTACACAAACCTACGTACCCTATTTATTCTTGGTGATTCCCCTAGGACCGGTCACTTTAACCGGCCAAGATTACGTCCTTGTAGAAAGCGGATGCGTTTGTCGGCCGAAATCTTCATCTCAATCTCATCAAGAACCTGCAATGCCTTCAATACCACGGCTATAACTTGAATTTGTGAAGAATATCTCATGTAAAGCCCCATCTACACAACGTTTTAGAGAACTGACTTGACTAAACAGTCAAGACTGACAGGTAAAACCCTATGTGTAGACAGGGCTTAAAGTATTAGAAAGTGATCAGAAAGTCTTAAAAAACAAAAACGTCTAAACAAAAAAAAAATGTAATGTGTATGTGGACTTTATTTAGCCCAAGATTTATAACTTTGATCACTTAACTACAATTAAAAATATAAAATATTATAAGATATAATACTTAACATAAGTTTTGTACAAAAATTATACAAATATTTATTTTCTTATATAAATTTAATAAATATGTATTAAGAATAATTAAGTTACTATGTGTGTAATTATTCCTCTCCAGCAGGCATTGCGTCCTCTAATCTTCTTATAAATTTCACCCTTATTTCTGTGTTTTGATCTCCTTTTAACTGATCCTAAAAATATATAGTCAAGCTAAAATTTCTATTATCCATAAAAAACATAGCGGGATTGAAATTTTTAAGTTTCTAGCTAAATTACCTGTACAACCCAGCTCTGTACATCCAACTGAACCATTTCCAGAGCCCCTCGTATTGCACCACATATAATATTACAATATTTCAATTGTTTGAGATCTTCAGGTAGTTCGACTAATTCAGTGAGCGGATTGCTGTCTAATATAAATGAAAACTCGTCTCCCGCGGGACTCCAGTTAACTACATTTGGTTGGACACCCAGGTATAGTCGAAAAGCACTTTGAATTTTATCTGCTGTGTCTTTTAGGTCTAAACATCGGCCTGTCCCAGTTTTGCTTAGAAAATCTTCTATAAGACGTATTCCCATGTTGTAACCGATTCTATCGAGCTGTTTGCTCACATCGTCTGGGTTATCGAAATCTTTTACCATTTGTGCAACTAACGTACCATATGTGAGAGTAACTAATTCAGAATTCTAAAAAGTTAAAAAAAATAGTAATTTAAATAAACAAAATGTATTTGCTAGAAGGTAAGCAATTTTACCACTTTTTTGGTATCGAATCTTTGTCTTGACATGATTTCCTACTAATTTGAATATATTCAAAAAAGAATAGATTAGAAAAATTAAATATTTAAATATCTATTATTTTGCAAATAGAGAATTTAAATTAGAATTGTCAAAATTCTGAACTGAAAAGTGCAAAATCGAAATATGACAAATCTAAAACCACAGAAGAACAAAAACTAATTAATGCTCAGGCATTTATATATGATATTTAAATTTTTGTTAGTCACATGGAATTCGAACCTTGGAATTTTGTTATCAGGATCGCCTAGTGAGATATTTAAGAAGATGATGGCAAGATGCCATCGCCCAATTCAAGAAGAAAATTAGGTTAGATCGCCCTTTTTGCGTGCAACACAGCGGCATGGCGTCCAATGTAGAATTGGTTCGCGCTACAATATTTAATTATTTAGCTAAAGAGGACAAAAACCTAGCCGAAGTGTACAGGAAAAAATACAATGTCGTAAGTACTAAATATTTTGCCACTTGTTACATAATTTTACTTGCCTCTATTGTTTATATTGCACGTGTAATGTGCGCTGTGAATCAACCGCATGTTCTAATGTTTTTTGTACGTTTAAGCCTGCCCTAGCCGTTGGAGCACCCTCATTATCGGACCTAGTATCGCACTTCTTGAAAACAAACAAAAATGCCGTTAAATTAAAAGTTTCTACGGAAGATAGCGACGATTCTTCGTCAGAAGATGAAACTCCAAAAGTTAACAATACAAAAAGTAGTGCGGCACAAAAACCAGCTCCTAAAATACTTACAAATGGAATTAGTAAGAATGATTCAAGTTCAGAGGTTAGTTTTGCTTTTAAAAGTTAATAATTTCATAAGTTATTACTTTTTTTATCGTAGGAGTCATCTGAAGATGAAACGCCCGCAGTGCAGTCTCAGAAAAAACCAAACTCAGTGCCAGTCCAAAATCAAACTAAAAAAAGGAAACAAAGCAGTTCGGATGATTCCTCTGATGATGAAGAACCACCTCAGAAAAAGGTAAATTTTTAAATAATTTTTACTATTGTTTTAGTTAAACCTTGAATATAAACTTTTTTTAGAAAGTAACTGCGGTAATCCCACCTGCTAATATTAAAAAAGAAGAAAGTAGCTCAGACAGTGATAGCTCTGATGACAAATCACAGCCCCCTAAAAAGCAAGCTGTTGTTCAAAAGGTACCCCCTAAACCGGTTAAGAAAGATAGCTCATCTGAGGATAGCAGTAGTGAGGAAGAAGTAGCTAAAAAACCAACACCTATTTTAAAACAGACCCCTGCTAAACAGGTACGCTAATGAGGGTGCAATGATATTGTAGTAATGGAGTATTAACTAATTTTATACATTTCAGAATGCTAAACCTGTTAAAAAAGAGGAATCAAGTTCGTCAGAAGAAAGTAGTGATGAAGAAGAAACGCCTGCAAAAAAACCTGCCCCCACAGTTCAGAATAAGAAGGTAGTGGCTGTTGCGGCTAAAAAACAGGAAGAAAGTTCTTCAGAAGAGGACAGTAGTGAAGAGGAGACAGCCCCGAAGTCTCCAGTAAAACAACCAGTCGCAAATGTAAATAAACAAGTAAGTTTGTTGAAGTAATTAGTAGTAAAAGGTCTAAATTTTTAACTATTTAGGCTGCTAAAAAGAAGGAAAGTTCATCAGAGGACAGTGAGAGTGATAGTGAAGAGGAAACAGTAAAAAAACCTGTTCCAACTCCTATTCTTAAAAAGGTATTTATAGTTGATCGACTTTGCAACAATAATAAATATAATTAAAATTATTTTAAGACTGGACAAACAAGCATAGTTAAAAAGAAAGACAGTTCTTCTGAAGAAAGTAGTAGTGAAGAAGAAGCTCCAAAAAAAGTTACGTCAACGCCAGCATTAAATAAGGTGAAAACATTGAACAAGTAATTGAAATGTGATATTTATTATAAGTTATTTTAGAATGTTAAACCTCCAGTAACTAAAAAAGAGGAAAGCTCTTCGGAAGAGGACAGTAGTGAAGATGAAGCTCCTAAAAAGACAGTAGCGACACCAAATAAACAGGTAGATATTTACTTTTTTTTTATTAATATATCTCGTATAAACAAGTGAGGTGTAATAATAATAATAATAAATAAATAAATAGCTGTTTTCCGTTTGTAGAATTCTGTAGCCAAACCACAGGCTGTCAAAAAACAGGAGAGTTCGTCAGAAGACAGTTCCGACGAGGAAGAAGAAGAAACAAAACCAGTGGTTAAAAACAACCAGAAACAGAAAGTGGATAACAAAAAAGCCCAACAAGCGGTGAAAAAAGAGGAAAGCAGTTCTTCAGAATCGAGTGACGAAGAAGAGGAAACCCCCAAACCTAAAGTTACGCCTGCCAAACCTAAACAGAAGAAGGAAAGTTCTTCGGAAGAGGGTAGTAGTGACGAAGAGGAAGTTAGTAGTAAACCTACTGCAGTATCGACACCAACAAATAATGAAGTATGTCGTTTTTTTAAAAACATATTTCTCTTTGATATTTTTAATGTTTTTTTCTTTCTGTTTTAGGAGAATAGCGATTTTAAGATTAAGAAACCGAATTACAGTAATTTTGTCAAAGGCGGACAAAACAATAGGAACAGTTTTTCAAATGACAACAATGTAAGTTTTTTTTGCCAGTTAAAAATTAATTTTTTTTTTCACTTGGGATTAAATGTCAGAAAAATAAGTAAACATAGAAGATTGTATTAGAAAAATTAAATATTTAAATATCTATTATTTTGCAAATAGAGAATTTAAATTAGAATTGTCAAAAAACTGAAAAGTGCCAAATCGAAATATGACAAATGTAAAACCACAGAAGAACAAAAACTAGTCAATGCTCAGGCATTTATATATGATATTTAAATTTTCGTTAATCACATGGAACTCGAACCTTGGAATTTTGTAAACATAGAAGATTTCTAGGATTTTTTTTAGTTGTCCTCTACACTATGAATATCGTGGAATTTTATTTTAATCGCTTAAAAAAGATTGTTCTGAATATTCCAGGAATAGGCGATTAAAAATTAGATAAGCTAAAAGCCTAGTTTTTACGCGGCCGATTTTTACTTTCTATTAAAAATTAGAACACTGGAAAAACCTAAATACACTGTTGTAATTTTGTGTAAAAATCAAAATTTAAGCAGAAGTAATAGAAAATGTATGTTGGAAAGGAAGAGCAATGCCATTCGTTTTCTTTTTATTACTTTTTTTACGTTTTCTGATATTTTTAGGGGTAGAAACACATTAACGCCTATCCCTGGAATTTGTTACTGGCGATAATTTTTGAAGTATTAAAACTATTTATATCTAAATGTATGAATTGGTATATATCACACAAAATTTTTCGAATTATTTGTAACTTATTTATTTTTTTTTTGTTTAAATTAAATATATTTTAGCAACGAAACGCGCCCTTCCGCAGGGTCAGGGATGACCAAATCGATGTCGACCCTCGATTAAAAGACAATTCCTTCGAAGCTAAGGTAACGTGCAATCCCAACTTTAAACGGTACAATGGGTAGGCGTTACTCTCTAATATCACACTGATTTTGTTTTTGGAGCAAAATAGATCTGGCATTTCTCAAACCCTTGTATACTTGGGGCTGATAAATGTTAGTTTTGGGTCGAGATTTCCGTGTGTATGAAGAGTACAATGCGTTTATAATGTACTGAACAAAGAGAGAACAGTAAAAACGTTGCCAAACGTATGAAATAAACCGAGAAAGTGTGCACATTGTATGTAATCAGTACTTAACGATTTAATTACGTCTCGTGATACTTTATTAATGAGTCGTTGTAAAAGTGCAAGTTAGAAACACTTGCATTTTTGGAAAAAATAAGTGGAATTGAGTTGGTCTTCGACAGTGGTCGCGCTATTAGAACTCTGAATTCAAAAATCGATATCTGGAAATCCATTAGAAATAATTGATTGTAGTTTTTTTTCAAAAACTTTCTTAATATTTCTGCTATATTTTTTTCGCAGACAGTATGTGAATATCTTTATAAATAAAAAAGTTACATGATGAAAATTTGCATTGCACTAAAAGTAAATGAATGGGTTTTTTTAAATTTTTGAATGGAAAAAAACAACCCTATCGATTTTTTTTTATTTAAACATCTTGTAAAAGATCCGAACAAAATAAAAAAAAAGTTTCAATATCTAAAGTAGGACCCGAGACCCGAGTTATCGCGTGTTATGTGTTAAAAAGTTGAGTTTATAATTATCGCGATTACTGACGTTTTCTCGTTATAAAAAATATGGACACCTTAACGATATCCTTATAATTCCATTTCAGATGCTCAGTAACATATCTAATGATTTTATCTAGTTATCTTTTCGAAAAAAAGTGTTTTTAAAAAAAAAGCGGTTTGCGATCGTGATTTTATTTACTCGATAGTGCCGGAGAAATTTGGCAATGCCGCAACAGTACACCGTCGCATTTCTCTCACTCCGACTTAAAAATATCCCTATGCGATTTACTTCCACACATGTAAATACTGACCCAAAAGTAAGAGTTGCCAGCACAGTATAATTCTTATCTATTGTGGTCCTCTAGTCACAGAATTTTGCTATAGATTTTTAAATTTGGAATTTGCACGTTACCGTATATATAAATATTAGATAGTTTAGCTTACCTATTGTACTAATATCGATTTTTTTCTCTTTTTTTTTCATATACCATGCCCGTCCTTAAAAAAATTGCCTCTCCGATTTTAAAATGAAATCAGGACTCGTTCCAAAATAATAGAGGCGGTTTTAGGGGCGGCAGAGGCGGCCGAGGAGGTAATAGGGGAGGTTTCAACGACCGCAAATCGTTCGGCGGCAACGACAGGGGCGGCGGTCGCGGAGGTAACAGGGGTGGATTCAGGGGAGGCAGGGGCGGATTCAGGAATAGTTTCGGCGACGGCGACAATAATAGGGGAGGTGGAGGTTTTAGGAAATCGTTCGGCGATAATAGAGGGGGTAGGGGAGGTTCGTTCGGGGATAATAGAGGAGGTAGGGGAGGTTCTTTCGGCGATAATAGGGGCCGGGGAGGACGGGGCGGTTTTAAAAGGTCGGGCGATTTTAATCAATCAGGAGGCAATTTCGGACAGCAAAAGCCGCAGGAGAACAAGAAAATTAAGTTCGACGATTAGACTTGTCGATCATAAAAAGTAAGTAGAAATAAACTACGGGCCCTAACAACTATATGTTGGGACAAGGTCTTTTTTTGCAATAAAAATAGTAATTTGTTAAAACGACTCAATTTACTTTGTTTATTATTCTAAAATCAAACATTACAATATGATCTAGGCAATTTTACTATATTTTTATAACTTTGCAAACAAATCACTTTTGATAATAGCTTATTTTGACAAAATCAAGCCAAGTTTGCTGACAACTATATATTGGAACAGCACAACAAGAAATTTGTCTAATACGGAGTTACATCACCTTTCGCCTTAACAACTGCCTGAACTCTTAATGGCATTGTATTTACCAAAGATTGGCACATTTGAGGAGAAAAATTATCCCAAATTTCCTGCAGTTTTGTCCGCAAATCAAAAATTGTTTGTTGAGGGTGGTTTCTTAAATATTGCTGCATTTCATGCCACACAGTTTCTATTATAACATTGAGGTCCGGACTACTTGAAGGATGGGATAGAACTTTTATATTATTATTACCGAACCAATTTTTAGTTGGTTTTGCTGAATGGCACGATGCTCCATCTTGTTGGAAAATATAGTCTTCGTTTGGAAACAATTCTTGAGCACTAGGCAAAAGTGAGGTCTCAAGAATATGTTGATATTTTTTGGCGTTAATGCCATCTAAAAAATTTAATTTGCCCAAACCTCTTGCTGACATGCAACCCCAAACCATAATCCCCTTAGGAAATTTAACAACCTTCTTTAAGCAATCAATAATCTTCAGGTAATTGATTATCCACACAAAATAAAGTTTACCTTGTAAAACCCCAGACCGCATTTGTGGATATATTTTCGGCAACATTCTCTTGATATATTTAAACCAGTTACAGTATTCCATTTAACTGTTACTTCGCGAAGAGTACTTCTTCTCGCAGACTTGCAAATTTTTACTAAATTTCGTAAATCTCTCGGAGATACAACTTTTGGCCTTCCCGAACTTTTACATCTAACGTCTACGTTGGCAGATTCGCCGTATTTTTTATTAGATTAAAGACCGTGGTTTTGGAATACTTAAATCATCAGAAATTTTTCGAATTGTTTTCCCGTACTGTATTGACGAATGATAATTTCGCGTAGTTTTTGATTTGTAGCTTTTCCACGGACTATTACTTTGGATTAAATTAACAAAATTGAAAATTAAAAAATTAAAATTTCTTACAGTAAATCTCACTACTCAAAGTATCGAGTCACTTACAAGCTGTCAATGCCGAAGTAAACAGTTTGCGACATTTGTGACGTTTATAGCAAAGCCGCCTATGATGATATTAATTATTTAAAAATACTTGTCCCAACATTTAATTGTCAGCAAATTTGTCCTTTTATGAACAAAATCCGCTACTGTAAATATGGATTGATTTACAAATTCATAAAAATATTGTCAAGTTGTTTAGGATATATGGCTATGTTTATATTTAAAAAATTAAACATATGTTTTTCAGTCGTTTTGAAAAACCAGGGCAATAATTCCATAATATGACCTTGTCCCAACATATAGTTGTTAGGGCTCGTACTCAAAACAATTATCGCATATTTTCTAAAAAAATATTTTGATTTGAAAAACCAGACGTTTTGAATTCCCTGACTTACAGTTTTAAATAGTTTGTGAATAGTGAAAGAAAATTCAAAACAATAAGCCTACGCGTTAACCTGTAATTTTTAGTCGGTCGATTATTTAGTTGCAAAAGTAAAAACAATACATACTTATAGAGCCGATCGGCCGACTATTTGATTGCATGTGAACGCGGCTCCATAGGAATATGTTGGTTACAAATATGCAACTAAATAGTCGGCCGATTAAAAATTGCCTGTCAGCGTATAGCCTAAGTCTACGCAATGGATCGAATCGGCTCCATAAAAATGTATTATTTTCACTTTTGCAACTAAATAGTCGGCAGACTAAAAATTACATGTCAGTGCGTACTCTAATAATCCCAAAAAAAAACTCACAAGGGAAAGGCGGAAAAATGCATGCTTCATTTAGAAATATGTAATAATTACTCTTATTCAAATATGTGATAATTGTTTTGAATAGTGTAAGTAAGTATCTTAATTTTTATTTCTTCGTTTTGAAAATTGACCAAGTATACAGGGTGTTCCTTAATGACATGCTAATAATTAAGGAGGGGTGATTCTTGGACCTCTTCTAAGAAAAAAACCTCATATGAATACATGTCCTAAATATCTTAACTTTTCAGATACAGGGTGATAAATTTTCTATTTTTTTTTTCAAAATATCTCCGATGTTATATTTGATACATGCATCAGAATGTTTATTTTTATATACAAAAAAAAAGTTTTATTTCTTGATTTCCTTCCAGCCGATTCAGAAATGGTTTTCACACAACAATCACCGCCTCAGATTTTCAGCGATTTGACTCTGAAGTTAACTGACTTTAATTTTTTTGAGCAAAAAATATGCGCGGACGAAAAAAATCACGAGATAAAAAAATGTTTAGAAATGAATGGAGGTTTTGAAAATAATTTTTATTTTAAGAGAAGTCAGTGGCGTACAATTTTTTTTTTCACCAAAAATATTTAATGTAAAAAACGTATGAACGCCACTTGTTGAATTAAATAGAATTGTTTGTACATCAAAAAAGGCATTTTGATGCATATAAAACGGGTATCAAATTCCATAAAAAATATCTAATCATATCATGTAATTATACCGTATGATCGAAAAAAAAACGGCGTCCAGTTGGCTTGGAAATGACGATCGATGACATTTCCCATATAATTTTACGTATGATATGACAGCGATCTTTATTTCATAGCCATCGCTGACGCCGTTTTTTTTTCGATCATGCGGTGTTACATGAGTTATGAAAAATATATTTTTTTTAATTATTACACCCTGTACCTCAAAAATTGACGTTTAGGACGTACATTAATATGATTTTTTTTCTTAAAATAGATCCGGCAATCGTCCCCTTAATTTTAGCATATCCCTTAAAAACACCCTGTATACCGGATGAGTCTAAACTAAATATAATTTTCTCTGGATAAATCTACGTTTATAACCTAACCACCTGTTTGAGATAGAGAAAAATGCATCTAGTTTTGAAACTTTATCGACTACCTTAAATATTTGACAAGTATATGATGGATGTTCTTTTTTTCTAGGCCAATGCCAGAGGTTCTTGGGGCGAAAGAGCCAACTACGATCTGAAACACACCCGAGGAAAATCATTCAGACACGAAAAAACAAAAAAGAAGCGCGGATCGTACAGGGGCGGCACAATAGACCTGTCTGTAAACTCCATAAAATTCGATTAAATGTATTAGTACGAGAGCTAGCAACGTCGGAAAAACAAGTATTTTAAGACGTCTGGCTCTTTGATATACATATCTTTTACTATGCTTTCTAGAACAGCATGCGGCCCGTCTGGCTGCCGATACCCGTTGCGTTCCCTACTGCGCATTGAAAGAAGATTCTAGGTTTGTTCCAACCCCGCTGAGAACCGTTCTGGAACGGTTCCGTTCATGCCCATAGGGCTAAAAGCGTTCCAATCTTGATGGGGATCGTTCTCGAACGATTCTCTTTGCGTTCCAACCAATTTACTGATCGTTATTAGAACGGTTTCGGAACCGTAATTTTTAAAAAAGGTTTGTTTTGATTACATCTTAGTACATCAAACAAAAAGTGAGGTTATTTTAACCGGTGTTTTGACAAGACAGATTAAAAACGGTTCCGAAACTGTTCCAACCGATTGTCAATCTAGAATCGTTCAAAAACAGTGCCGAGTTAACGCATGCGGATAAGACTAGTCCCAATGATTTCAGAACGGTTCCAGAACCGTTCTAAAACTTGGAGTTGGAACAAACCTTCTATATTTTTATTAGTCCTTTAAATTCAAGTACCTATTGAATATAAATCGAACATGTCTCCATAGCATAGTGTGTAGAGTTTCCGACCACGAACCGATGATTCAGAGTTCGAATCCGGGTCAGGGAAAAGACTTTTTTATTTTATTTTGGTTTATTATAACTTTATTATTAGAATATAAACGAAAATAAAATTAAAAAGTCTTTGACCTGACCCGGATTCGAACTCTGAATCATCGGTTCGTGGTCGGAAACTCTACGCACTACGCTATGTTCGATTTATATTCAATACTAGAATTTATAGGACTAAATTAATAAAAAATATAGGATCTTCTTCCGATGCGCAGTAGTGAACACAACGGGTATCGGCAGCCAGACCGGCCGCATGCTGTTCCAGAGAGTATAGTAAAAGATTGAACGAAAACGTTGCTAGCTCTTAGACTATATCGTTCAAGCATTTTTTAGAATATCAACGCCTATAAATAATAATAGTGTTATTGACTATATATCTGTATTAAGTTTAAAATGATCGTTTGTTTTATATTTTTTAAGTACGTTAGGCAGTTTAAACGTAAATACTTTTAAAAATTGAATGTTCTTCATTATCCTATATTTCTGGTTGTAAATAAATCACGAGAGGTGTAAACAAATAAAAGAACACTATACATTTTTGATCGTTTTATTTCATATACTCGTATAAAATTATTTTCTAGAGATATAATTTTTTATATATATGTATAAAAAAATATCACTGATATATACCAAAGGAATGATTTCTCTGTAATAACAAACAACTTGAAATAAATATTTTTTAAGATTAAATAAATAACTAAGATTACTAGATCACAAGAAAACACTATAAAGCTATGTTTGCATTGAACTAAAAAAAATGATATGAAATCAGGACGTTAACAGTCAAATATATTATAATAACAGGTTAAAAAAATAGAATGAAAATAGTCCAGATTTTTAACTAAAAAAAAATTATTTAACAAAAAAACATTACTTAGCAAATATTTTTTTAATAAATTATTTTCAAAGTTTTTTTTTATTGATTTTCCAGAAAGTTTTTAAACAGATTATATGAAAAATATCTAACCCGTCACTATAATTATACTGGGTGTTCTTTAATAGCTTGCTAATATTTAAGAGATTGATTCTTTTTATTATATATATATTATAGCCTAAAAGCACGTTTTTTGTCACCGCATCAGATTTTCAGCGATTTGACCCTGAAGTAAATTGACTAATTTTTTTTAAGCAAAAACTATGCAGAAAATAACGAGATAGAAAATGTTTAGAAATGAACGGTGATTTTGAAAATAATTTTTATTTTAAGAGAAGTCAGTGGTGTACCACTTTTTTCTCCAAAAATTCAATGTAAAACTCGTACGGACGGCACTGGTTGAAATAAATAAAATCTTTTGTACATCAAAAAAGTTATTTTGATGCATAGAAGACGTGTATCAAGTTTCATAAAGATATCTATAATAAATATATCTATATAAAATTAGAAAATTTTACCACCCCGTATCTCAGGAATTATGATGTTTAGGACATAATTCATATGAGGTTTATCACTTAGAATAGATCAAGAATCACCTCCTCAAATACTAGCATGCCATTAAGGAACACCCTCTATAATACTATAAAAACTTATTTCACTTAAGTTACTTGACTCGACTTTTATATCATTTTATTGACATTGAATATAAAAAATAAATAATTTAAATACACTACTATACACATAATATACAGGGTAGTCCGAATGGTATGAGGGAAACTTCGACAAGTGAAAAAGTTCTTTGTTTGAGTTATAATAGAACTTTTTTACTTTATTTTTATCGGCAGAATAAATGCTGCCGAAGTTCCCGAATACAATTCGGACCATCCTGTATAACAATGACAATTATTTATTTATTTTTCTTGGCTAAAATCGCGTTATTGCTACCGACGGTATTTCTGCTACTCGAACTCTGTGGCTCGTCCTTTTTAAATAAAAAAACGATGAATTTTAGAAGGTCGCAACAGAATTCTTTGACGAAACACGTGAAGTTTTTCGCGACCTCTGCGGGCGTGTCGTACTCGTTGGGCACGATGCCTTCCACTCCCGATTCGAAATACGAAAACAACGGAAACCAAACTCTCGTCCTTGTCGAGTCCCTTTGCATTAAAGCCTGATTGTTGGACAGGGTGTGATAGTACAGAAATAAACGACTGGTTATGTAAAACGCCACGAAAACGTCAATGGAGTAGTGTTCATGAGCAGCTAATATGAAAAATATCCCAAACATATTCATCATCCACGACATCGTGTGCAGATAATAGATATATCTTGGTGTATCTACAAGAAAAAAAAATTCAGATAATTTTAAACCTTTGAATAAGAAGACTAAGGAACGAGCATAATGCTATCCATGTATTCATGCAATGACTAAAGAATACAAGAACATGTAACGGCCATATACGGGCTGCAGCAAAATTTGTGACCTTTAGACGCCATTTTTTTGGACATAACGAATGAATCATCAGCTGTTCATGAGCGACAATTTTAGCGATTTTTAATAGTTGGTTGTGTGTAGTGAACTTTGTATAAACTTTATTACAATGGTAATTTGTTCAGCTTTCAAGTGTAAAAGGCACAATGATAAGAAAGATCCAGGAGTTATGTTTTATAGGGAAATAAACAGTCCACTACACCTTTTTAGCGTTTTTTTATTGAATTCGATAATTATTTTTCTAATATTATATGTACTTGATATGTGCTATACGTCGATACTAGTTTTGTACCTTTTGTTAACATTTTAATACGTTTTTTTCGTAATTAATTAGTATGATACCACAGGACACACTAGAGGCGTAGTGAAAATATTTACCAAAAATATAAATATCGCTTCAACCGGCCATGTTAAGAAAAATATGTGCCACGGCACTGTTTGGAAGAATGGTCACAGTTTGGTTTCGGTTGCTATTTGTCCTTGTATTCTTTAGTCATTGTCGTCATTGTATTCATGCATGGTGGGCGGAAAAAGGACTCTTAGGTGGGGATCCTTGACATTTCTGTTTGACGATTTATTTGACACATTTGAATTTGATTTGAAATTTTGTGGATTTGTCAGTCTTTACGGAGCTTATTTTATGTTATTTATTATTTATTCTACTACTGATAGTTGTATAAAGGTAGTAAATCTAGATGGAAATTGTGGCAGAACTTAAATTGACATTGACACTATCGCGATTTATCGAAAAAGTCCCTAAAATAGTTGGTTATGTAGCGTGCGGTAGATCTCGGCAAAAATCGAGTGAAATAATGGAACAACTTTTCGCTAGTAAGTGACTATATAATATACATACGTGTAGTAAACCGATCATTTATGAAATTCACTTAAATTAATAACGAATTATATATTTTTTCTTGCATTTTTGCTTTTATTTACTACTTGTCAAAGATTAGATGTCAAAGAACTTAGATACGTCAATTTGACTGACCTGCTTCAGTAGCGTATCGGATGTTTGTGTTAATAAATAATTATTAAAACTTTTTTTATTATAATAATATGTTTTTATAACAATTTTAATAACTACCAACATTTATTTACAACGTAAAATAAAAAAAATATTGAGTCTACCCCACGTCTACCCTACATCATAGTTTTACATTTTTTAAATACAATTAGAACGGCACTGATAAACCCAAATACGTTTAAATAAAATTTTTATTTTTTTTTAAACTTTATTTTAAACGTATTTGGATAAACCGGAATTTAAGTCGGCCATATTTGAGTCCCATGGCGATGGACCTAAGATTTTTGATATGCTCCTTCCTTAGTCTTCTTATTCAAAGTTTTAAACTGAACATAAAAGATCCCATTGCATACAGGGTGGTCCGAATTGTATTCCGGAAACTTCGGCAGCATATTCTGCATATAAAAATAGGTAAAAAAGTTTATATAATTGTATATCCTAAAATGCTTAGTTTCCGAGATACAGGGTGTAGAAGTTTCATTTTTATTTCGATTTTTTTCAAATAATTTATGAAGTAACGTCAAAATTTTTATGAAAATTGGCGTCTGGGAGTTTTTTTGACATGATAAATGATGATAAATTTGATTTTGATGTCAATAGGAGTCAAGTCTTTTATCTATGATAGGAGAGTTAATATTTTTTAATCGGTTTGAAAAATAATAATTTTTCGTCAGTACCTGTATAAAACTACCGAGTGAAAAAAAAAACATTGCCGCGATTTTTTACGTAAAAAATGTCTCTTGGTAAAAATCGCTACGAGCAACCAAAATTTTCAAGATATTTTGAATGGAAATAGTCAATACATGTCATTATTGACAAAAAAAAATAAACATGTTAAGTAGATAGTCACTGAAATGATAAATTTGGGAACTGTCTATTTTTTTAAATGAATCATAAATTTTTCTTAAAAAAAATTATGATAAAACAGTTGCTGTTGAATTTTTGGCACAAAAACATTTCAAATTTATGATTTCAGTCTAATAACCATTTAGTCATCATGTTTAATTTATATTGATGATGACAGGTATTGATAATTTCGATTCATAATATCTCGAGAACCATTACTCGTAGCGATTTTTATCAAGATACCTTTTTTACATAAAAAACGTCGTAAATGTTTATTTTTTTACTCAGTAGTTTTATACAGACGAAAAGTCATTACTCTTCAAATTTCATCCAAATATTGACGTTACTTAATAAATTATTTAAAAAATAATAAAACAATAATGAAATTTCTACACCCTGTATCTCTGAAACTAAGCATTTTAGGACATACATTTATACAAACTTTTTTACTAATTTTTATCTGGAATACATTTCAGACCACCCTGTATATTATTTATTATGAAACCTCTCAAAGAACTCATTAAAATGAAGCAAATAGAACTCGTTTTTGAGTTATGAGAGATACAAAAATAACTAAATTTACAGAAGACATAAAATAATCGGGTCACAGGTCAAACAAACATAAACAATCACAAATTATGTCCCAATATGACAAATCTATTATGATTTTCTTCTACAGATATACATAAAAAATATCTCAAATTAATTTCTCTATTGAAAAGTTCTTCTCTATAAAAATACACTATAAATACAATGAAATCTTAAAAAAATCAAATATATTTCTTAGATAAACACACTACTTGAAAAGAAAAATGTTATGTATTAAACACTAAATAATTCACAAATTTGAAACAAACAATTTGTTTCATTTAAATAAGCTCTTTAAAAGTTTCAAATAGGTATTTTTTTCTATAAAATAAAATGGGAAGTAATCTTTTATTCATCCTTTTTAAAATATACATGGGATTTTCTATTTTCAAGTCAGCAATGCAACAAACAGTACAAAATTGCTTTAAAAATACTTACATTCGGTTATGAAGAAGTTCAACATAGTTAAAGCTACAGTGTGTCCGCTAAACATATAATCACCACACGTTCTTACACCCTGTATCGACATTCCCGCGCCTCTCCATATAATATAGGCTTGCGAAAGTTTTTTGGCCAAGTCATCGAAGGAGGAAGCACCGTTGGTGGAATAATTTCTAGGCTGACACTGCAAATGAGCCCCTGGAACACTGAGCGACGTTATCAACATGGTAATACATCTGAGAAGAAATACAGTTCCCGAGAGGGCAAAAAATCTTCTCATTAGAATAAATCTAAAAAATGCTTGTCAATTATACTAGTTAAATACATATTTGTTAGTATTTATACCGGTGTTTATGAAATAATAAAACCATTAGCCATATAGTGAACATTAAAGTGCCGGTAACTTCACACATATCGAAAGCCCATGGAATGTGAGGTACGTTATCTAGAAAAATATCTGGAAGCGGAGGATATTTTTTCATGTCAGGTACTCGATCATGGACAATAACCATTACAAACGCGGTTACCCAAGTGACTGCTACCACATAACAAAAGCTCAAAAGAGCTTTAGTCCTTTCTGGAGGTAATCTGGGTCTTCCATCTTCAGAAACTGTTGGTGAAATATTATGCTCTGAGTCTCCGTACTCACTCTCCTGTTTAATACAAGGATGTGGATGGCTAATATGGTTATTGTATATAGTCGGAGCGTTTGAATGCTTTATCAAACCCAATTCAAAAAGTGTCTCTTGATTTTCCTTCTGAAGATGCTTGGTTACGATGTAAAAAAGTTTTCTGTCTCTGAGTTTTAAATTATTGATGGGATTTAGACCGAAATCGGCATCGTTTAGAGCCAGGATACATTTTCCGTTTAATCTATTTTCGAAACAAAGATAGTGGATGCTTGAGTGTTCGAGCCCCTGTTTCTCTAAATAACTTTTGGTGTCGTCTTCTGTCCAGTCTATTACGGGACCGAGACTGTTTGCCATGTCTCTAGATATTACAGTGGAAGACCAACAGCATTGTAATATTTAAGTAATATACACCAAAAAATTATTTAAATAATAAAAACTTTCAGTCTAATCAGTCTACTAAAAATTAGGTTACAATTTACAATAAATTGGAACTGTCAAATTATTCTTATTTAAAGAAACATTTATAATCTGTGGTTCTTTTTTTATTATACGTGGATTTTTGATGTATTGGAATTTTTAAATTAAAAATTATTTATGAACATTTATATGGGTTATAAAATTATTTATAGCACCTAGAGAACTTTGGCACTTTTTATTACCTTTGTTATTTGTTGGGAGATCAATCAAAATTTGCTCTTTTACTCTTTTTTAATAAACATAACATTAGAATGTCGCAACAATAATATGAAAAATCTTTATTACAAATTCCCTTACAGCATTTTTTTAGATTGGAATTTAATTCTTTGTCTAAATTTATAATTAACATAATAATACAGTTTTTGTAATAGAAAATATAACAAGAATTAGTATATACAATGTTTATACATAAAAATATTTTAGTCATTCCTCTGTTTCCGAAATTGTAGTGGTCATAACATATTTAACGGTAAAAGCAAATGCGGCAAATCCAATAATTACACATAAATTGGTTAAACATGACTGTAAATGACCTCCTGGTGTAGTAACTTGATCCTGTTTAGTGTTATCACTAGTTATTTCTTCTGTTTTTATTCTTTTCTGGAGTTTTGCCTATAAAAAATCGATTGTACAATAATTTAACAAATTGTATAGCAATACACTTACTTGCATATCACTGACTACATCAGGAAACAAATCACAAAATTGACTATCCTTTAAATTGAAATCTATCGATAAATAGGCAAATTGTTGTTTATCATAATCAGAAGTCTCAATACTGCCTAATGTAGGGCTCTTTTCCAGCTAAAAATACATAATTTGTTAGCATAATTTATCCAGTTGAAAGGGAAATCTATTAAGCATACCATAAAACTTAAGAGCCCAGTTAAAATTGTAGATACACTCCATGCAGGATTCCAAGTATCCGGATGGAAATCGGAAATGCTTAAGCATAGCTTTTTGTTGGTTTTAAACCGACCATTAGGAGTAATCATATAAATCGCTGGTGGTTTAAACGGGAAATCTCGTGGAAAAACTAATTTTCCATGATAGTATCCTCCCTCATAAGGTGTGTTTTCCGGCCCACTTACAACGTAATGCCTGCAAAGGGACATAAAACTACAAAATAATAAAACTAGAGAGTATATTTACCATTCTAAAATGTCTGAAGGCAAAGGCTCTGCATTAACATAGGGCACTGGGTCTTTTTTCAATCTCAAATAATCTTGCTTTAATCTAGACGTAGCACTGCTGGTAGCACTACTCGTTTTACGTGACATCTATGCTAATTAACTGAGATAATGTAAAAATTTAATATAAAAGATAATTGAATAAATTTTTGATGTTTTTTTCGACACTTTTTTGAGCTCGTCTTCGAAATTTCGAAACTATTAACGTCAACATTAGACCTACTTTTCCATAGAATAAATAAAAATTAAAGAGTCACAGCTAATGAATTTTGATCAAAATCATATAATTATATATGATTTCGAGGTCTTCTTTTCATTTTAATGGTGTTAACTAACAGTTTAACCTCTGGTCTGAACGTCATAATATAACATCTGTGGTGCCGACCATAGAACGTAATTTTCAGTTCTTCTTTTCATTTAATTGGTAATAACTATAAGTTAATAATGGGTGATCTGTGGCTATACCCATAGCACGTAGGAATATAACGTCTGTGGTGACGATCACAGATGAAACTTTTATATTTTCATATATATTATGTTTCTGGATCATATAGTATTTTTTAATAAGAAAAAAAAACAAATATTTTTTAATTTGTTGTCGTCATATGGTCGTCGTCGTCATTGCATTGTTGAAATTATTATGGCAGAGGATACCTCTGATATTTAATTTTAGAAACTAAAATGGTATGATTTTTATATATTATTATTTGTATATTTAACTTATAGTAACATTAAATAGATGTACATAAGTCCAACACTAAAACTAATAATTTTAATATTCAAATGACGCAGTTTTTAGTATTTTTGGACTATGATACTATATATTATAAAGTTTGTGTTGCTAGATTAACTTAGTGTATAATAATTCGATATTTCTAGTAAATACCCGAGAGGTAAACTCAAATAAGAAAAGAAAAAAATCACTTGAGCAATGTCTGTCCGGGCAGTTGCTGTAAAAATATTTAAACATGGATCAGTTCTTGTCCGTCAACAACACAGAGGAGTCCCGTATGCGAGAAACATTAGTCAGTGTGTAAGAACTATTGAACAGATTTCCCCCCACGTCCAAAAAAGCACTCCAATCACAAACACAAACAATCGAAATGTTTTACGGAACATTTGCCTACAAATTAGTCAACAGGCACGACGCATCTTGATAGACAATGCCCTTAATAGGTTTTCGTTTAAATTCGGAACTGAACTGATCCAAAAAGCTAAAGAAAGGTTGGTTGTAATTATAAACAAAAAATAGGAGAAAAAAATTGAATTCAAATTTTCTAGAGGTCTGTATGGGAATCCTGTGCCTTTATTAGGTTTAGTCGGAATAACTCTAGCGTCTGGCGGTCAAAGTATTCTGTCCAAAGATGAAGAACTTGAAGGTGTCTGGTGGGAAATAAGGGTATGTATACTGGGTGACTGAGGCTTCTAAAATAGCTTATATTTTTTCAGGAATGTGTAACGAAAATTCAGCAAACAAGAGATCTAATTTCGGAAAGCGATCTGGCAAATAATTCTGTGAAAAATATCGACGCTCTGTCTATTGGAAAGCCCATTGCTAAAGGGGCTAATGCTGTTGTGTACTCGGTAAAAAGACTTGCACCCAACGTACGAAGATCGGCAGATGAAAATAGTATTAAAGATTATCCCCTGGCTTTAAAAATGATGTTTAACTACGATGTTCAATCGAATTCTATAGCTATTTTGAAAGCGATGTGTAGAGAAATTGTTCCTGCGGGATCTGTGCTCAATTCTGATGCCCAAAGAAATTATGAATATGAGTAAGTCATTGTGTTTATTATATTTATTCCACACTCTCAAGAGAATCAAAATCTATGGGGTATTTTCTGTTGACCTAGAACTATGAAATTTGACAAGTAATGGGGAGAATTCGAAAACTATATTTTTCATTAAATCATAAGACTCGCCCTTATCTGTTTTTTTAAATTGTTTTGATACATCATTTTTTATATCTTACATAATATGTAAAAATAAGAAAAAAATATATTATTTTTTTTCTTTTTCAATTCTAGTTTTCTAAAAATGAACAGATATCTACCGCCCCACCCAAACATTGTGCAAATATTTTCAGTATTTTCCGACTTTGTGCCGGAATTAGAGGACTGCAGAGACCTGTACCCGGCTGCTCTGCCTAAAAGAATCGATCCATCCGGGGAAGGCCGGAACATGTCCTTGTTTCTTCTGATGAAAAGGTTTCTAACAAAGAGAGATACAAGAGATATACCGGGTGTTTTTCATAAGTGGCTCACTCCTTTAACTTTTTTATTTTCTCAGATAAAACAAAACGGGATTTGGTATGTTAGACTATGACATAAATCAGGATTGCTTGATGTATTCAATTGTTTTTGGTCGCTTGCTGTATTTCCGGAAATGACTACATCTTTTGTTTTTTAAATAATGGCACTGTAAATATTTTTTTACTTTATTCAATAGAAAATGACATATCATATCTCAACTTTTGACATTTTTGTTTAAAACAAAATTGTATTATTTGTATATCAGAAAAGTGTCAAGACGTCCGTTATCGTACGGTCTTTCTCCGTTGACGGGCTGGAGTAAAAATTTACAGATGAAAAGTGGCGCGAAAACGCTATGACCAATCAGAGCGCCGTTGGACCATCGTTTCAACCATCAACGGATAACGGACGCATGAAAATCAAGCTTGTCTGAAAAAATAAAAAAATTATATAGATGAGCAACCAACTTTTGAAAAACTCCCGCTATATCTTTGGACTTTATTATTTATTTCGTTTCCGTATTCTAGGTACCATCAAAACCTTCAAGACTATCTAAAATCATCGAATATCTCTACGCGAACGTCAATATTTTTATTTGCCCAACTCTTAGAGGGCGTGGTGCACATGGTGTCTCACAACATCGCTCATAGAGATCTAAAATCCGACAATGTTCTCTTAGATCTGTCCAGTAAAAGCAGCCCTTTGCTGGTGGTTACCGATTTTGGATGCTGTCTAGCTGACTCCAATGCGTCCCTAACCATCCCCTTCAACAGTTACGACGTGGACAAAGGAGGAAACACAGCCCTGATGGCCCCGGAAATCATAAAAAAAAGGCCGGGAACCTTTACCAGGCTGGATTACAGTAGATCCGATCTGTGGGCGGCTGGGGCCATAGGCTACGAGTTATTCGGGGTTGTTAATCCTTTTTATGGAAACAAGAATGTGACAAGATTGTCCAGCATGAGTTACAAGGAAGAGGAGTTGCCAGATTTACCGGAAAACGTGCCTTTTCTGTTTCAGAGATTGATTAAAAACCTGTTGTCGCGTGATCCAAATGAGGTAATTGATGTTTTTCTTAGTAAAAACACATTTTTTTATTGTATTATTTTTTTTCTTCTAGCGTTTGAATCCAGAAGTTGCGGCAAATATATGTCAATTATATTTGTGGGCTCCCAATTCCTGGTTGGTTCAAGGTCAAGGCGTTCCTACGCACGCAGAGGTAAGATATAGTTCTTCTCAAGTAAATTTACCTCGTTTTGATATTGTGTATAGAGTATCAATGGCAGCTCGTGACCCGTGTGACTGGGTAGGCGACAAAATTTTAGTTGCGTCTATTTAGCGCAAAGATATTTGACTTAGCCGCTTTTATTAACATATCGAATTAAAATAGCACACTGAGATTTTTCTGTAATATCTGTTGTATCTTCTTCTTGCACCGAATAAAATAACGCGCTTTTTATTTCGGATTCTTTAAACAATTTTGAAAATAACAGTTATTTTAAAAACCTCCATTCATTTCTAAACATTTTTTATCTCTTGATTTTTTTCGTCGGACGCATAGTTTTTGCTTAAAAAATTAAAGTTAGGTTACTTCAGTTTAGTGATGTTGGTAGCGAATATTTCTATTCGAATTTTGCAGGAAATTTCAGAAATTTCCGAAATATTCGGTCCCAAAATCGCGAATATTCGCAAAAATCCGAATTTTGCAAGAAATTTCTTTTCAAAATTCAAGACATTGAGCAAAAATTTAACGAAAGTGTATCAAGTATGCCGATTCTTAAGTCAGAAGAAAAAAAGAATGCTTCTCCGCCTTACAAAATAAACAACCTATAGCTCTTGAACCAATGCATTTTGCCGCGAATCTCTTGGACCCCTGTTTCCTGGGAGAGCACCTTAACAATGAAGAACACATAGCCGCTATGGAATTTATCAACAATATCACAAACAGTCATCCTCAGTTTGTCAATAATAAGCCATTTTTGACAATTTTTATGGGCTCTCGACTACGTTTGGATGTCAGTTAAAAATGTAGACTGTCTAAGTTGGTGGCAAGCAATGTGTAAAAATACGCAGTTGAAATCTCGGTTGAAATATTTAGCTGTTGCTCTGCTGTCTTTACCAACGTCATCTGCAGCCACAGAGAGAAGTTTCAGTACTTACAGTTTTATCCATACTAAAAAAAGGAATCGCTTAACTCCACAAAGAGCCGGTAAAATAATGTTCGTAGCTCATAACAATAAATTATTAGAAATAAAACAATTTTTTGGTATATCAAAATAAGCATTTTGATGCATGGAAGACGTGTATCAAATATAACATCAGAGATATTTTGAAAAAAAAATAGAAAATTTTACCACCCTGTATCTGAAAAGTTAAGATGTTTAGAACATATTCATATATAATTTTTTTTTCTTTGAATAGGTCCAAAAATCACCTCTTTAAATATTAGCGTGTCATTAAGGAACACCCTATATACTATTTTTATTTGAAGCACTATGCAGTGTTGCTATGCCATTTTTTATTTACTGATTACTGCTTGGGTTAAAAACAGTATGTCGAAAATATCTCATTTTTTTTAAATTGCCACACTCTCTATATTATTTTCTATTAGATGATAAATTAAAAAACAAATATTTTTTTGTATTTAGCTTGTTCCTAAATTTTTAAAAGCTCTGCACTTGAGATTTTAAAATATTTTAATCACAATTAAATGATTGAAGAACTGCTTTTATTTAATTCATTTTTAGATTCTGGATTGGTTATTAAATTTGGCTGTAAAGCTCTTATGCGAATTCAGGAGCAAAGATTTTGAAGAAGACATATCTAATAGCGGCTATATATCCTATCCAGAATACTTACTAATATCCAGCTTCCTCTGTAGAGCTAAGTTGTTTAACATTAAATCCGCTTTAGAATGGATCCAGTTTAACAACTTTTAAACATTGCACTTTTCTTATAAGTTAAATATTATTATTATTGTTATTAAATGATTTATTTTAATGTTATAAATAAAAATCAAAGTCTATATATTATATGTCTATTTACACAGAGTTATTATAATAAAGGCTACTTAAAATATACCCCCTAATCCCAACTGTATGGTTTCCCAGGTGTTATACGTTTGACTTCGGTTGCACCACTGGCTTCGATTTGCTTGGGTAAAGGGGAAATTACTTCTGGGGGCCCCACTTCGCGTCTGGCGTCTCTGGTAAAGTAGTAATTTGCGCTCAGCTTATGTGCGGGGCCATCGGGAAGGACCGGAGGTGGCGGAGACCTAGTCGCGAGCAGATCCTGGAAGCGCACTGCCAATGTGTGTTCCCTGCCTAGCAGGAAGGCTCTTACTCTCTGCAAGAAGGGGTTTACGTCGTGGAACTGGACTTTTGGTTTGGGAGGCATTATTATTTAAAAAAACAACTTGAATTCCGGATTATGTCAAAATAATTTTAAAATAACCTCACTTCTTGCTTATGTAAGTTTTTTTGATTAGGGAGGGGCGTTTCTGTCGATAAAAAATATCGATGTTAAAGCTATCGATAACACGATTCTATTGAATTTAATAAAAGGCGCATAATAAATCGTGTTTATTGCAAATTCATTGTAAATATTCAGTTTTACGTCTTTAATAATTTCTCATTCTTCGGTACAGACAAGATCAGGTACTTTTATTATATTTTTTTGCTTAGAAAGGTTAGGTTAGGTTTTAGTTAGGGATGGGTATTTTTGTCGATAAGAAAAGTATCGATAGATAGCTTAATTACGCTATTGCTATTTTTATTTTATTATTATACCAATTTTTGCCTACCCTTAGCACTGCAGGCCGCCGCTACAGGGTGTCCCAATATTCGATGGACATAGAACTACTACGTACCGTATGATCGAAAAAATCGGCGTCCAGTTGGCTTGGATATGACGATCAATGACATTCTCCATATAATTTTACATATAAAATGACAGCGATCTTCATTTCATAGCCATCGCTGACGCCGTTTATTTTTGATCATACGGTATTTCTGGAATCAAAATAAGTTCGTTACAACAAAGAACTTTTGTATAGCGGTAAATTGTGACACCCTGTATAACAAACCTTCCTAAAATTATTAGGTAAACTTTAATAATAATACACAAACTGATACATAACAGATACTTTATATTTTAGTAACTTTTGGCTAAAAATTCCAAAACAAATATATACATATTACAACATTTGAATCTCATTAAAGGTGCACTGATGTGTATTTCCAATAAAAACAGTTTTAATACTTTGAAGGTAAATCTGTGAGAGTTTCTTTTATCGATTTCGCCACATATTCCACATTACTATGAGTAAGGCCACACATGCTGATACGACCTGAACTCAGCATGTAGACGTGATGCATTTTAACCATATGCTGAGACTGCTCCGCTAAAATTTAAAAAAAAACACTGTCAGTCTTTTATACCATAGGATTGAAAAACAAAACGGCGTCAAATACTGCTGAGGAACGACTATCGATAGTAATTTTGGCGAGGTTAAGCCCTAGAGTCATTACTGAGCCCGTACCATAAAGTAACTAAAATAAAAGAGTGTTTGAAAGGTTGTCTAACTTGGCCATAATGTTGCATAGTTCAGTTAGGGCTCCAAAGCGTCGCCACCTGCTACCTGTCACGTGTCATTACAAGAATGACAAGTGACATGACAGCAAATTATTTGTATTTTGCGATTGTTTACAATTTTGTTTTGAATTTTGGAATTTTGTTATTATTTTGTGTAGCATAAACTTTGTTTGTTTGTTTTGTGTTTGTGCGTACAGAAATTATGGACGAAGTTTTATTTCCCGAGGAACCAGAGACCTTATATTTCTCTATGATTTGAACTTTATATTTTGTGCTGTGTTTTGCCATCATCATGTAATATTTTGTTCAGCCGATGATGTGATTTGAACACGATCCAGGAAAGGGTATCATGCAAAGCAAGTTCGATATGTAAAGACATTGCCCATCTCTGAACTCTGTGAACGTAAAACGAACTGACTATAAATTTGCGCCTTCATTTAATAGTGTTGAACATTTGCTACCTCAACTGAACTTCAACTGCTGACTGCTGAGTTTATAAATTCAACTTAAAGGTGAATTAATTTTTGATGTCTTATTTAAATCTTTATCTGTTATAATAGCATAGATTGCAAACCCTGCGATCTTATATGCTTTGTTAGTGGCGTTGTTAAATACGTTTTATAATACTATAGGTAAATCGAAGGGTAAACCGCTGGTGTATTTTGGTGGTGTACAAGATTTGCATTATTGGTATTAGTACTAAATTATTTGGCATTACTTTGGCATTAGTGTACAGAAATTCATCAGGAGTTTACCCCTCGAAGTTAATTCAGCATATATGTTTTATATTATCAAATTTAATTTAGCATTTAACTGTAAGCATTTGAAAAGTGTACAATAGTTTATACTTTTCAAATATTCCGTTTTTAAAAATAAACTTTCATTATATTTTTTCAGTTTTAATTTCGTAATATTTTTAAAAATACATAAAATTTTATATTCACATTTAAACAGCCCGCCTTTTTTGTGGTAGGCAATGCAGATACCTATTTTACCGATAACGTCTGTCATATTTCGATTAGTTCAGTTAGGGCTCAAGGGTGCGCTACAATCGATCCTCGTTAAACGTGTTGCCTACTTTTGACTATGGAAATAACAACTCTTTTATTTTATATTTCTCTATGGCCCGTACTCAATAATATTTTAGTGGCGCTTACTGCCAGTTAGTCTTAAAGAAGTTGTAATTTATTTTTATGCTATTTACGTTCATTTCGAAGCCAACCGGACGCCGCTTTTTTCGATCATACGGTACTACTTTAGAAAAAAATTTGAAAGTAAAATAATACTAAAATAATAACTAACTTTGTAATCATTTATTAAGAAAAAAAAATAAACTTACCGTTCAGTCCGGTATACGAAAACATTCCAATTTGCTCGGTTATGTGATTCCATGTACCGGGTGCGCCTAAGCGTTCCAACTCTTCTCTTAATCTTTTTCTCATGTCAATAATCCTCGACGACATGGTCTTGATGTTGCTTCGCCTGCAAAGAGCTTTTACTTTAGACGAAAATGACACGCTTTTTACCAAAACGGCATCAAATAAGACGGCTGCACAGTGGTTCCCAGATAGGTCATTACTTAGAAATATTAATTTCAAAATTTTGCATGAAACTGTTGCTAATACTTTTCTTATATTCCCCTGTAAATGATACATAATAAATAACAAAATCAAGTAAGCCTAGTGTAGCGCTTTTTTTATTAGAAATGTCACGTTTTTGCTACTGGTATCAAGCTGACATAAACAGTTTTCAGATAACGCCAATTAATTACTTATTTTATTAAAATTGATAAAAGCTGTCTTTTCTGTAATGGATGTTCGAAAAGAAGGTAAAAAGAACTGTTTTTTTTCTTTTTTGCACTTAATTAAACCTTAGTAATATTAGTTTATGGCAATTTATTTGAAGGTAACAAAAATAGTACTTTTACATTTTTGCTTGTCACTCTTTAAGACTTTTAACTACTTTCCCTTTCAAATCCTCTTAAACGGCATGAAAATACTTGTTGCTTAAAGTATATTGTATATAAATTAATTGCCACTGGCTGCCGCGAATTGCCGCCGGACCTTATACCGGGTGGTTAAAGATTGACTTTTTGTCTTAAATTAAAAGTAACTTATTTTTTCCTCTTCGTGTCAACTTATTTCGTGGACACACTGTATATCAATTGACAATAAAATTGTATTTATAAAATGAAACAACTGTCTCTTTTATTTTTTCAACATTTAAAATAAATTTGACCTGTTCAATATGAAAAAACATGTACATAAGTGCAAACATAATCTGTATACCTTTCCGAATAGTTAGAACTTAAAATGTAAATCACTGGGTCCAATTTTTTTAATACATATTACATTAAGTTTTTTATATAGATTTATTTAGCATTTGTTATCAATTAAAAAAGGTGCAGTCAAGCTATATCTAGATATACATAACAGTTATGACCGCGCAGCTAATTAAGGGGAACCACTGTAGGCTGGGGAAATGACTGGTCAATCTCTATAGACGACATTTACTAAAAATTGACACAAAACTTGTCAAAAATTTACACTGATTATAGAAAGATTACACCTATATACTTCAAGTGAAAGTTCTTACTAACAGCTATTAAATTGAAGGTTTTTGTTTGGACATGTTTGAAAAAGTGTAGTTTCAAGTTGGAAATGCTGGAAAAGTAATACATTGTTTTTTACGAGTAACAAAAGGTTTTTTTGTGCGGAACAAATGGCTTTTTACGCTGAAAAAATAGTTTTTACATATAAAAAATAAGATTTTTACGTGTAATACATTTTAATAGGCATAAAAAATAGTTTTTTACGCATAAAAAAATATTGTTTTACGTGTAACAAATAGTTTTATACGCGTAAAATTAAATAACATCCTTCCTAAGGCCAACTGGCAGTAAGCGCCATTAAGAAATAGAGACTACGGGCCAAATAAACAACATCTAGGGCTTGACCTCTCCGAAATTATCGTCGATTGTCATTTCCCAGCCGTCTTTGATGCTGTTTTTTTCTATCGTAAGGCATAATCGTACCATTGGTCGAATAACTCGTTATTGCTTAAAACATGGTTAACGATTCTTGCTCCATGACTGGGTGGATTCGAATACATTCCTCTCACTATCAGAGTGATTTGCGATTTAACCGCCGGTATTTCTTTTGGACTTTTCAGCACCACGGAGAGGTTCCCTGTACGTTCATCTAAAATCGTCGATCAAAAATTATATTAGCTATATATATATACAGGGTGTTTCAAAACAAATGCGAAAAACTTCAGGGGGTGATTCCTTGTTAAAAATAAAGGGTAGTTTGCTTTATAAACGTTGGGTCAAAAGTCAACCATTAGGGAGATATCGCGGTACAAAGATGGCGGAAAAATAATGTTTTAATTTTTTATCTTGAAAACGAAAAGTGATAGGCTAATGAAATTTTATTTAAGCATTACTGTTATGAAAACACACTTTCTGGTAATTTTTTCACTTTTTTAAAATGAGTGGAAGGGGTTGAAATAAACTCAAACCCCTATCATTCTTGTTAACGAAATTTAAAGAAAAATCTTATCAAACACATGCAAAAAGAATTGATTTGGATAGTTTAGTTTGTTTAGACACTTTTTTATCTCTTGTGTTTTTTTGATAAAACTCACCGATTTGAAATTAAAAAATAAAATGTAAAGCATTACATGTCAGGACAAAAACATTTTTAGATAAAGAAAAAAGGCTTCGGAATAATTAATCGTAAGATAATAACGTATTGCAGTAGAGTAATGTCAAATAAAATAATATTAGAAACATCCTAAAAAGTGACAGAGGTCGACTAGATTTTTTTCTAAAAAAATTACAGCAGCCCACTAGATTCTTTATCTAAAAATGTTTTTTGTCCTGACATGTAATGCTTTACATTTTATTTTTTAATTTCAAATCGGTGAGTTTTATAAAAAAAACACAAGAGATAAAAGAGTTTCTAAACAAACTAAACTATCCAAATTTATTTTTTTTTCATGTGTTTCATAAGATTTTTCTTTAAATTTCTTTAACAAGAATGATAGGGGTAGTTTATTTCAACCCCTTCCACTCATTTTAAAAAAGTGAAAAAATTACCAGAAAGTGTGTTTTCATAACAGTAATGCTTCCATAAAATTTCATTAGTCTATCTCTTTTCGTTTTCAAGATAAAAAATAAAAACATTATTTTTCCGCCATCTTTGTACCGCGACATCTCCCTAATGGTTGACTTTTGACCCAACGTTTATAAAGCAAACTACCCTTTATTTTGAACAAGGAATCACCCCCTACAGTTTTTCGCATTTGTTTTGAAACAACCTGTATATATATATATCGACAGACGACATCCTGAAAAGACAGGAAATAAATAAAAACTCAAAAAAAGGCTTAGAATATACAAAACTAATTTTCTCCGTCTGGACATGTAGAAAATTAGTTGGTGTAGAAAATTAATTTTCTACTTGTAGAAAATACGGTAAAACACCGTCTACACTTAACGTTTTACAGGTCATGACGGTTTAATGGATGCCTTAACAGGGTTAAGGCTTCCTTTAAAAAAAACATCGGATACTTACTGTACAACCCGAAATTTTTAGCATAGGACTGCGCGCAGAACAGCTCGAATCCCTCCTGGACAAAGTACCTAACTGTCCAGGCGTCCCTGTCCAGATCCCCGGATGCGAATCCTTGATAGGCCGAATCGAAGAACGCGAACAGTTTCTTCTCCTTAATCACGCTAGCGATTTGGGCCCACTGCTCGCGAGTGGGATCGCAGCCGGTAGGGTTGTGGGCGCAGGCGTGCAGGATTATCACCGCTCCCTCGGGCGCATCTTTTAGGTCCTGAAGGAAACCGGCGATGTCCAGGCCGCGTTTCTGCGCGTCCCAGTACCGATACTCGCGGGCCTCCTTGAAACCAGCGCTCAGGAACACCAATCGGTGGTTTTCTGCAATGTAGAGAAATCATTTTTTTCGGTGTATTCCATTTGAAAAAATTGAGATATGATAAAAAATACGAATAATTGAGAATAGCCATTGAATATTGAGAATGGCCCTTAAGGTGCTTTTAGACAAGTCAAGTGAACTGATGAAGTCTCTTGAATTAAATTTGCATGAATGCAATATGACCGTCTAAACTTGACGAATCATGTCAATTGATCAAAAGAGTTGATTCAAGTAGTGACTTGATTAATTCACTTGATTCAATTGACTTGAAAGCATATCACGAGTTTACACATTTCATGTCAAGAAGCTGTTAGTTGATTCAAAATGGCGACAGTGCGCAAGACTGTACCACAGATCATACAGATTATAAACTTCGTTTTTTCTTTATAGTTTTTCGTGGTTCCAATTTTCGGAATCGGACACTAGTTAGGATACTAGTTTGCACACATAGCACGCCCACTTATGGCCTCTAAAATTGCGCCTGACCGGCACAGATATTAGAGAGATATCGGAAAACCGAATAGCGTCATGCAGTATTTACGCGTACCTTATCATGGTTACGATATGCGCGAGTCAATTTTTAACGCAACACCCACTAATAACGTTACCGCCTGACGTAATTTGCGGATCAATTACACCAAGCGCTATTTCTAAATAACGTTCAAAAATTGTTAGAAGATTGCTTAAAATACCTAGTAAACAAAACAATTTCAAAGTTTTAAATTCAAAGTTAGGTTAAGTTTAAATAGCGGACGCGACGAGAACAGAATTCTTTCCGATCCGATAACTATAAATGAAGAGAGTTGATACCACCTCACGTAAAGGAAATAACACCCTTATATTATCGTCCATGCACGCTATTCGGTTTAGCGATATCTCTCTATTACGCTGTTTATTGTTATTTTACGCGAGTTTATTTTTGCGCACAGGAAATTTGACTCGTTTGCACATCGTCATAAAAAACAATTTTCGTACCACGAATTAGGGACAAGATTTTTATCTGTATAGGATACCTAATCTGTGGCATTATGCTCCTTCTTCAAGCTACATTCGCAATCAATTCGCTGGCCGAGTGGTACTTTGGCACGCAAGCTTATCATATGTACTTCAGTGTAATCATTCACAACAAAATTCGACGCCAGAGTGCAAGTTGAAGTTGGATTGAAAGCTTGCAAGCTGCTAACTTCCACTTCAGCACGGATTTTTTTTTTTGCGTGCGCAAAATTCGACTTGAAATTTGTTGTGAATGGTTAATTTCGTGCCGACTTTAATGTCGAATTGCCACTTGGCCAGCGAATTGATTTCGAATGTAGCTTCAGTCTTCTTATTCAAAGGTTCTGAAGTATCGACTATTGCTGCTTTTATTGATCATGATAGAAATTAACTTTTGGACTGAAAACCAATTTTTCAAAAGTAGTGACATTACACAAATCATACAACTCTATTTTATTGGTCTGTTGACTAGGACCAAAAGCAAGGGCATGGTTTTAATGTAAAAAATACGAAAAAATGTTAGTGTCTTCTTCAAAAGCGAATATCTAAAAAAAATAAAGCTATTGAGACGAATCACAAAACAAACTATCGGGAAAAGATACATCTAGATGATAAAATGATTCTTAATATATTTTTTTAATTAGAATATTTTTGGATGCGCACTCGTCGAAGCTTCTTTTACCTCCAAATCTCTGATTTCAGTTAAATTATGCAATTTTCCAGTGTATTTTTAGAGAAGCGATTTTCAAAAATGTAAATATTGTTTTCTAATTTTAAACAGAGGGCGACAAAAATATATTTCGGAGTTCTTGCCAAATTTCAGGTGTTTGGAAAAAAGTAGTAAACAAGCGGATCATCCAAAATAGTTTTATATAATATTAGAGGTTTATCGGTAATCGTTAGTCAAATAATGGTTAAATAGCGATGATAATTTCCCATACACAATACAATATAAATAATATCCAAAATCAATGCATACGGTTTAATGTTTTATTTCACATTATCTACAAAATATTTCACAAAAAAAAAACTGCGTGGATAATTGTTTATGACATCCATATTTAGATAAATTTTTGTTTTATTAAAGATTAATCAAACTAATAATGGAAGTATATAAAAATAGATTATTTCAATTTCTTTTCGATTTAGTTTAAAAAAAATTGTGCAATATTTTTGGACTTGTATACATCCTGGGCTTAATTTACATTATGTAGCTATTTATTCTGTGATAATGATGGAAGGTTATCACAATATTTATTTAACTAAAGTTTGGCTTTGGCAATATAAAAATAATACAATAAAATTAATAAAAAATATAATACCAGTAACTATACAAATTTATTTTAATGCATTTGATTTTGTCTGATTTTTTTGCAAATAAATCAACTAATTATTTCAGAAAACATAAGGGGGCGTCCATTCAATATGGGAGGGAGTCAAGAGAGGATTAAGCCAACTATCATCAAATCTCATGTAGAGGAGAGGGGGGTTTCAGTAAAATGCCAAGTAATTTTTTTCAAACAAAAAATTGAAAAATTTAATTTTCAATTTTTTACAATTAACACTAGTCTTTAGTAGTCTTATTATGTTTTTTTCAAAGAATCTAAAGCATTTAAATTAGGGGGTCAAAAATTCCTCAAAAACGTCTTACGTAATTTATGGACATCCCCTAATACAGGGTGTCCCAGAAATAAGTGCAAGTATTTTGACTGGTAGTATAGTTCGACCCCAGAAACACGCCCATGAGATTTTTTGTGAAAAAAAAAGTTGCAATTTTTATTTATTTTTATGACATTTTCCGGAAAATATTGAAAAACTTTTGAGTGCCGCTTGTTGAGTTCGCAGAAATTTCTTTACAGTGTCTCGAGAGAATGTTGCTACCTCCTACGTTATCCACATTCTGTATGTTTATAAGTTCACATTTTTAAATTTCTACAAAAAAAATTAATAACTGTAGATTTTTGAATCGTTGTAGATTACGATATTAAGTATAGTGCAACGTTTACTATATTTTAAATACCTTTTCTACAGTTTAGTTAGTTACTCCTTAAAATACTTGCACTTATTTCTGGGACACCCTGTATAATAATAAAAATTTAGGTGAATTACATATTTACCCCATGTAGGTTTGGAGTAGTAGAAAACAGTTTTGCCCAGTTTGGTAGCTAGGAATTCCGCTCCAACTCTCAAGGAACCCGTTCCAGAAAGGCACTGAACACCGAACGCCTTAAAAAAACAAACCACCCTGTATAGTTAGTTTATTTGAAGTATCATTTACCACATTACGTTAGTAACAGTATGTTTCCAACGTAATCTCTTTAATATCTGTGTACTCATTATGTAAATATATAGTCACTAGATAACAAATCCACGGGGACCATTAACAAATATGATAAAAAATAAAGTAAGTACATATTTCGAGGACTCTCAATTTTTTATTACACATTCCTATTATGTATAATTATTAAAAGTAAACATATTTCATTTTTTAAAGGATCGATTTAAGTAATATGTATATGATTAACTCTTATATTCCCTATAGAGGAGTAAGTACCCAATTGAGATTACTTTCATTTTTTGTTAGTGCTTTTAATTCAGAGTACTACTGTACAGGGTGTCTCATTAAGAATAGCTCTCGGCTGCATCTCGGAAAGTATTAGCCGTAGCGGCTGCGGAAAAAATATTTATAACTATTAGTTTATTTTAAAATCGACTATATACCAGAATATCATAATATCAGATGTATTAATATCTAATAATTAAGATATTAATAATAGTGACCAAGAAATGATGATTCAGTGAAGTCATGGTAGGCTTTGGAAAAAAGTTGCTTTTGACGTAACAGTATAAACGTCAAATTGTTATTAGATCAATATTTTAATAGTCTTAGCAGCGTTTTTTATCTTTTGATTGCTTTTTCAAAATGCCAACAACTTCAACTAATTCAAATAATAAAGGCATTTTGAAAAAGCATTTAAAAGATAAAAAAAACGCTGTTAAGACTATCAAAATGTTGATCTAATAACAATTTGACGTTTATACTATTACGCGAAAAGCAACTTTTTTCCAAAGCCTACCATGACTTCACTAAATCATCGTTTCTTCTTCACTATTATTAATATCTTAATTATTAGATATTAATACATCAGCTATTATGGTATTCTGGTATTTCGTCGATTTTAAAATGAACTAACTTTTTCTATCTTATTTTTTTGTTAGAATGGGCCTAATCAAGAGCGATACTGATGCTGTATTGTAAAAATAAGGTAAATAAGGGCTTATTTTTTGGTATTTATTATAATTTTGCTAATATCTTCGGTTTGAAAGAAGATATCAGGATGCGGTTTTCGCTGACTTTTTAAGCTTTAACTACTCTTTACTATCAGCTAAAATAACACATACTATCGTATTTAATTTTTTTGAAAAAACGCGCTATGTTTGTTAAATTGTAAGAAAGCGCCCCCCTAGCGTCTACGTTCAAAAACCTATTATTATTATTTTTATGGTATAATATAGAGTAAGAAACGCTCTTTTAAACGAGCCCTCGTTTGTTGGATTCTGATCATCCAGTCCGGAGTTAATAATATTTAAATAAAGATAGATCTAACCTTCCCCCACCACTTTATTTTAGCAGATAGGGGAAAATTGTTCTAACAAAAAAAAATTCAAAATTTACTGAAGATTATGAAGCTATTATTTATAGTACCCATTATATAGGTGAAATTCTGTAAAAAATTTATTTTCTTATTTTCCATAGCAGTTGCGCCACCTAGCGGCCGTTTTACAAACTTGAAGATAATTTCCAGCAATTTTTTATAGTCCCTTTAGTCATAAATCTTTTTTTCCGTAAGCCCTACGGCTAATACTTTACGAGATACAACCGAGAGCTATTCTTAGTGGGACACCCGGTACAGTGTGTCCAATTTCGTGTGTTTTGCAGAGTTTCTCGTTGATGAGTAAAGATATAAAGATGCGGTTTTCACATCACCCTGCTACTTTTTAGAAAACTAAAGATGCTATACAGAGATTTGTCCTCGTTCTCTTAGTTCCTGAAATACAGGGCGAAATTGAAACTGTTGTATTTTTCGACTCCCCTCGTATCTCGGTTATCTTTTATAACTTATGAAAAGTTCATGAAAAGCTCAACGGCACATAGTTTTCGGCTTTTCGATAATAAACAACGCTTTATTGTACAAAAAGCCAAAATAGCTTCATCGACAAAGCATTTACACAACAAACAAAAGCACAAAAAAAAATATCGTACAATACAAATCAATTGAAAAAAAATTACGTCATTAAAATTACAAATAAAACCTATATGGATATTGCAGAGCACAGGCGTATCAATAAAATTTTACAAAAGCAAAATTGTAAATGGATAAAATCTGACAGATACTGGCTTTGGTTAAAGCCCTGGGACTGTATGATGAGTTATAACTCAAGAAAGGGGGAGACAATAGATTTGTAAAGTCGCAGTTTTTAACCTCCCTCCCACTCATTTCTACATTCTACCACCTCAAAATATATTTTGCTGAGATTTATTGACTTTTCCACCACCTTTTTTCACAAATTGCAACTTCTCCCAACTTTTACAGCAGGGACCAGTTACTTCTGTTCGCGACAGGAAACTAAAACTCCAGGAGCGAAGTAGGTCGCCGCCGAGGTCGAGCGTCGATGCCCAGTTACAGCAGTTACTTCTGTTCGCGACAGGGAACTACAACACTAGGAGCGCGACGGCTGCGTCTGGAGCGAACACATCCCGATCGAGATCGCGCGGCGCTACGGACATACCAGTTCCTGATACTACTGTTGGCGACCGACGAAATAATGTAAAAATCGCATCTTTATATCTTTACTCATACGCGTAAAATCCTGGAAAGCACACGAAAATGGTACATAAATCTGTACATACCGGCTGCTTTTCAAAAGTGGCTCATCTCTATAACTTTCTTATATTTTCAGATAAAAAGTCTCGGTATTTTTTTACTTTATTCAATAGAAAATGACACTCTGAATAGATATATCAATAATCAATATCATCAATCAATCCTAATTTATATCATATAACATACCAAATCTCGTTCTGTAATTTGAAAAAATAAAAAAGTTATAGGGGTGAGCCACTTCTGAGACGCACCCGGTATAATCAATATTGAAAAAATCAATACTGGACTGATGTGAATAATTAATCTGCGAAGCTATGGCGATCCAAAAATCTATCTATGATATAATTGGTATTTACTGAGTAAACGACCCCCTGTAGCTTGTTTTTTTCCCAAAAATATGCCAAAATCTCAAACATATTTATCTACATATTTACAGAAATAAAACGTAAACATACTAAATGTGTGTACATATTGTTCATTGATAACAAAATTTGAACTTGAATTGAATTTTTTTTATATCTACTTATAGATAAATACATAGATTACAATGGGCACACAATCAAAACAAATTAAAAAATATATATTACTTAATATGAAACTATATGACCTATTTATAAATAGTTATTCTTTTATTTACCAATTTCAAGTTTTTGTAAACAGGTATCATAATATCTCTCATATTGATTCTCTCACTATAGAAGACATTTAATATTATAGTTATTATAGATTACTTACCCTGTTTTCCTTTAATGCCGGACTGTCATCGCCCAAAAGCATTCGAGTTGACAACGTACTGAATGCTTCGAAACCCAAAATGGGCAGATATTCCTTATTCAACGTCTCGTCATTAGCTAAAGCCTTTTCAGCTGTTCGTACCACAGGCAAAACCCATGGTTTACCTTCATCTGTTCGATAGGCTATATATAAAACAAAATTGTAAGAGGACACTGAACACTACAAATTAATGAAACACTTACCTCCAGCTCCCAAGTTTACTTTCTGTGGAAAATCGTCATCGGCAAATTGTTTCATTAAAGCGAACACTTCGATAGGAGGTCCCTGTTCTAAATCAGCAAACCAGGACATCTTGCAAATTTACTATTCAAAAACAAACAAAAAAAAACAATTTTTCAAATAGAATTAACCTTTTTGACCTAACGAACGAAGGTTAAAAACAAGCTGGGGTTACCACAAGTTGGTTTTGCACAACGTCACAATCCAATTCCATATGATTTGTTTTTGAACCGCTTATGCTATTGGCTTTTGTTTTTATAGTGACGAGACTTTCTATTTTCTATGACGTCGATCAATATCTCCCCTGATAAACGGAGCTACAAAACTTATCGAATATTAAGTGCTTTGGCTTTGTAATTATATTAATTTCTACATTGTACGTACATTTTCCGTGTAAATTTTTGATAAATAACTTCACTTACTAAGCAAATTAAGAAGCTAAAATTATACATCCTCAATTTTCATCAAGGCGAAAACATCTGTGTGGAATCCTGGCGCATTCGCCATAAACGTAAATAAGTTCCTCCACCATTTTGATAAAAAATTGGATATTTTGGAAAATATGTATCTGTAACGTCCTCAAATTTTGTTAAGATTGCGAGTTAAATTTCTAATAGAAAACTTAATATGAAGCTTTTTTTGATAATAAGCCACTCTATATGCTTATTTCTATTTCTTTATTTAGAATTGATGTTTGATCACAGCATTTTGAAAAAATACTTTGCTCTAGAAATAGAGACTATTTGGATAATTAAAACCAAAGTTACCTTAAATTATACAAATTTATTAATGGTTTTAAATTAAAATTAATTAACATAGGTATTTTATGTTATTAGATCCTGGATGGATACAACATCTGAAAAAAAAAGTATAATTTTAATATTTACTGAGACTACTAGTAAGGGTTTTAATAACACCAAAACACACATTACTGTAAAACCATATTAGATTTAAACATGTACTTACGATACGAATGCGGTGTCCCATTGCTTTGGCGGGCAAATTCCTCTTAAACTTTGCTCTCACTGCTCCTCTGGTTCCGTGGGGTCGCGTTACTTTGCCCCAAATAGCCCTAACTTTTGATTTAACGGATTTGGGTTTACCGGGAACACAGGTCTTGTTCTTTGCCTTGTATACAAACACGCACTTCTTGCCTACATAAAACCAACTGTCTACCTTCGATTCGGTACCTTCAACTTTTAATAATGCGGTATTTTCGTGTTGATTACGAAGTCCACGTTTGTACCCCGTGAAGATGGCTTTAGCGTAGAGTCTTCCATGGCGTTTCAAAGGCCTCTTTTTAACTGATTTTTTTTCTGCGCTACCAGCAGCGGCGGCCTCCTTAGCGGGCTTCTTTTCCGGTTTGGATTTTTTCGGTGCTGCCGCGTCTGCCATCACTAAAACAAATGTTTACCTTTTAACTCTGTATTCGGACTTGACAAATCTGAAATCATCACAAGTATCTATCACATATTTTCGTTTATTTTGTTATAATTATGGATATGGAAGGTCGTTTTAGTTATCCACATCAATATTTTTCATTTTCACATTAAAATTCGAATAAAAATTTACCTAAAAGTATAAAAGATCACCCTTTCTGACGGATAACCTAAAAAAAAGAAGGTTTGACGTTTGACGTCTTCTTCCTCTCCGTCACCGTTTAGGGGCCTTCAGCGAACCCACAGATTAGGAAGTTTGGTTAATTGATAAATGATGTAGCCATTTTATATATGATTTAGAGTAGATAAAAGTTATTTGTTTTTTGGTGTCAGTGGTATGTGCATGTCTGTGCCCTTTTTAATATCTATGGTCATGTTCTTGTCTTGTCACTTGTTACCAGGGCCATGTAAGTGAAATATTAAAAATGGTTCCAGCAAAAGTTTCCCAATTATGACGGATGATGGCGCTGATCGTCAAAATTTTTGGACAGGGATTTTGCTTACCGACAATACGACGTGAGCTACGACCGGACCAGGACCAATCAGAATGATCAGTCTTTCTTGGACACTTGGACATTTGCCGCGAAAGTGTGTGTTAATTTCTGTTGTGATAAGTGTGGTTGTGTTTGCAGTTTGATTTTTCGGTTTTGATATTATGTTAAAATTAATTTTGAAGTATTGTATCACCTGTTTTTATGTAATAGTACTTTTTTTAGTTCTATGATCTGATATGTTATGATTTGTTAATGTTTGTTTAACAATGTTATACCAAAGAGGTTATACTTAATATACTTATCAATTTGCATAGCCTAACTTTTTTATCAATAAACTTTGTAGATTTTCAGATTATTTAATTCCTTTTGTTTCCGTTTGTAATTTTATTTTTAAGACATATTATGTGATTGTTTCACATAATATGTTTTAAAAATAAAATTGCAAATAGCGAATAAAAATAATTAAAATAAAAAAGTGTATTTTACAATTCCCCCCGGCCCCGCACCCCTTTGGATAACCTATAATGTCAGCTATGTCGAGAGATGGCGTTACGAAAATGGAACCGATTTATTACAAGGAACTTGGGCTTCTTTTTCGTTAGTATATTCTGTGCTTGTTACATTTAAAAAGTCAAAAAATTTTGAAAGAAGTGGGAAGCTATGGTGGGAAGTGTGTAATTTATTATTTATTTTTTGTTTTTCTATGGCCATTCGCCATCGTCTTTATGCTCACGCGTTTACATCATGTGATATGTAATTCAATTTGTGATCAGTTAATTTACTACAATAATTAACGTTAAATAAAAAAAATGGGCGAGCAAGAAGATTTTCAACAAGATCCACAAAAAAACGATTTAAATACCACGGATTCCGCAGATGAAACTGAGGAAACCAACAATCAAGGCGAAAATGTTGAAATTTCCAATTCTGAATCCTTTGATGAGGATTACACTGAAGAAAACATAGGTGACGAAGGTAGCTCTACAAATACACAAATTTTGGGAGGTAAGATTTTGTCTAAAATGTTTTCTTTCTAGCATTTCAAAATCTAGATCATCAGTTAGATGCACTGTTTGTGGCTCTCGATGAAATTGAATCGAAGAATGATAACCTACATGCGCAACTGTTGCAACTATTACATTCCAACCGGGAAATAAGGAAAGAATTACAAGAGGCTCATCAAGTAAATGGGAACGATGATAGGATGGACACAGAAAATCCTTAAATATTATTGACAAACCTATTGTTATTGTTATTATATGTATTTATTAATCTATTTTATTATCAATGTATTAGATTTGCTTTAAAAATGCAGTATTCTATGTTAACTATTTGAAATCTTTATACAGTCTTGCAAGTCAAATATTTATAAAACCTTGTTTTTTTCTATAAATAGGTAGGTAATTTTTAAATTATTTGATTACTGTGTTATCTAGGATTCCTCTGTTTGTAGTAATAATACAGACATGAAGAACAATAAAGATAATTATATTGTCTCCCTAATTTATAATTTAACCCAACTAAAAATTGACATAATAAGAGAGTGAGCCTTGTAACATCCAGATAATAATAAAAATACATTTTTTCTAAGAAATACTAGAAGAAACAAAATGCGACGCGTGATTTTAGATGTTGATGTAGGCTGTGATGATTATTTGGCAATTCTCCTTTTTTTACATGCAGAAAAACTAGGTTTAGTTAAAATAGAAGCCATCACCTGTGCATCAGGCAACACTAGTGTTGATCATGTAGTCAGGAACACTGTGCGTCTTTTAGAAATAACACAAAGAACTGACGTAAGTAGAACTGATTGCGCTTATCATTATTTACACAATCTGTATATATTGCAGATTCCAGTTTTTCAAGGGGCACACAAGCCACTATTAAAGCACGACCAGGAATTGAGTTATTTTCATGGAAAAGATGGTTTGGCTGATTTAACTTACGATAAAGAACCGGATTTGTCTATAGTGAGACGAGAACACGCAGCTGAAGCTTTAGTGAATCTGGTTGTGAATAATCCTAAAGAAATATCACTGATATGTCTGGCGCCTTTGACAAATATCGCTCGATCGATAAAAAACAACGAAAAATTCGCTAGCAGCCTTAAAGATGTTTGGATAATGGGAGGGAATTACACAAGTTAGTATTATCCATTGAATAAAATGTATTAGGAAGAAAAAAATAGTATGTATCAACTTTTTCCTTTACTTTTATCTGTAGAATTATTACCCACTGAAATTTGGTATACTATTTTTTTATACCCTGTATATTTGCAAAGTGTACAAATAGTTCTTCTAATACGATTAAAATATACAGAAAGTTTTAATAATACATTCCAGAGAATGATGAGAAATTATTGGATATACCAGTAGAATTCAATTTTTCCTATGATCCAGAAGCAGCGTACATTGTACTAAGTTCTTTGTCGAATTCTGTGTTTATTCTACCGTGGGAAGCAACGCTCAAACCGTCAATCAGTCTGGTAAGAATCAAATAGTTATTTATTATACAAGATGTTTTTTTTTCTCCAAAACAATTCTATATGGATATTTCGCCATTGCAAGAAAATCTACAAAATAAAATAGTTATTTTTTGTAAACACTGCTGCGTTAATCCAACGGAAACTACTTGTCTACTTGTCTAGACTCTGAATCTCCCGAGAGCACCGTGTATATTTTCGACTGTAAACACGTTGCCAAACGTATGAAATAAACCGAGAAACTGTGCACATCGCTAAGAGACGTGGAAGGGGATATAGCAGATTTGTCGCAGTTGACCGGTCGACCCAATCAATACCTCTGTCAGTATTTAAAGTTCTAGGGAGCGGTGTACGTCATGTGTTCAGCTTCACGATTTAATTACGTCTCGTGATACTTGATTTGTTTATTTATTAACGAGTCATTCTAATTTTCCCTATAGCTTGATTTTTTTGTGCAAGCTAGAAACACTTGCATTTTTGGTAAAAATAAGTGGAATTGAGTGGGTGTTCGATAGTGGTCGCGCTATTAGAACTTTGAATTCAAAAATCGATATCTCGAAATCTATTAGAAATAATAGATTGTAGTTTTTTCAAGAATAATTAAGGGTGTAGATGTTTCACCAATGTAAAATTTATCATATTCACATGGTATTTTGTATATTAAATTTTTTGTTTGTTCTGTATTCATTGGTTTAGTGTGTGATAAAATGGATCTAAGTATATTTTCTTGCAGTGGCGAAATACCTATAAGGATTCTTTTGGAGAGATGAATCCGCCACGTAGATATAGACATTAGGTTTTTTTTTATTATAATTCAATTTCAATTGTGTGTTTATTTTGACAGTTAAAAAAATCTATAAATACATTCTCAAAGAACCTTTGAGATTGTATTTATAGATTGTTGTACTGTATGCCATTGCATGTGATATGACTTATGTAATCTTTTATTTTAGGATTGGAGATACGACATTCTAGGAGGTAAAACGCCTGCCTTGAAACTGTTGACAGATGTGGAAAAAATACTATACAAAGATTATCGACCGATCTGGCAACCTTGCGACGCTTTTATAGCGTTCGCGTTCCTCGATCCGGAAAAACATATCGTCAAATTAAACAAAGTAAACGCGACCGTCGTCACTGATAATAAAAATAAAGGATTACTTAAGATTGAGCAAAATAAAATAGGAACGGACGTTGTAATAATAGAAGACATTCACGAAGAATATTTTAAAGATTTTTTACTGAACATGTCAATATAAATATCGTTAAAAAAACATCGATTTGTTAGCTAATTTTTTTTATTTTATGAATTACAGAGAAAAAGTGTTTTCTTTTTGGTTTAGTAAAATTTCTAAAAAATAAACAATAAGTAAATAAAGCTCATTAATAATTCTTAGTAAAGGTAATGTAGGTATAATATAAATATATATATTTTTTAATATTAAGTGGACTAGATCAAGTGACTGGAATTCAAAATTTCATTATACTGGAATATATTTTTATAGATCTTCTAGTTCGTAATCTTCAATGTTCCTAAAAGTAATAAAAACATTTTTTATATAAAAATGTATTTAAAAAAAAATAATAATAACTTACTCTATATCAAAGTCGTCTTGTAACATATAATCATCAAGTTCCTTGTCTTCTTCTAAATGAAGTGATTTGTTGCCTGTAAAATGTTTATATAGTGAAATTATAAATATTAACCAAATAAAGTGCCGTAAGATCGAAAAAAATGCCGTCAAAGACGACTGGGGAATGATAATCCACGATAATTTTCGGTCAATCTATAGACGGTATTTACTAAAAATCGATATAAATATTCATTAAAAATTAACACTACAATCAGGCCCGTTCCTGGGGTATTTGGCGCCTACGTGCAGCATTCTTTGGTGCGCCCTTTTTATATTTAAATCAATTATATATTTTAATATTAATCTCAAAAATTTAAAGAATTTATATTCTGCGACAAACGAGCAATCTGTAATTGGAAATGTAAAAAAACTATTCTAATTAAAGTATAAAAACATTTATTAAATAAAGAAAACAAACAAAACCACAAAAATATTTAGTAACAAAAATAGTACCTTAAAGAAAAAAACTGACCCATTTTATATGAAATATATAAAAACAATAAACTAAAAATCGGAAATAATATACATGTACTGATTTCTTTCGAAAATCGACAACTATGAAACTATGAACCCTTCCCGGACACAAACGGTACATTGTGAGACAGGAAATTGTAGAGAGAAACAAGTCCTATAACATAGGATACAACATTTTAATGAACAGTACTTTCCATAAAATCAATAAAATGAAAAATATACGAAATAATATACATGTACTGATTTATTTCGAAAATCGACAACTTTGTAACTATGATCCCTTCACACAAACGGTACACAAACTTCACACAACCCCCGACACAAACGGTATATTATGAGACAGGAAATTGTAGAGAGAAACAAGCCCTATAACATAGGATACAACATTTTAATGAACAGTGCTTTCCATAAAATCAATAAAATGAAAAATATACGAAATAATATACATGTACTAATTTCTTTCGAAAATCGACAACTATGAAACTATGATCCCTTCCCCGACACAAACGGTATATTGTGAGACAGGAAATTGTAGAGCGAAACAAGCCCTATAACATAGGATACAACATTTTAATGAACAGTGCTTTCCATAAAATGAAAAATAAATAGATGAGATCAATGTGTTGCCGGCAGATTGCCCTAGACTTGTTTATTCGGTGCGGCCAACGCAAAAAAGACGCTAAGCAAAGTATTTGTTTATTAACAAGAAAGCGTATCGGTTTTTTGTTACAAAGTACTGATTGACACTTCGATTTTGCGCCTCCAAAATGTTGCGCCTACGTGCGTTCACGCACTGCACGCTCACCAGGAACGGCCCTGACTACAATTATAGAAAAATTAAAAAAGGATAGAACGTTTCCAGGCTACAAAAAAATATTTTTCTCAATATAAAAATAGATCAAAACCTTCTTAAGACCAACGGCAGTAAGCGCCATGAAAAAATAAAGAAGAGTACAGGTCAAGTAAATGACGTCTTGGGCTTGACCTCGCTAAAATTATCATCGATTGTCCTTTCCTAGCAGTCTTTGACGCCGTTTTTTTTTCGATGTGGTCCGTTATATAAAAATTAGTTTACTTACTGCTCATTGGTTTGACCACGGCCTGACTCAGGTATTCGGTATTCAAATACGGCGGCAATTCGTCTTCTTCTTCTTCTTCCGGCTCCAGCTGCTGAGAATCGACCATTTGAAGCCACTGCGCGTTGTGATGTCGGAATTTTTCGATACGTATCCTGTCGGCCCAAACGCTGTCGTATTCGGAAATTATATTCAAGCACGTGTTGCATATCTTTCTGATGTTCTTGTTGTTGTCTTGCAGCAGGTCTACCAAGTAAGCTGGCACATCTGAGGAAAAAATTGAAAAATAAGGATTTACTAACATACCCTGTATATTAACCAAGGATGGGCGTTTTTGGTTTGGCTTGGTCTTGGATGCACCACATATCTTGTTAAAAATATTATGATTTTAAACATGTAATTTGATATACTAAGGGCTGGCAAAGGTTATTCTTGGGTCGAGATTTCCGTATGTAAGAAGAGTACAATGCGTTTATAATGTACTGAACAAAGAGAGGACAGTAAACACGTTGCCAAACGTATGAAATAAACCGAGAAACTATGCACATCGCTAAGAGACGTGGAAGGGGATATAGCAGATTTGTCGCAGTTCACCGGTCGACCCAATCAATACCTCTGTCAGTACTTAAAGTTCTAGGGAGCGGTGTACGTCATGCTTTCAGCTTCACGATTTAATTACGTCTCGTGATACTTGATTTGTTTATTTATTAACTAGTCATTGTAATTTTCCCTATAGCTTGATTTTTTTGTGCAAGCCAGAAACACTTGCATTTTTGGTAAAAATAAGTGGAATTGAGTGGGTGTTCGATAGTGGTCGCGCTATTAGAACTTTGAATTCAAAAATCGATATCTCGAAATCTATTAGAAATAATAGATTGTAGTTTTTTCAAGAACTTTGTTAATATTTCTGCTGTATTTTCTTTGTAGACAGTATGTGAAAATCTTTATCAATAAAAAAATTATACGATTGCTGAAAATTGCTATGCTCTAAAAGTAAATGGATGGATTGTTTACAATTTTTGAATGGAAAAAACAACCTTATCGAATTTTTCTTATGTAAACTTATTGTAAAATATCCGATCTTGAAAACAAAAAAATTTCAATATCTAAAGTGGTTCTCGAGTTATGGCCTGTTATGTGTTAAAAAGTAAAGTTTTTAAATTATCGCGATTACTGACGTTTTTTCGTTATAAAAAAAATGACACCCTACGATATCCTTATAATTCCATTTCAGATGCTCAGAAACATGTCTAATGATTTTATCTAGTTATCTCTTAAAAAAAGTCTTTTAAAAATAAGCGATCTGCGATCGTGATTTTACTTTACTTCATAGGGAAAGGCGTATCGGCAACACCGCAACAGCACACCGTCGCGCGTCGCGTCTGTCGGTCGCATTTCTCTCACTCCGACTTAATGAGATCCCTATGCGATTTACTTCCACACATGTAAATGCCGACCCAAAAGTAACAGTTGTCAGCACGGTAATTTTTTTTTGTAAATCGCCAAAACTGTATAGAGTCATTTACCTGTCTTTTCTATCAAGTAGTGAATGTTATCTTTGTGCCATAGTGTAACGTAGAACGTGTATATTATTTGCAACACAATCTCGTCATCTTCCTGATGCGTTTTCAATAAATCTATCAGTTTTTTCATGATTCCATTGTCACAGAGTAATTTCGCACAATTTTCATCGGCAGCCGCCGTGCTCAAAAGTATTATAACCTAGAAAAAAAAAACACTCAAAATGAACCAACTATACAGGGTGGTGACAATTTCGATGCTCAACATTGGCATCTCAGAAACTACGAGAGATTACACAAATCTAAGCACAAATCTTGCGTTGCCGAACATATTGTTGATAAAGAACATTGTATAGATCTTAATAACTTAAAATTACTCAAACAAGTCTCAAATTACAGGCAATTAGATGCATATGAAAGCATCAGAATTAATAAATGTAAAGACAGTATGAACAGAGACAACGGTCCAATTCCTTCAAGTTCTTTGTTCCTACTACTCTAGTGGCGGAAATCTGTTACGCTCGGTGGGTTCTGACTCGGTTGGCTAGATCTTGCCACGCCCACTCTGTGTCCACTGAGCGAGTATATAAACGCTCCAATTGTAGATTGTATTTTAGTTTATAATCATCTGCTGATGATGCTAACATGGTTAGCGAAAAGCGCGTCCAGTGTAAAAGTAAGTGTTTTGGTGTATCGTGGTGATTTAGTGTTTTATTTTGCTTCACAGTATTATGCAAAAGAAAATCCTCATTTAATTAGAGAAACCAGACCAGAGTAATATATTCTTTGTACGTCTGGGCTGGCATTCTTGACAATAAAATTTTAGGTTCTGTATTGATGTGTATTGAACTCTACTATACCATTTTTGTGCATCCAGATTTGACACTTAATAGAATAAACAAAAAATAACTTGCTGACATATAAAGTGTCAATTGGATTTCCAAGGCAGACTTGATTTTCGGCGAATTTTGAAAAAATCTATTTTTTTCTTGTGAATTTACATAATAATGAATAAAAATTAGATACCACCGTATAGATTATTTTTTGCTCTATCTAATAGCAAAGACTACAAAGACGAGACAGTGGGAGAGAGAAACGATTTTAGAAAAAGACAGAGCGGGTCGCACTTTAAAGGGACAATTTCTATGAATTTTGATGCAATTACAATATTGCCAAGTATAAAACAGTTAAATGAATAGAGTGAAATATATTGTGATGTAAACCTGGTTATAATAAGTTCTGAAGATATTGTCATTTAATATAAACGTATTATTTTCATTTTTTTGACATAAATTCTAAACTAATCAAGATACCGTGGTTTTGTTCATAGGTGTTTGTCAAACATCTAATTACGCAACTTTTATCCCATTTCACCGAATTCGTATCTCTCGTAGTTTCTGAGTTGCCAATGTTGAGCATCGAAATTGTCACCAAACAACCGAAAAAAAACGGTGTCACAGTAAACTTTGAAACTTAAAAAAGGTTACTGTGACGCCGTTTTTTTCTCGACGAACGGTATGTAGATCGCGATTTTTTCTGTACCTGCAAAACTAATTCCGGATCTGCGTTATTTACACTAATAATTTTCTTGATCCATTGGGCTAAGCCGAAATGATTGAATATTTCTGCCCAATCTAAATCTGGCAAATGGAGATTGCTTAAAATTCCGATGCTTTCTCTGACGAAATCCATGTCTTGCGAGTCCACAACCGTTTTGGAAATGTCGCCTACGAATTCCTAAAAAGACAGTTTTTTGTTAAATTTTATTGGTTATCGGCTAAAATTACTTACTATAAATGAGGCAGACAAGGAAGAGTTATTAGAAATATTATGGAGCAATTTCATGAGCATGCTGTCTTCGTACGTAAAGGCCCTTGTAACGAGCGATTGTAGCCTCATATTCCTCACCATTTGCTGTGAAATTTCAGCGTGCGCTGCTAAATTTATACAGAGAGCTATCATGATTTTATCACCCTCGTTATTGCCGCTTAACAAAAGCATATCTAGGATCTAAAACAATTTTTGTTACTATAATAATTTATTATTTTAACTTAAAAGAGAAAAAAAACTTACAAGTCCAATACATTCAACAAAATAACTTTTAGAATCTTCATCATAACTGAGATGGTAAAGTAGCTTAAAAACGACTTCTTGATGTCTGTCATCACCTGAAATTCAAATAAAGATAACACAGGCCGACAAAAAAAAATTTTTTCGATGTAACACAAAGCTCAATAGGATATTGAGTTATATGTATAAATAAGTGTTATTTCATTGTAATTAAATACTGAATGCCTATTTTACATTATGTCACATATAAAAGCGAACTGCACGGTTCGAAGCAGACTTTCACTCTCTGTACTTTGTCAGAGAACGTTTGTAAATAATAAAATCGTTTTTAAAAAACAACTCTGGTAATTCAGGACCTCAAAAACTGGCGCAGTCGGTAGGATTTCGTGTATTCCCTTTCGAGTGTCACAGCATGGTGGTAAACGTCGGGAAGTGCGGTTTCAACCCTTTAACGCGAAATTCGAACAAAAACTTTGTGAAGTGAAGGACAGGATAGTGCAATCGATCCGGATTAGCTGTCTAAACCTGAACGAGCAAGAAGAGTTGTCTCAAAACCACCCCCGACGAAGAAAGCAGAGTGCTGGAGTCAGGAAAAGGACAGGAAAGACTTCAAAAAGTAAGTGCCTTCCTTTTTGCCCCTTTGGTATACCTCTGTTTAAGGAAATCAGTGTAGGATAGTTATAGGACAGTCTATCGAAGACATTAGATTAAGAAAAACAAAAACCAAAAAAAGAAAAAATTCTTTACTAGTAAAGTAACAAAGAAAAAAAGTTACCTAGTACTACATTTTATTAAGTAAAAATAATTAAAATAAATAAAAAATACAAAATAAAATTTACGCTCATAGATCGTAAATGAAAAACTAAGGCACGTTCATGAGTGTAGACGAGTTAGCGGACAGACTATCAAATTTAACAGTAAAACTTAATACAGAAATAAATAAAATGAATGCGAGAACAAGTGCTTCAGAAAATGAAAATATACGAACTGTAAATTGGGATATTTTTTAAGTCAAAAGTACAAAATATTAAGCCTTTGACGGAAACAGTAATACATTAAATACTTTTATATTTAAATGTGAATCACTTTACTAAAATATGCTACCGTACCAGACGAAGATTTTAAACAGCATGTTTTGAGTGCGTACAGTCAAATTAGTGGGAAAAGCCGAAATAATGATAGGAAACAGATTGGAATTAGACAATTGGTGGTCGAAATTAAAAGCCGCTTTAATACAATGTTTCTCAGATAGACGTGATTTAGATTGCTTAATCCAGAATTGACGAGAACGCGACCGTTTAAAACGAACATCTCTTAAGTTTTGGCAGCAGATTACAACTCTCTTAAAAAGTAACGTAATTCAAAGAATCAGTAACGATACGTGCCTAGCGCCTCTAGAAAAAACGATGTCAGATAAGCCACTTATGATAAGACCGCGTTAAATACATTTTATTGCAGGTTGCAGCGGAACTTTAAGCAGAAACAATCTTTACATTAAAACCGACATCCTTAGAAGATGCAATGGCGTGCGCTAAATGAATTTGAAAATTTTGAAATGCTCTATGGCAGTTCTAACGAACAAAACAAGGTGTACAAAACACAAAATTTCCATCAAAACCAACACAACAAAATTTCCAAAATCAAAATAATTTTTTCTAACACAACAAATTTTCCACACAACAAATTCTAACTATATCAAAAATAATAATAGACAACAATTTAATAATCAAAATCAATTTAATCACCCAAATCAATACAATCAATTCAATCAAAAATGTACCTAATACAAATTTTAACCAAAAACAACCTTGGCCTTGTCAGCAATTAATATTACTCAAAGAGAAATGCCTCCAAGACGATATCCAACAAATAGAGAAGTCTTTGGACCACTCTATAAATGTCTTTAAGCCAAAGCCCATTCCACCACACCAACAATCATCAAAACCAGAGCCTATGTCTACAACTAGCAAAACCCATCTTTGCTTCGAAGAAAAGGGATAGTCAAATCCAATCATATCAGAATAGACAGTATCCAATACCTTTCCAAGCAACTGGACCACCAGATTTCACCTTTCCAAAATTATTTTACTAATGAATACAACGAAAACATGAATAATTATGCGTACCAAGACACAACAAATACGCATCCCTATGAACAAAACTATAATTATACCGATTATAACAATTATGACGAATACGAAAACCAATATTCTGAAGAATACCCTGTTCATAGTTTGGAAGAAGAATTTCAACAGGAACCCGAATACGAGAAAGTTGTCGAGGAACAAAATCCTGCACAAAGAGGATTTTCGAAACCCAGCCAGAAAAGAAGGGAAAAACATGATAGAAATAAACATCTGTTCAAGTAACGCTCTTCCGTATGTAGAAATAAAACATCCTAAGTTAAAATTATTAATCGATACCGGAAGCTCGCGCTCTATTTTAAAAATCCATCTATTGTGGAAAACCTTTTCCCGAACTGTATCTATCAAACAACCAATATAATCTAAAACAGCTATTGGTCAAAAATCAACAAAATATCAAGCTGACCTCCTCATTCCCGGAATTTGGAAGTAATCATAAAATTAAATTTATTTTATTTGATTTCACGATTATTTCGATAAGGTTATAGGTTTAAAGACTTAATAAATATGAACTTAAATATCGATTTAACTAATAAAAGATTAATAAACAATTTTGTCGAAATACCGTTCAAATATCGCCAACCGGAAGAAATAAATTTTTCTTTTTCCATAAACCCTCACGAAAAACTAATAAAAAAAGTTCCAGTTAATATTTTTCAAGGAGAAATTATAACTCGACCAGAAGAAGAGTTCGATTACAATATCAAATACAAAAAAGGCAAACAAAATCAAGCAGCCGATGCGTTATCAAGAATACCAATAAATAATCAAGAGTTAAACGCCTTAGAGACAGAATCAATCGATAATAACCCAGGAGATATTGACGAAGTAATCGAAGAATTAATAAAAAATAGAGAAAGTTTACCTGATATATAGAAGAAAAAGAATTAGAAGAAATATTAGGAATAAAACTCTAAACCAAAAATAATTATCCACTCAGATATACAAATAAGACCACCAAATCCTATAAAGAAAAAAAAGAATCAACTGATTTAGAAACACGTCATACCTCTCTAGAAGAACCAATAATAGGTCTCCCTATTTCAGAACGTTCATTAAACACTTATAAAAATCAAGTAATATTCACCTACGGAGAGATCGATAATATAAAATGTAGACACGAACAAATATTCAAAAAATACTCGAATATATGTAACTATATCACAACGCCGATCAACAGAAAACTTTGTAGCCAAAAATTTCTCAAAGGAATTTATTGACCCCAAACAAACCCTATGCTATGTATTTTAAAGATCAATTAATTAGCTAGAAATTTTATCATTACTTTACAAAAATTATTTAAAAAATACTGCATTTAATTTTATTCAGTGTAGTAAATTTCTAAACGATATCGAAACATTAAACGAACAAAAAGAAAAACTTGAAATGTACCACACGACAAAACTTGTCATCGCGGTATCAATGAAATGAAAAACGCTTTAACATCAAAATTTTACTGGCCAAAAATGAGCGAAGATATTGAAAACTACGTAAACAATTGTGAGACTTGTCAGAAAAATAAGTACGATCGAAGTCCACCCATCGTAAAAATTTAATTTAACACCTACCACAACATCGAAACCTTTCGAACAAATCCATATTGATACATTTAAAATATCAAATGAGAGCTTTTAACAATTATAGATGCTTTTTCTAGATATGGACAAGCATATCTTTAAACGCTTTAACAGGTCCTACGATAATCGAAAATCTATACACTTTTATAACCCATCACGGTTTACCTTTGAAAATAACAACCGATTGTGGAACCGAGTTCAAAAACAAGGAAGTAGAAGATTTTGTAAACTCTATAAAATTGAGATACACTATACAACACCGAAAAATAGTACATCAAACTCACCTGTAGAGAGATTTCTACTCATCTCTGATCCGAACATTATAGATGTCTAAAAGTGATCATCCAAATCTTAGTCCCAGTCAATTAATAAAACGATCTATATTAGGATATAATAATTCAATTCATAGCGTAACAAAACATACACCTTTTGAAATAATTAAAGGGCATATAAATAACACTGACCCATTCGATTTAAATGACGAAATAATAGTATCAAATTATATACAAAAACATAAAGAACAAGCTGAAGATCTTTATAGAAATATTCAAAGTATAAACGCAAGAACTAAGGAATTAATTATAACAAAACGAAATGAGAAAAGACAAGATCCACCTGAATTCCTTAAATCAGATGTAGTTTATATAAAAACGAAAGCTAGAGGAAAAGATCAACCTAAATTTAAAAAGGCAACGATCGAAAAAGAAGATCAAATTAAATTAATAACAAATAAAGGAACATATCATAAAAGCCTAGCTAGAAAACCTAAGGTAAAGAAAAAATCAAATTTTCAGGAAAACAACGATGAAGAAGATCCAGATCCTGCTGATATTCCTGGTACTTCACGCGAAGACAATTCTGTCACAGGACATCGAACTTAAAACTATAAAAAACCCTATTTTGCCTATGCAACTAGGAACCTCTAAGTTAGTTTATTCTAAGCACACATTTTTACATTATATAGATATAAACCCTATTATTAATCAATTAATTAATATAGAACAATGCTTTTCGCTTATTAAAAATCATGTAAATAAAGAAAACGTTACTAACCATAGTCATACCCATGGATTATCAGAAAAGTACTTTATTAAGAACGCAATTCTTGATCGGTTCAACACAAAAATAAATTAAAGAATCTTTATCCGCACATTAGGACAAAGCGTGGATTAGTAAATATTGTAGGGAAAAACCTCTAAATGGCTTTTCGGTACACTAGATTCTGAAGACGGACAAAATATCAAAATGCTATAAATAGCTAGAACAAAATCAAAAGGCTTAATAAACGAAAGCTAATTTACAAATTTCCTTATCGAAAAACTTAATAAATAATTATAATAAAACAATTGTTTCTCTAACTACAAATCAGCAAAAATT